TTTCATATTTAAAGAGGTAAATAAAGTGAAATTTTTCCGGCCATCACATCCTATCATCAAATTCTTTATGATCAGAAACAGAGAGAAATTTTCAAGTTGATGGTTGTGGAGAAAATCGGGTGAGCGGTATTACCCGCTGAACGGTACAGGGACACCCTCCCCTATAGCACGAGCCGAAAGTAAGTGATATAATGCCACGAGCCAAAAAACACTTTTTCCGTACTGCTCTTCACTTTTCCTTGTCCGGGGATTGGTATCAGTCTTTCCCCGAACTCGTAATAGTGAAAATCACTACGGAAAAATATCGTTCACGACTAGTGCCATGGGATTTTTTACGAAAAAACCCCATGGTACTAGTATACCAAAGAAATAGTGGAAGAAGAAATAGTAGAAGAAGTATAGTGGTATTTATGGCGTGGATTGATGAGTGCCATGGGGTTTTTTATGAAAAAACCCCATGGCACTCGTCTTGAAATATACTATTCCCACATGAGTATCGAACCATATTTTTCATCACAATTTGTGAAAAAGGGACGTTCCACACATTGTGGACACACTTCGCGTGTCACAACTTGTCAACGTGAACAAGAAATCATCGAGGAATGTTTTTTGCTACGGCCTTTTTGAGTCCCCTTTTTCAGATCTCATTTCGACACTCTACCCCACCCTATGTATGTGGCTGTGGATTCTATACTGTACCGCATTCGCACTCCTGTAGAACATAGGAGTAGCACAGGAAACCACAGGAAACCCATGCCGGTACAGGTGGTAACTCTATTAGCAACCTCCCGCTCGCCGGAGCCTCCCGTTAAAAAATTTTGGTTCCACTGGGAATCGAACTCACAACCTTTCGCACTCGGGCGAGACTTGCGTCTGGCCCACTCCGCCTTCGATGTCGGTTGTCGACAAATGTGAAAGTTGAAAGCATTCAACTTTTCTATACAACTTATTCTATTGAAATATTTTCTATAGCAAAAATGGAATGAAAAATACTTGGAAAATTTAAGGAGAAGAAATTCTACAAAAAATATTCAAAGAAAATAAGTTATATCGAAAAATCTAATTGAATTGATTTTCTCTATTGAATATTTTCTACTAAACCTTTCAGTAGAATCGGCCAAAAACTAATAGAAAGTTTTTGTACGTGTAGGATTGATTGGGTGGAAAAATGGTAGTGAAGTTTAATGGTTCAGTAGAATTACAACGAAAAAATAAAAATCCAAAACTGAAAAATACTGTTTCAAGTAGTTCTAGACTTTGTTTTGGTAGATTTTCCATCTATTTCAAGTAGTATGCCTGTAAACATACTTCTTCATCAGTCCGGATTTTGATTTACACACTGACAAAAAAAAGTTTTTCGAGCAGTACATCTTCACTTGTGTCAAAAAACTCACGGCTCGAAAACTGAGAAGAAAAAAATATCTCACACTGAGAAAAAAAACCTTTCATCGAAAGATTTTGTACCTGTCCGAAAGATGAGGGGCAATTTATTCACAACACTAAAGCCACTTCTCGAAGCAAGTCAAGTGGTTTTCCATTGAAATTTTTTTGAATTTAGACTTAAGGTATTTATGGCGTGGTCACGTGGAGTAAAAAAAAGTCAAGAAATTGTTGATTTTTTTAAATACATTCTTTGATTTTTTCAAAACCCCTATCCAAAATCCCAGATAGCCTAGGAGAATGGGTGGAACACAGGAATTTTTCTAAAAAATGCATTTTAACATGGGCTCTTATGGGAATTCGGAGAAAAAGTTTTGGCCGAAAATAAATTGTCCCACGGTAACTCAAAAAAATGTTTAGAATTCATTAAATTTTTTAATGTCATCAATTAATAAATGATTAAATATTGCCCTGAGCCAAAAAGCGAAGCGGAGCTTTCAACGCAGAATTTCTCGCTTTTTCTGTTAGCCTATCTTCAAATATTTTGAAATTTTGATCAAGAGTTTTAGGGAACTCTATACATTTTCCTGTTGCCTTGATAACAGTTTCCGTCATTCACTCCCAATAGTAAGAATCCATTGTCAGTAAAAAATCAATCATTCGGTGATGATAAAATTCTATTGGTCGTCCTCGAAGGCCCCTGAGTGGTCGGTACACTACAGGGAGTGGGGGGCAGGTGGAAGGGGGGGGGNACAGGTATAAACCGGGGCACTCTACCAACGGCTGTCATTCTGCAACTTCCTCCAGTAGTAGCAACATGGAATTCTTTGGAAAGCTCATGCGCCTCCTCGGTGTTGGCAAACCCAACATGGATCCAATTGCAAATCTACCAGTAGAAGTGGTACAGTCTATTTTCAGGCAGCTTGATCCTCAATCGCTGGTGAAGGCAGCTCGAGTATCCCGGGGATGGCATAATGTCTGCCGAGGTGACCCTCGACTGAGGGCCACCGCCAGACGCTTTCTCAGGCGGAAGAAAAGGCTTGCTTACGATCTCCACAGGTCGTCCAGGAGAACCACTGAGACAGTCGTGGTGCCTTCTCGGAAGCCACACACTGACTCTCGTCCAGTTGTCTTCACTTATGGGCCTTCTGGTGTCTCTCTGGGGCGTCCGAAGCATCAGTGTGTTGGACGACCTTCTGGACCTCGTCCTCTGGCGATAGTAACCAAGAGAAGGTTACTTAGGTGTTAGGTAGAATAATAGTAGGTAAGATAGAAATTTATTGCATAGAGTAAGCATTGCTGGCCAGCAAATTAGTTTAAGGTGAGTGTAAACTGACAAATTTAATAAATGCAATTGAAAATTAATATGATGTAAAATTAATTAAAGAAAGTTGCTAATAAAGAGAAATTCAAATTGTATAAGAATGCTTGACCCTTTTGGCTACGCCGGACATCCCTTCCGCTTGATCCCTCTGATTGTTTTGTTCTTTCATTTTAAATCAACGTTGCATCATTAGATTATAGTGGATTTTGACTTAAGGCCTAAAACTTTTCTGGATAATATGAGATTGCAGCCCGGACCGAAGGCGAGGGTTGCAATCATATGCGCTAGAAAAGTTCTTTTCCGTGCTGGCCTTCACTTTTACTTGTAAACGAAAAGACTTTTCGGTTATTTTTTGTAAACGAAAACACCCAGTTCGGCCACTCGCTTGAACGTAACATCGCTGTCAAAAAATATTGTTCGACACATCTGAGACGGGAATTTTCAGCTCATGTAAATTCAGCCGGAATGACAGAAATAAATGTAAGTGATGTAACATTTTAACTTCTTTTAGCGGTGACGGTAATGTGAAGAGGGCAGGGGGAAGAAGGAAGGAAAGAATGTACGGTGGAGGAACGTTGGGGATACGTTTAGTTTCAACCTAATTTCAACGTACAATCTGGAAAAAAGAGACGGTATTTACGTCGAAAGTAGGTTGAATCGGTGCATTTGAGCCTGTACTCTGGACAACGTACTTTCAACGTCCTAAACCCACCAGTGTATCTTGAAACTACGTTGGGAGACCTGGTAAATTTCGACTCGGGCAGTGGTCAAGCGGTTTGAATACTACAAGGTGTCCCATAGCATGTGACCAAAGTAAATTGCAAATTACTTGGATACAGTAAAATATAAATAATTGTTCTTTTTTTATTGTACAAGGAACATTCGGCAAATTACAATACAATTCCTTCCAAGTGTCCGCCATGACTTATACTACAGAACTCTATCCTGCGTTCGAAACTGGTATAGATGCGCTGTATTGTGTTTGTATCAACACCTCGGATGGCATCCCTAATTGCGTCTTGCAGCTCTCCCACCGTCATCGGATGCTTCTCATAGCACTTGTCCTNGTACAATTCCTTTCAAGTGTCCGCCATGACTTATACTACAGAACTCTATCCTGCGTTCGAAACTGGTATAGATGCGCTGTATTGTGTTTGTATCAACACCTCGGATGGCATCCCTAATTGCGTCTTGCAGCTCTCCCACCGTCATCGGATGCTTCTCATAGCACTTGTCCTTGAGAAAACCCCATAGGTAAAAATCGCAGGGATTTACTTCCGGACTGTAAGGCGGTCATTCCATGCTCCCATGGGCATACTTAGGGTAATCTAAGCCTAACGCACGAGTGCCGTAAACGGAAAAAAGTATTTCAAATACTCCAGCAGTCCTGTGTAGGGCGGCACCATCTTGCATAAAGTAGAAATTCTTGACTAACTGATTTTTTCGTGCCCAAGGAAAGAAGTTCTTCTTCAAAAACTCACAGTAAATATCAGCACTGATTGTCGGACTCTCAATAAATTCAAGGAAAATACCTTTTATTGTAATTGCCGCCCATGCAGTGACTTTTTTCGGGTGTGAGGACTTGGTTTCAGTAACGTGAGGTGACTCAGTCCCCCAAAAACCATCGCCTCCTCACTTAAAACTTGATGTACAGAAATTTTGTAAGCATGGAAGTTTAAAAACACTTTCAAGATGCGGTGAAGTGAAGTTTTTGAGACTTTCAAGGTTTGAGAAGCCTCTCGAAGAGTATCATTTGGATATTTTTTGAAATGTTCTTCAGTTGTGCGGACCACTTCATCCGTAGTTACAGTACGTGAAGGACCAGGATGCTCCTGCCTTCTATCGTCTAGTGTACCGTACTGATCAAATTTCCTAATTATCCTGAAAATACCCATAATTGGTCGAAAAATGCGTCAATTTTCAACAAAAGAAGAAAACAAATTTTTTTGGTTAGTTGGTTCATTCCCTTTATTTACCGTTTGAGACTCGAATCAGACACTCCAGTGTGTGTGCCATACTTAGAATGAAATGCTCTTATAGCTGCAGTAGCTGAATCTTCTTTTCGGGAATATGATTTGATGAGGAATGATTTTTGTTCGATGGTTACATTTTCACGCACGTGAGGCAACGACCTTACCCACTGCGCCAGGTCGTTGGGCTAGGGTTTTCTATGAAATTTTTTGTATGTGGAAGCAATGGGTTGACTGGTTAACATTTCATGTCCGACAGAGAAACGAGAGGGTAAGTTATCACAGTTATTAATCATTAATTCTAATAATCAATGTTTTTCTTTCAGTCATTAACTGTTCTTACCGCTGTAACGTACGTAGCTAGTTATCAATTTATGGCATACATGGCGCGGCCGAAGTTCGGTGAATCTGGACAATTACTGGATTCCGGAGTTGATCTCAACATGGAGGGCGGAATTGCCGAGTGAGTACCTCGTGACCTTGGTATTTTAGACTTATGCGGGATTTTTGGTCGAAATATATGGAGAGAAAGACTTTGGAATACAGTAGAGGCTTCGTATAAGATACCTTAGGGACAGTAAGAGAGTGGAATTCTGGGAACCCCTATATCCCCACTACGCCCATAGAGAGGAGAACAATAATGATCAGCGGGTTTCAAATAAGATACCTCGCTTGTTGCACCCGAATTCAATGAAATTTTCATTATTACTGAATGAATATCAATAACTAATCAATTTATATTTGTTTAATATTTTGAATTTGTATCGCCCGCGTTCCCTTTTCTCTCTAAACATAATCCCGCGTGATAGAATGGCAGCTGATGTTGGAGGATTGTTGGTGGATTCGAGAATAATTACAGACGAAAAATTACTATTTTTCTATGGGAAAAGTGAAAAAAAGACCGATGCTTATTTCCATTACTTGAAAAAAGTGGTGTGACCCCCCCTTAAGGTGATTAGACCCTCATGATAACTTCACTAAGCTACCGGGACCTTTAACACCATTTGATCCTTATAACTACTCTCTTCCCGTTGAAAAATGACCGGGGCCGTAGGTATCTTATAAAAAGCCCACGGAACATAAACATTCGGGAGGCGATAAAAGTGCCGAGAGTGGGGGTAGGCCTCGAGCGCACGGAGCGCGAGGTATCTTATAGAGAGGTATCTTATGCGAAGCCTCTACTGTACTCACAGAGAAAATAAAGTTTCTGGTTTTCATTAACAGTGGATTTCAGTATTACGGAGTACAAAACATGCTAGATTCCAGTCGAATTTCTCTGAGAATAAAAAAAAGTTCTGACGAGAAAAAATATATGAGCTCTTTGGAAAATTCCAATTTTTAGATTTCTTCGATTTTTTTCCTCAGAATTGGTAGAGACGATTATGTTTTAGTATAGAGCAAGTTGAAGGCCATGACACACCAATGAAGTACAATTTGTTTTCAACTTTTTTGATGATTAGTATGGCACTTTTGCAAAATGAATGATCGAAAAAATTTACATTGTAGTTTATTGGTATGCCATGGCCTTCAATTTGCCTCGCACTAAAATATAATTGTCTCTACTAATTCTGAGCAAAACAAAATTGAAAAATTTGAGTTTTCAAAAATGCTCACATTTTTTTTCGTCACTATATTATGTGTGTGAAAATCAAATTTCAAGTCAATGAATGGAAAATCCTGGTATTCCATGTCAGTAAAAAAAACAAATACACAGTAGCGAAAAAAATTGATAAAAGAAAATCATTTATACTTACCGACTTACCGAAACCCGGGGAGTGTGTAGTGAATTTGGCAACACTGGAGCCTAAAGAACACGGCGGCGAGTCCGCGCGAAGGTCACCAAAGTTGCAGGATTGCGTATGGTGACCAGACCAGGGTTAAATTTCTTACAGCATATTTATATGAAGTTTTTCCAGAAATTCCCATAAATTTTACTCAGTAAATTCAACTCCACATTCGAATCTTTCATAATCGGCAGACTCCGCTCTTTTTCCCATATTGTAATTGAAATTTTTCTAAAGAGGTTCTCCTTATCTGTCGATATTAAATATCCCCCTGTTTTTATCACTACCTTTCTGAAATTCATAGGCACGTTAAGGACCTTATAATTCTCACAGCAGGATGTCAAGTATTGTCTCTCATATCGAATTATTTCTGGTGGTTGTGGACATTGGTAAGTGCAAGAAAAAGTGGTTCACAATTGTCTATCAAATTAATCAAGTTTACTCAGTCGCACAGCAAAAACGAATGTCTGAACTTCATACACCTTTTGTAGACATTTTGCAGACACTAAAAAACTTCTGAATAAAATGATAATTTGTCTAAATTCCAAACATGAATTAAGATGCTTAGGCAAATTCAAACAAATTGCAGACAAATTTTCATTTTATTCAGACGTTTTTTAGTGTCTGAAAAATGTCTACCAAAGGTGTGTAAAATTCAGACATTGGTCTTTGCTGTGCGATTCATGTTTCCTTGAGTCGACTTATCTCACCCTATTGATGAAGTTTCAGAGAACTATACGCACGAAAAAATTTAATAGAAAAACGAATTCGCTAGACATTTCTAGCGGATTTCTTTTGAATTTTCTGTGGGCTTCGTTGCTCGATTCTATTGAAATGCTCACGAGAAAATATTCTATAGAGAAAGTAAACAGAATTAGATTTTTCTATACAACTTATTTTATTGAGATATTTTCTATAGAATTTACTCGGCTCAAATTTTTCACGTTTTTTTTCATTCTATTTTCCGTTTCTTTTCATCGAGAAAATCAAACAAAAAAACCAATGCTGTTGACTTTTTCTATGGAATATTTTCTATTGAATATTTCAATAAAATCAGCCAAAAACTAATAGAGGGTTCAATAGAAACCCAAAAGAATTGTCTAGCGAATTCACAAAGTTATTCCATTAAATTTTTTTTATACGTGTAGAACTAGCAATAAAAAGTATTGAATATTATTACATCATAATAATCACATAAAATTTTTAATTTCTAATTCTTAATTTTTGTCAGTCATTTTATTTATTCTATCGAAACACAAGGATAGAAATAAAATTTATGTCCTTTTTTGTATTCTTTTATTATTCGAAAAAATACATCGATTTTAAAACTTTCCGGAGACGGTGAAAAACTATTTTTTTTTCTTCAAGCCCACTTTTTTTGCATTTTTCCATTTCTTCTCGTTAAAATGTGATCATTAATCTTGAAAATATTCATATGCTTCCCATATTTGAACGAAAAACAGTCATTTTAAGTTTCCACCGACAAAAATTTAAAAAAATAATAATTTTCCATTTTCTAGCCGATTATCTCTTTTTCAAAAATTTTTAGTCTCCGATTCGTGATTTTTGCTATTCAATGCCATTCATTACATTCATCATTCTATCAAAAGGCAAGGATAGAAATCGAATTGATGGGTATTCTTTCATTATTCGAAGATATTTGATGGGGTTATTCGTCGGTAGGGCCGCAAAAGGTGCAGTTTTACAGCTGTCAAAAAAAAAAAAATATATATATATATATATATATCAAGAATAAGAATGAATCAAATTAACTTAATCTAATCCTAAAGTCGGAAAAGGCGAAAAAAAATATGGTAGAGACTAATCTCGTTGGCTAGTAAAAAAAATATTGATATAGTTTTAGTCCATTAATTTTTCCATTTTCTAAAAATTGAATCACCAGATGGGCACCCACATACACACATTGTCGTTAAGCTTCGTATTGTTCCGTTTCAGCCCACTTTTCATAATTTCCAAGCAAAATTAGGAAATCTTAAAACAGAGTGATTTTAATGACACTCTGAGGCACAAATTGATAAAATTATTTACAGTTGTTCTGTTTTGTATTTAGGCACCACTTCGAGGTTTCTACATGCTGTGGACTAAAATCCTTGCCCCCTGGTTCTTCTCGTCCCCAGAACCCCAACCCGAAATGGACGAGAAGAAGCAACGGAAATTGGAGCGGAAAATGGCAAGGCGCCAATAAAAAATTTCCCGTAAATTTTTCTTCAATTTCTCAATGGATAAAACATTCATATAAAACAGAATGACTCATCTCCACTGACTGTACAGCAAGATCATTAAAAAATTATTCATCAGAAAATGACTGCTTATTTATCCTCCTCCTTAACAATAGATCCAAAATAGAAGAAAAGAAAAAAAGAAATTCACGACAATCGTTGAATTCCCAGTATTAATTTGTGCGAAACCGACAATTGTAAATAATTTTATCAAATTGCTAAAATTAGTTACAATTGTTCTAAACTCCTTGCCCACTGGTTCTTCTCGCCCCCAGAACCTCAACCCAAAATGGACGAGAAGAAACAACGGAAATTGCTCAAGGGGTCTGTAACCACGATTTTGAGTGACACAATGATTTTTAAAATGATTTCCATGATTACTGATTTAATTGATTTCCAATACTTTTATTAGTGATTTCCAGTAATTTCCAATGACTTTTTTTTGAGTTGGAAAAAGATATTAATCGGGTCCACAGGGTAGAATTTATCTTTAGTTTCCATTGATTGCACCGGCAAGTGTCGTCAAATTCCCGGTGTTATTTTTTGCGAAACAGACAATTTTAAATAATTCTATCAAATTGCTAAAATTATTTACAATCGTTCTGTTTCTAAACTACTTCGCCGCACTCGCGTGTAAAGTCCGACTTACCTCACTTGTTGTGTAAAATACCATTGTGGACCTTGTGATGAAAATAACTATTGTGAGACTTCTTTAACTATTGAACTCGTTATTCTCGAAGTGTAGACGCCTAATTCTCCTTAGAATCCACAAAATTGATTGAAAATAAACGAGAGCCTATTGAGCGGTACTACCCGCCATCGGGTAATACCGCTCGGCACGATTCCAATGCCGCTCATAGAGTTTTGCGTGTATCGCTCGCGCCGCAAACTAACCTGTACTCGAGTGCTGTCGAGCAACTACGTGGCCGATCCTATGAGCGGTATTACCGGCTCCGCTCGGCGTCAACAAAATTGTTGATAATTATTGACATGAGTGGAGTTTTGAGTTCGAATTGGTCTCAAATTACGCACGAAAGTACCACGAATCGAATAACCATAGTTTAATATGAGAATTCAGCGTTTGAAACTATCAAAAACCTTAATTAAAAGTCCACAAATTGTGCACTTTGAGGTCTTTACAGACCTCAAAACTTCTGTACGTATTTTTTCATATTTAAAGTGGTAAATAAAGTGGAATTTTTCCGACAATCACATCGTATCATCAAATTCTTCATGATCAGGAACAGGAAGAAATTTTCAAGTTGATGGTTGTGGAGAAAATCGGGTGAGCGGTATTACCCGCTGAGCGGTACAGGCACACCCTCCCCTACACCGGCAAGTGCCACCGCAATTCCCAAAGTTATTAACTCCTTGAAATTGGCGCGGACAATGACAAGGCGCCAATAAAAAATTCTCCGTAAATTTTATTTTCAATTCCCCAATGAATAAAACATTTATTCAAAACAGAATGACTCATGTCCACTGCCTGTACAGCAAGATAATAAAAAATTATTAATCACAAAATGACTACCTATTTATCCTCCTCCCTAACAATAGACCCAAAAGTGAAGAAACGAAAAAAAAAACAATTTACGACAGTCGTCAAATTCCCGGTGTTAATTTTTGCGAAACAGACAATTTAATTCTCCCTATTCCCCGTTTACCGGCACAGTGAAATGCATTCCAAAGTATAGGTAGTCAGCAACGAATGGCACTCACTTGGTTTCGGCATTACAACAAGTTAGCTCGACCAGTTCATTACACTCGCACGTGTTATTTTTTCTCCGATTCATTCTTGTTAGTGTTGATCAAGTGAGCCTATCATAGACGCTTAAAAGTTATCGATGGGACATTTTTATCTATGAGATTCACACTACTTTCGGCATATTTTTGTTATCGAGGGTAGTGATTAGAATCGACGAAATAGTTTGGGAATGGAATCGATGAGACTTAGTAGTACGGCTAGATCAAAGGTTGAGGACGTTCTTTTTTTTCCTCCTTCTCGCTGTTAACATAGGCACATCTACTTAAGTCAGATGTCCCGAGTACGGTGGACTCAGTGCGAAAGGGGTAACGATACACCGAACACCGGTTAATGTGTATAAATAAATGAAAATTTAATTTTATGGTGATAATACTTGTGCCAGGAATTCCTGAAAAATGAACTGCAGGGCATTTATACCGGCTCCTGTTGCAATTTTATTTTTATGTTTATGCGCGAGTGGAGATTTTATTGAGGACTATTGCAAAAGAAATGCCAGCGGCTGTGTTGACCAATTGGTGTCGAAAATAGCTGAGGGATTTGATGCTGATAATGAGTCCAGTAAAAGTGTTACCCCGAGGATTTTAATTTCGGAGGATTTGGGGGGAAATGGGGAGTTTCAAGTGCCTTGGTTTCTGAATCTTCCGCTACTTCCGGTGCTGTTTGCCTCTTCTCCGACACTTCCGGAGGGGGAGTGCAAGAGACACTCGCTTAGATATCTTCGGGAGTTGAGGAATGGAACACTTTGGGCTTCGCGAAGTAAGTGGTGATTTTGCCAATTTTTGCTTCCGAATGGAAGTATTGTAATTGCTCAAATTTAAGTTTTGGATTTCTTGTGTTATGTATATATGTGTGTGTGTGGTAAAGTTTTTCTTCCATTGCTCGCAAATGAATGGATGGAATTGAATCTTTTTTTCAAATGTAGGTATTGTTGAACCGTATCGATTGCCATTAATTAAAATTTAATTCATCGATTAGTTTTTTTAATTTTTGAAGTTTTTCAAAAATCGGTTGTCCCATGATATCTAAAAAAATGTTCTGAATTGATTGAATGACGGCTTAAAAAATTGATGTCCAGTTAACCTAGTTCGAAGATGAAGGCGATAGCAATAATCGTTATTTCGATTTATTCGAAAATTTTCAAAAATTTTGTATTTTTTGAAAATCAGAATTCCGGGGATATCTTCGAATATCATGCTCCAAATAAATTCAATCATAGCTTAAAATCTTTGTTTTCATGCCATTAAGTCAAACTTAAAAGATGATTACGATAGCTATATTGGTTGATTTGATTTTGATGATGATTGCTGAAAATTTTGAATTTTTCATGAATTTCCCTGTACAAAAGACGATCGTTTGTACAGAAGAAAAGGGATAATAAGAATAATGATGCTAATAACATTCAACTAAATTGAAAATCTAACAAAATTTGGGAAAAGGAAATCTTCAATTTAATAAAATGAAATAAACAATGAATTACACATGATAGAAGGAAATGATGTGCAAAATAACCTTTCGCAAGCATATTGCTTATTTATTAGCAAAAATAACTATACTCTATACAATACAAGAGCAATTTCCCACTTGTTTTATCTTCCTGGAGGAAAGTTGATGTAGAGTGAACAGTCCAATTGCGCCCCCCCCCCAACCCCCATTAACGGAACACTTGAATATCTTGCCAGATTTATAAAATATTTACCTATCTATCGACTCGATTTTTTTAAATTGAGTCGATATTTCCATCCATGATATGAGAATATATTCGGTGGTCGACCTGCCATTTTGCGGTAGGTGAGTAAGTAGTTAGATGTGACAGTGTGACCGGTAATGTGTCGAACAAAGTTACTTGGGTTACTAATCATCAACTGTCGTAAATCCAGACTAATATTGATCCTAAAAGCTTCATTTTTTCATATTTTCACATTCATTTTTTCGGAAAGTTCTTATTTCTACAAATATATGGGTGTTCCGCCATTTGGGTTGGATTTTCGTGGCATTTCCAATCGATGGAATATGGATGTTTTCGGTTGGCACGTGCCGGAGTGGTTCAGTCAAAAGTATATAAATAATCGATAAGTGGAAAATATAATGACATTTAAGTTTCTATTCCTTGTTAAATTGTTCTGACAAATTCATATACGCAGAAAATCGAGTTATGCGTTTATGTGATCGCATTACTCATTTTTACATTTTTCCGCTAGTAAGAGTTTCTTTGCAGAATAAAATTTGCATCAGAATTCCAATATTCAATTATAATCTAAACTTGTTGACATCTTTCTACAAAAATATCTTTATCACTTCGGGTTCCTGCCCTTTCACCGTCTCACAAAGTTCTAATGTTCCGTAATTGAGAGCACGATGTTCCATATTTAGCAAAAGTATCCCGTAATAGGTCTTTTGGACTTGAACATAATTTTTCATTCTTCCCAATTATTTCTCATTACATAATGTGTTTTTTCTTTTTTCTTCTGAAACCTAGTGAATTTGGATTCGACCAGTATTTTTCTTTATTTTTTCAAATAATAATTAATTTTTAAACCATTGTCTGAACCTCCGACGAGTCTTCAGTCTTCCATAATTAGACTATTCACCCTGCACCGGGAGAAAAAATTATCTGTGCTAAACAAGTTTACTAGTAACAACCAAATGCCCAGAATTTCCATATAACACATACAAAAAATTTTAGGGGAGCACATGCCGCATTAGCTGGAAGATTTTATTGAACTTCGACTTCTATTAGTTTTTCGCTGATTCTATTAAAAAAATTCGCTGCTTTTCTGTGCGTTTTTCCAATTGAAATGCTCAGTGGAGAATATTTTATAGAGGAGGTGAATAGAATTTGATTTTTGTATACAACTTATTTGACACCCAGACAAACCTAAACGTAAATTACGTTTAAGAAGTCGTCTTTTACACTTGAAGTTAAGGCATGAATTACGCTCAGAATCGCCGTAAATTACGATTACATAAGCGTAATTCATGGTTTCGTATTCGTAAATTACGATAATTGTTCCTATATTTTACGTTTACTTATCCGTAATTAATGTCGAAGACAAACAAGTTAAAATACAATGTTTTTTTCCTAAATTATGCATAAGTAAATGGTAAAATAAATTTTGTATTAAAATCGTGATTTACGATTTCTTAAGCGTGAAAAACGCTTATTGAAACGTAAAAGACGTACAATAAAAATGTAAAATCGTAATCTACGTATTTATTTTTACTATAAAATACGCCTTTTTGAAGCCCAAATTCCGATTTTCATGACGTTCAGCGTGAATTAGTTTAGCAAACTGCAATTTATGTTTTGGTTTTTCTGTGTGTATTGAGATATTTTCTATAGAAATTCCTCGGTTCAAATTTTTTTTTATTTTTTCAATGAGAGAAGAAAAATGGGTAAAAAATTATAAGATTTATGTCACGGAATCTCATAGAAAATGTATCAAAAGAATAAGTTGTGAAATTTTTTAATAGAATCGGAAAATAACTAATAGAATTTTCAATGAAATTGCAATAGAAATTCAATACAATTTTCTAGCGAATTCGCTAAGTTTTTCCATAAACATTTTTCGTGCGTGTCTCTAAAAGCACTATTAGAAAATTTTTTAATGAGATCGATTTTTTTAAATGACAGAAGAAAGAAGGAGTAGAAAGATGAAATTATATCAACCTTGTCTCGAAAGTAGTTTTTAATGAACATTCTCTATTGAAACAAAAGCGCAGGAAAGCTGCGGAACTTTTAAATAGAATCAGAGAATGGTATATTTCGATGCGAGTGAGACGCAATTTTCACGACTGTAAAGTTGGCGGCCCGAGGCGAAGCGGAGGGCTGCCAATCACACCAGCTGAAAATCCCTGTCTCATATGTGTCGAATAATATTTTTGACAGTGATGTTACGTTCAGCGAGTGGCGGAACAATACCTTTTCCATCACCTCAAATTTTCATCATCTCAATTTTTGAATATCATGTTTATCATTTCCATTACTTCTTTAGTTTTTAAATGAGTTGCGTCAGATATTTAGACTTTATTAATCTGTACTTGGCACTACAGCTTTTGCTGGACTTCACAACTTCTTGTAAACAGACCAACGGTCGCACCCGTTCTTGGCGAGTGTTTTTTTTTACAAAAGAACTTTTTTTTTTATTCTCATTTACCACTACCGTTCCGCTTTACATCATGAATATATTATATATCGAAACTAGAGGTGTAGAATGACCGTTTTCTCCCCTTTCGGTCACATCGGACGTAAATGACCGATGACTGACCCTTACGGAATTTTGTATGCAGAATGACCGTCGCAGTTAAGCCGCGGCAGACACGAGCCAAAATGATCAAAAATCGTCTATACACTGAGTGAAAAACAAGAAAGTTCTTAAACAAGTCTGACTTGTGCCAAAAAAATCTTTGGCTAAAAATTATCAAAAAAGATTTTTTGCGCCGAACATGCGACGTGTGCGTCGAGATTGAAAATTTTTATTGCAAAACAGAGTTAGTCTTTTCAAAAAAAATCTTTCTCTGTGCAAGCAAGAAATGTAATTTCTAGCACTACTTTTTCGTTATTCGATGTTTCCGTGTATAGTTTGCTCCTGGCATGTTAGGCTCGTTTTATATGAAACGAGGAATAGTACACTGATAGAATGATTCATTTATTCCAAACGAGATTCGTTAACTATCAACGAATGGTAGAGTTGAATATGACCAGATGAATATTCGTTAATAGTTAACGAATGGTTCACTTGAATGGCGCAAGTCAAGTCAAACAAGGCTCCTCAAATATACATTCGTTAACTATTAACGAATGAACATTTGGTGAGACCGAATAGACCCTAATCTCCAACCAAAATCCATTCGTTAACAATAACTAATCCGTTCTATCAGTGTAGTTTGTCGTTTCGGTTGTTTAATAATCACAGACAAAAAATGAATTCTTGAATGAAATAAAAATAATGATATGACAGCAATCTTGTAACTTAAGGACAAAATATATTTTGATGAACTTCCCTCAGATGATATTTATATCCTGAAAAAGTACCGCCTTGTATGAATGATCCGCCGCTTGAGCCAAATATTTTGTTGTTGTTGAAAGCAGAGCAATTATTCATGTTTGAGACTTTCAAATTTGAACCAAACAATTATTTTTTTTATAATTTTCAACTAACGATTTTGTTGGCCCAAATAAGACTTGCTTGAGAACTTGTTCGTTTTTCTCAGTGTATAGTTGGAAATTTTAAGGGTTCGATCGGAAAACGTTTTACTGGAATTGAATTATTATTAATTATTATTTTATTTATTAATTATTATCAGTGGCCTCGCTCTCACTGATACATTGTTATAAAAATGAAATTTCATGGACCGTTGACTAGTAATTTTGAGGACAGTGCCACTGAATGGAATTTAAGGGAAAAAAAATCACGAAATATCAGATATGACTAAAAAATTAATCGAATTCCAAAATTTTGAGAACTATGAAGACGAGAGTTCTGCAAGTTATTTGAATTTTCAATGAAAACATCAATATTCAGTGCCAAACAATTAAAAATTGTAGAATATGTTTATCGGAATTTTCCGGTTTTCTATTAATTTTCAGGGAATAATTGATTCAAAATTTAAAGTTCTCATTGATTTTTCCCCGAAATTCAGAATTTTCAATGATGAAATTCCTTGAAATTACAGTGAAACATAGATGTGATAAAAATTTCTGAAAAATGTATTGGAAATTTCAGGGAAATTGAAGGTCATCGGACAGAACTTGACAATTAAAATTTATTCGGTCGTTTCATGCTTATGGCCAAACATAATTTTTTTCTGATAATTTTTTTATGGTCAGATTCTCGGCACGGTAATTACCGGTTATGACGGTGGTCATTGACAGTCATTTGACCGGTCATTTTTGTCACTCACATTTCTAATGGAAACATTGGAGGTGCATAAAAAATCGTGAAAATAATAAATACTTGAAGATGAGGATTCTTCTACGCGATTTGAGTGAGCTGGTTTGTGACAAAATCATACTTAAATACAAGAATATTTTGAGGTATACCCCTAGAAAACACGTTTTTCTTAAGATTGCCTTATGTTTTTCCTAGATAATGTTTATAATAGTTCCCAGGTATTTTGAAAAAATGTTAACTAACTGTACTACATAGTTTAGGAGATAATAAATAATCAAATTCGGGCTTCTGCAACAGCAACAACACATGAGAATGGCAACACTCAGTAACTTATGAGAATACAATAAATTAAGTTACTTAGATTTTTTACGGAAATCCATAGGGACTAACTTTTGGGTTCGATTGTCTTGGGATATACCTTAAAACATGAGACCGTTCTCGGGTCACGTGAGTTCCGATGTCTAGGAGAATTAAGGGATTGAAGAAAAATTACTTGTCTTAAGTAAATATGTTTCAGATATTAGAAATATGTTTTCTCATTGTCAGTGTAGAACTTTTTCTCTCTGTATGATATTCACGTGATTACAGTCATTTCATTGATTTCACGAAGATTACAAGTAATTACACGAGCGAGTGCCACGACGATTAACTCTGTGAATAGCCCCTTGTTTGGGATCTAATCATCGTTTTGAAAGTGTTCGAATCTGATAGCACTTGTGGTCCAAGGACGATTTTGAGAAGAAAAAAAATGGAAAGTTACGATTCGTGCTTAAATCTGAAGGGAAATCAATCAAATCCTATTATGTTTCAAAATTCTTCCTCCAGTTACTCAAATCAAAGTCCGACTCTTCATGGAATTCCGTTGAAGAATAAGAAAAATATTTCACAATGTTGATGTATCATATTTACGAAATCATGAAATAATCCAGAGTTTTGGGTGAAATTGTCAAACAGCCTTTTTCCAAAGACGATAGTGAACTTTAGATGCGGTAGATGCAGATCATGTTACACATCAGTTATATCAGAGAATTATGTAATTTCATTTATATGTTCACTTCTCTGTTACACTGAGAAATTTCTCTCGCTATTAGAGTATTTGATAAATGTCATTCCTGTCTGAAATCCACGAGGATTCTCTCATTTGGAACACAAAATATAAATTTCGATATAATTTAATGTCAACTATTCCATATGAATTATTAGATGCAGATAAGTTTTTTAGAAATGAACAAACATTACAAAATAATATTTTTATTTTATTAACTCGGTATTTTCTCAACACGGATTAGTGAAACCGGGCCTAGGATCAATTATAATTACCAGCAAAGGGCGGAGCGCGCTCATAAATTGGCCAGTCGTTTATGCATATTATCTATGATTGCTATGTAGTCATTCATCCATTAAAAAGAGAGTTAATAATTCGCTCTTATTGTGTTTAGATTTAAAACAAAAAAGATTGAATCTTTTTCTATAAACACATGAATAACAATTTCTCGTTCACGAGTTTTTTTTAAAGAAAAATAGAAATCTTATTCATAATCACCATTATTATTTTTGGCTTCCGAATGGCAGCATTGCAATCCTTCGATTTTCACATTCTCTAATGTTAATTGGAATTGATGTTGAATGGTCTGAAACGTAAAAATACGAAGTTTGGCGACCAGGTATGTATGTGACCACGTCCACCGCCACCTTCCCGCTGGTCAATTTTTAGAAAATTCAGTAGTTAAGTGGCTAAAGTAATTCCAAAAAATCTAAAATTTGATCAGATTATAGGTCTTAATAAGGACTAACTCTGCAAAATTTCAGACCGATCTATCCAATTTTTTGTAAACACTCAAGCTTGTGCAAAAATCGAGATATCCACTTGAAATTTGGACAGAAAATATATTATATACCCTCATACGAAGTATTCGAAACATTGGAATTTTGATAACACCCATGGAGGCGGCCGTAATCATCGGAAATTTTTGATAGTAGTTAGTGTTGTGAAGCTATACACTTTTGTAATATTTCAGACCTTTTGGAAGCCCACCATCAATGTATTGATGGCGAAAAAAATAGGACATCCCTCAGTGGCATGCTCACTGTCACATGGCGCGCTATCATATGCTCGTTGTCCCCTGCTTGTTTTTCTCTCGTGTACCTTTTTAGGTCCTTAAGGCCGCCATACACAGGTGCACGGCGTACGCAGACCCGGTCCGTGCGAATACGGTCTATATTCTGTACACCCCCATACACGGAACGACGAGAATGTCTGCGATATTGATACCTTCATATGATTTTAAATAATTCCGCGATGAATCGCTTCGATTAAGAGTATTCCGATTATCGAATGTTTTTGTTTTTACTTCAAAAATGATGAAAAATGATGAAAGATGAAATAAAAGTTAATATTTCGTATGCATTTCAACAATATTCTCACTGTAAATGGATAATTTCATATATGTATTTCAATGGAAATATTTTATTCAGGAGAAACAAATAATTCCTTTATTCTGGATAAATTCTCTATAAGAATCCCATCGAAGATCTATTCCATAGAAATTAGGAATTACTCTTTGTCGCGTGCAAAATGATTCAATTTCTAATCAATAAATTCATAATTTGGGTCAAGGGGAATGATGAATATATTTGACGAATTATTTAATATTACTTTATTATAAAAACATGAATATTATTAAAGGAAAATAGATTCTAGTCTTTTTTTCTTCGGGGATGGCGCATGCGCAAATGCTCCCGGTCCGCGTACCGGGTCCGTTGTCACCATACACGGACGAACTTGAAGGCAATTTTGGTAGGCGACGGACCCGGTTTTCAAGCCGTCTTGAAAGACCACACACCACGGACCCGGTCTGCCGGACCTGGTCCGTGACCCTCCACACACAGGCGAACTTGGTCTCTTGGAGGCTCAATTTCGGCTGGTCCGCGTACCCCGTACGTCCGTGTATGGTGGATTTGTTCCTTCCCACCTCCCAACCCCCTGCACCGCATTCGCCGAAAACCAAGGGAAAACCTCAATTGAGGGAAAAACCTGCTCTCTTTGAGTAAATCTTTTCTCTTTGAGTAAATTTTGGTAACAGCAAAACTCTCGAGTTTTAAGTATTGTATGAGTGCCCACTTTATGGTTCAATATCATTACTCATGTTCGTCTAGTGCACAATCACTCATCACTCAATTAATCGCTCAATCACTGATATTACCATACTTACTATGTATAATCTTTGTGTCAATTCATCACAGATTTAGCTCGTAAATAAGAAAGGTTTGTCAAAGAATTTCAATTGGTCATGAAAAAACAAAAAATTAGCATTTTCAAGTGATGAATTCTATGAAAGGAAAATCATGTTTTTCTAGTGTTTGACTCTTCCGTGAAGTATCCTGAGGGTATAATAGCAGGTCACACACGTCACTACGGAAATTTCGACGAGTGTTATGAATTGAATGCTAAAATTCCACGTCAGGATGCTGGATTAGAACCTGAGGAGATTAATGGTCGTTATTGTCTCGTAAAGATTCATTATAAGAAGATAAATTCACCGCCAAGCAGAACGGCTCCATTCACCCTGAATTTTGATCCCAATGAGTCAGCATGGGAGGCTGTCAAGGTGAGTATCAACGATGATATTTTAATGTCATGGTTTTTGTGACAAAACGCGTTATTTAAATAGCGTAAAATGGCACGTGATGACGTGACCTCGTCCTATATCATATCATTTTTGTATCTTTAGATTTTTATTCGGAAGACTTTCCTTATTTACCTTGAATATAAAAATCAGTAAGTTATTTGGAAATCGAATTTTTCCCCAGAATTTGGTGGCACGTCTTTTCAACTAGGTGACATTTCAACTACGACATTTTAATTGAAATTTTAAACTACAACATATCACCTAGTTTTTGTGAAATTACTTTTTTTTTTTAATTAGCTGACATTTTTTTTATTTCCATTTTTTTTATTTTTTGCTTTTCAATAGATAACGTAATGCAACTTAATTTAACCACTGAACTAATACATTAATGATTAATATCATACAAAGATTCAATTTGTTTTTCTATAAACAATTATAAGAGACAAATAATTTAGTATTAATAGTTCATTCGATAATATTGTTTCTATTCTTTGCTTTTCAACAGACAATGTAACCCAACTCAATTTAACCACTGAACTAATACATTAATGATTAATATCATACAAAGATTCAATTTGTTTTTATATTAACAATTACAAGAGATCAATAATTTAGTATTAATAGTTGTTTTTTTAAGGATTTTCCATGCTTTAATATTTTGTTTGAATTGTTGACGTTTTGAGAGATTTAGGGAATTCAGTCTTTTCAACTAGGCAATAATTAATAATAATGTCATCCGTATGGCGTGTATTTAAATCTGAGCAGTTGAAATGTCGCCTAGTTGAAAAGACATGGATTCCCGGAATTTATATTTGTTTGAAATGTCAGAAATCGTCATCATTCCTCTGATTCATTCAGTTGAGGATATTCAAGTACTTCAAGTTGGCAACTTTTTTTGAAGCGAGATTTCAGTTTTGCTGAAAATCATGTAATTCCCATACATTTTCGGATTTTTCACGGTTGAATACATTTTTTTCGGAAAATCATCGTATTATTATCCATTAGTTTTATTATCAAAAATGGAAATTTGTAATATGATTTCTATTATATTTTTTATAGAATACTAAAAAAAGTCGAAATCGTCTATCTTTTGGTCGGTATCTAGGTATCCATCTATTGGTCTGGTTACCCTAGCTCAGTGAGCACTCGCTCGGATAGTGAAAGGTCCTGGGCTTCGATACCCACCCGAGTCAAATGCCAAGCACTTCAATTTTTTTCATTTCATATACGTCTTTTCAATCTTTAAAAAGAACTGAACTTCTATTGAATATTCTATTATTTTTTTTGCCGATTCTACACTGAGAGAAAAAATTAGTTCTGCCGAAAAAGTGTATGTTCCCCTGAAGGGATCTTTTGTCGATTTGAATTAATTTACTTGTCGATAAAAAATTAATTTTCCACTAAAACACCATCATTTTCGTAATAGTAATTGTTCTCGGGAGACATTTATATCTTTCGGGTAAATATATTCGTTCTACAGAGAATTATATGAGGCTTCGCGTTTGCCAGGTGAATATGATTGAGTAGTGTATACACGGAGAGAATATAAACTGAAAAATTACAATGTGAACATAGTAATCGAGAACCATACCGAAATAACTTAGGAATTTGATTTATCTTAACCGAATTTTTACTCGTCTCAAATGAAATTTTACTTTTAGTCTACCACTTTCTACTATACCGACTCGCAATTTTTACTACGTTCAACAGTAAATTTTGAGTGTGGCGAATGGTCCTCGATTACTATATTCACATAGTAAAAAATAATTTTATATTTTTTCCATGTATCTTTGTCCAATAAATACTTATAATTTCCATGGAATAAATGATAATTTCAAGAGGAAATAACACTTTTCTTGTTATTGGCAAAACTAAATAATTTCGAGGGGACAACTTTTTTTTTGGGAAAAAATATTCTTTTCTCGTCAATGTATTCATTCTATGGTATAAACCTATGAAATTCTCTCAGTTCAAATGATTGTCGTACAATAGATTATACTTTTTCCTGCCAACAGATGGAATCTACCTCTCTTTAACAATGGACAATTCATCATTCCATTTTATTACAGGACAATTCATCACAGCTCATCTCATCATCCGACAAATTCATCATGTGGACAATTCATCACGCGAACATTTCATCACACGGACAATTCAATTCAATAAGGAGCGAAAAAGAGATTCTAAATTATAGACTAATGGAGGGGGAAGAGGGGGAAAAGGGAAATAAGTACTGATAAGAGAGGGGAAAAAATTAAACTTATAATACTTATTGTTAAAATACTCATTCAATGATCGATCAAGTGCCTTCAAATAATAAATAAAAAAAAACAAATAACTGTTGATATTAAAAATCATGATTACTACTAATTTTACGTTGCCACAACAATGAGAATAACGCCAATGATAGAGAGGTCTACAACATAAAAAGATACTAAAAATACAGAAGAATAATTATATTTAGCAAAAAAAGGAAAAACGACAAACGAAAAATGATGAAATGTCTACATAATAAATTGTCCCAATGATGAATTGTCCCTATAACAAATTATCAATAATGGCATGTCCCCATAATGAAAATTAATGATGAATTGTTCAATAACATCACTATCCCGTAATAAGGAGAGGTGTTACCAACAGATCGACTTCTTCTTGGGATATTTCCAATGATCACGACAAAAATTTAATTTTTGTGAGAGATATTGAATTTCTTTCTATCAAGTTGGTTAAGGAGAGACTACTATGAGTTTTAAAAATCGCGGGAGATTTTCAATGTATTTTTCATACATTGAAGATCGAATATATATGTCTAAAAACGAATAATTAGTAGAAAAAAATCATTGTTTATTGATCCTTTACCCTGAAAACGCTTAAAATGTTAAAGATAGTCCAGGACCTCCAATTTGTTAATTACAGTTTTTTTTCAAAATTTTTGAAAAAATGTGTGCAATAGCAATTACGAATTAGTTTTCTGAAATTCAACTCCTACACAGCTAATTTCGTTATTTTGTTGATAAAAAATTAGACCATTCATGTAAAATAGCCCAAAAAATGTTTCTGAAAGAATCGAGATTATATTTTTAATATTTGGAGCATAATCTTTCTGCCTATTCTACACGAATGACGCTAATTATTATATTAAACAAAACAAATTTAGCTGTGTAGGAGTCGAATTTCAAAAATAATAATGCGTAATAGTTACTGCACACATTTTTTCAAAAATTTTGAAATAAAAAACCTTTATAACTCAAAAATCGTAGGCCCTGGACTATTTTTAACATTTTAAGCACCTGCGGGGCAAATGAGCAATAAACAATTATTTTTTTTGCACTAATTATTCGTTCTTAGACATATATACTCGATCTTCAATCCATGAGAAATCTCACTCCAATAGTAATCTCCCCTTAGCTTCACAAGTAAATCCGTTCCACTCCATCAAATATTCTCACGTGGAACATATAGTTTTTCGGCAGAGCTAATTTTTCCTCTCAGTGTATTAAGAAATCGCGCAGCTTTTCGGTGCGTTTTTTTATGGCAATAAAGAATATAAATGTTTCATAGGAAATATTTTATTTTATTGAAAACCGGAAAACATAGTTGACCATGGCAATGAAATCAAACGAATTTACATGTCTTACACAAACTGCATTACATCATGTGCTAACAACCCGACTGGATTCAAATGACTCGTATCAATCACATATTCATGAAATCACACATAACAAAATTCCATCAATGAATGGTACTGAATCTTACAGGAAAAAGGTGACTTCCGACGAGTGAGAAGGTACACTTTGGAATTGGCCTTGTGCGTGCCATCGTCATGTTCAGCGGAAGACGTGGAGAAGGCCTTGAAGGAGCCCTTGAAGAGGATAGGAGAGGAAAAACAAGTTGTTGTTCACACAAGTATTAAAGGGAACACATGCCAGTCTAAAGTTGATGCGCCGAAATTCTCGACCTCTGCCAAGGTCTATTGGTATGATATTGAGAGAATTAGAAGTTTTTCTCTCTAAATTCTAATTCTCTTAGAATTTTTTTCACGTTTATTGCTCGACCTCTGCCAAGGTCTATTGGTATGATATTGAGAGAATTAGAAGTTTTTCTCTCTAAATTCTAATTCTCTTAGAATTTTTTTCACGTTTATTGCTCGACCTCTGCCAAGGTCTATTGGTATGATATTGAGAGAATTAGAAGTTTTTCTCTCTAAATTCTAATTCTCTTAGAATTTTTTTCACGTTTATTGCTCGACCTCTGCCAAGGTCTATTGGGAACAGGAAATATCGTTGAGGGCGCTGTTTTTTGCCAATATGGCCGTCAAAGAGGTATACACACACGCGCTCACACAAGCCCCCATTTGCTTGTGTATCGTAGACGTGCACCCTTAACGCAGACATTCATAGAGGACGTCTTCTTATTAAGCATCTCCAATTGGTATGATATTGAGTCTTTCTGGAATATTTTCAGGTTTGAAAAAAATTCCGCATTTTTTCAACTGATGGGGTAACATATGAAATCACTTTTTCTGATGATTGAGGAGACTTCGTTGCACCATCTTTGACTGAAAAATAATAAATAATTTTTTGCTTACACACGGACTCTTTCGGGATTCACTTTTAAATTGATAATTTATCTACATTGGATATTTAATTCCGGAATATCACTCGAGTTAGTGGATTAGAATTGCTATCAACATGAAGAAGATAACATCGACTATTAATTGAAAAATATAATTGAATTTTCATCAAGTTATTCTAGATTGTTCCCATTCTTTATGTTATTAGTGACATACTCACCTATTGACTTTCTCGTATCGAATATCTAATAGAATCAGCGCAAAAAACAAATATAATTTTTCAATAGAATTACCACAGAAATCCTATAGAAACCCCATAGCATTCCTATAGAATTCCAATAGAATTTTCTAGCGAATTCGCTAGGTTTTCTATTGAATTTTTTCATACGTGGAGTTGGGGGGTGGGAAGGGAACAAATCGTAAAAACCTGAAAGGATATACGAGAGACAAAAATTTTCATACTGAAGATGAATATTTAATGGAGGCTTTCTCTTAATTACAGTTACATCATTCTGACACTAGTTGCTTTGGTTTGTATAAGCACGTGGTACGACAATGCAATAAAGCACGAAAAAGACACATACGATGGGGGCTTTGCTACGGACCTACTGCTCTGCTTCTCAGCGAGAAGGAATATGAAAAGTATCATGGAAGTATCGTACTCGCACCCAGGATTGGACAGCATCCACTTCATTCGGTTCTTCTTCATGTGCGCTGCAATGTTTGGTCACAGATACATGCAGTATTATGCTAATCCTATGGTTAATCCAGAGTACCTTGAACATGTAAGCATTCCAGCTACTGTGGGCCTTGAAGATAATTCAATGAAGAAAGGAACGCGGGGAAGGAGTCGTTTACTAGTAAACGAAAAGTCGAAACTTGTAAACGAAAAGACTTTTCGCAATTGTATCGAAATATACTATTTGTCACCATTGCTACTTTTGCATCGTGCCGCAAAGTGCCTTTTCCTTTACTTGTAAACGAAAAAAGCCACCGTTCAGTTTGATACATGTGCGACGGGGATTTTTCAACTCCTGTGATTGGCAGCCCTCGGCTTTGCCTCGGGCCTCCAACATCACGCTTGTGAAAAATCCATCGCACTTATATCAATAACTAAGTAAAAAAAAACTACCTGTATCGAAATACGATATATCATGTGTTTGAGTTGCATTAGAATTATCTATTGATGAAAATTCCTGATGTGCTCTCAAATAATTCTCACCATTCTATTAAGATGGTAATTATTATCACCGGAAATTTACAATGCAATACAAACCAATTGCAAATGAATGTGGAGAGGTCACTCCATTCGTACAATTCATCAAAGAAAGAAATACTTCCCATTTGTCACCCTGTACATTCGACTTCTTATGATAAAATGCATTTATGAAAAAAACATCGTTGTCATAGGAAATATTTACACGACGATTTCATAATGGCTTTAAAATATTGAATGATGTGATTTTTGTTTGTTAAGAGTTCTGTCGTAAATTGGTAAACTAGAAAAAGTGCATTTAAAAAAAAAAAATTTTTTTTGCCAAATGGTTTCCTCAAATTGTTGGGAAGCGATTTAACGAAAAAAATGAATTTTCAAAAAAAATGTACTTATCCTAGTTTACGAATTCACCGCAGAATTGCAAAATGAAATACAAGTAGTCTTACGGTGAAACCTAAACCCAGCGTTGCTGATGAAGATGTTTTTTGGTATAGAGACATTGTCAGTGACAAAATAAAAATGTGTTAGAGACTCAAAACCGTGGGAATGCTTGTCAAGCATTTTAGGCTAGCAACGGCTTTTAGGGAGAGTACCGGAAGAGTTGGAATCGAAGGAATGTCCACTCTTCGCTAAAAATCTACAGAATCGAGTGCACAACCGAACCCATTATTAGTTTGATATCGTATTGATTTATTCGTTTTATTTAATAGGGAACTTGCATCAATTTTTTTAAATTTTCTCATCTTCAAGTTTCGACTCTAACATTAGAAATATTGCTCGATAATTAATAATTGATTGTTGAAAGTTAAAGATATCAAACGCTTTGAAGTGGGTAATGACGTCACACGGGTGATCGAACGCTGGACCAATTACAGAATGACTCGAGCCAACCTAACCCAATCTTTATGAGGGCCTTATTCAATGGATAACGGCAACTCCCCTCTCTCCTCACATTCGACCAACAGAGCCCAACAGCTTCCCCGACGATTCTTTCTCGGAAACTCATGCTAGCACTAATTTTTCCCCCTTTTATTTTCCTTTCATGGCCCTTCATTAAGGGGAGACTACACGGAAAAAAAGGAAACTGCGGAAAACCTGAGATCACAGGTATTTAGCCGGAGATTCGTATGAGCGGACCGCTTCGCCAGATATATCTCGTCGTTTTCCTTGCGCAGCGCAAGACAATATTCCGTTCTTTAGCGTTAATTATTAGGAAGTTCAATGGGAAGTCGAATGTTCCATGAAAAGCTTGAGAATTTCGGAAAAACTATCACATTTACGCAAGGCATTATTCTGCACGGACGGAAAAACTAACGAAAGGAACACATTAATGGGGACTGGGATAGAAAAGAAAAAATTTCTATTTCGTTTTTATAGACATATATCTAGATTTCATGGTATACTTATTCCCTACATCACTAATGTCTGCTGATGTTGGGGTGATTCGCCAACGATTGAACAATTGTATTATTGACTGTACTGAAACTCCCCTGTCTTTTATAAATTATACTGAGAATCCCCTGTCTTTTCCCTATTTAATGTGAATCATGTACTGATCACCATATGATTCAATTCACAAAACAGTTGTGTTTTTATATACGTGGGAAATTGGTGAAACGCCAGCGTTTTACTGTCGAAGCATCCTCTTCGTACGAATCTCAGGCGAAATACCTGCGATTTCAGTATTTCCGTTTCTTTTTTTTCCGTGTACTATCAGTTTTAAAAGCCGCAGGCTATTGAAATGAGATTTCTCATGCATTGAAGATGGATTATATATGTCTAAAAACAAATAATTAATGCAAAAAAATTAATTGTTCATTAGGGGGGGGGAGGGTATCGTGGAAAAATACTCGGTGAACTCGTACCAGTTCCCTATTACATTCGTCTTATTTTTAACTGGTGTTCGGTCATTAAAAAGACATTTTACACAATCCCTTCCTGAACATCTCTAAATGGTCGAAGACCCCGTGAGCCCGTACCGAGACTAGTTGGCATATATAGTCTTCGAGTCGAAAGGCGACTTGATTAGAAAATCCCCCCGTCACATCGAGTTGCGTGAAGATTGTCTTATACCATCTACAGTGAGAAAAAAAATTTGCCAATGAATTATTTTCTTGGGAGAAGAATTTATTTTTTTAGGGGCGTATTTCTCCAGGCCCGTCATTCTCAGTTGGCCCAAGTCCATCTCAAAATATTACAATAAGGAACTTGCATGAATTTATTTCAAATTTCTAGTCTCACGTTTGGGACGTGAATAATTTTTTTTTATTTACAACTATTTCAAATATTGCTCATTAATTAATAATTGATGAACAATATCAAGCAATATCAAGAGAACTGTTTTGAAATGGAGAAAATTTTCGACCAAAATACAATGATTCACGTATGTTTGGTTTTATTTTTTAGACTTACACTGTACCTTCTTCGATACTTCTTTACAACGGACCAATTATTGTCGATGGATTTTTCGCTGTTGGAGGATTACTGATAGCTTATTATTTATTAAAAGAACTGGACACTGGGAGGAAAATCAATTTTACTGCTAATATCCTCATTCGATACATCAGGTAATTAGTAAAAAATATTTCTTCAATTTTTTCAAACCGTTATTCCATTGATTTTGCTGGTGATGGCAAAAGTTGCAAACAAAAGGCTGTAACTCAACAATGAATGGCGCCATTTTCATTATATTCCGAAAGAATGGAGAGGCCATTGACATCATTTTTTCAAGTCATAATTAGATACTTTCCAATTATGATTGCGCTGAGAAAAAAAATGATGTTTGGTAAATATTGATTTACTTGAGAGAAGCATTTATTTTTTCAAAGGCGTATTTCTCCAATCGAATCACTCCAAGGTGAGCCTTATTATTTCAATTATGATAATCATGTTGCTCTAGAGGATGACTATGTTGCACATGACCTTGCATGAACTCCTCCAATGATTATTCTTTTTTTCTGAATTTCTTATTTTCTACAGAGAAGAATTGCGATTAATTTTTTACTGTTTGTAATCATTAAGGGAGTTCCCTCACGGTCATAACTAACATGGTCATCTTCTAGAGCAATATAATTGTTATAATTGAAACCTAATGAGAATTGCCTGGAAATGATTCGGTTGGAGACATACGGTATTGAAAAAATAAATACTTCTCTCAAGTAAATGCATATTTGGCAAAAATCATGTTTTTTCTCAGTGTGGTTGAGTGATCGTTGAAAAATTGATTTGTGGGGAAATATGAATATCTCTGAAACCCTATGATTATTTGATTTTAATTGATGTCAATCGATAGAGTTCATCCACATAGACTACATTAAAAAAAAGAATTATAGGGGATATTCCACTAAATCTTGCCCGCGAATTCGGATTCAAAGTTATAGATGCTTTTCTGTGAACTAAAAATTATTTGCATATGACAAAATATGGTTATGCGTTTCATCAACAGAGATTCGCATACTTTTTTCATACATTTGTTGCAGTCGTGTGGAACGCGTCAAAAAATGCTTGAAACAAAAATTGAAATAGTATATTTCAAGGTGAGTGTCATGGGCTTTTTCCTATCGCACTCGCCGTTTCCATTTCCTCGCCTCGTCAGTAAAAAAAAACCCATGTCACTAGTCGTGAACGATATTTTTCCGTAGTGATTTTCCCTTTTACGAGTTTGGGGATTGGTATTGGCCCTTCCCCAACTCGAAAAAGTAAAAATTACTACGGAAAAATATTGTTCACGACTAGTGCCATAGAGTTTTCTTACTCGTGTGGTTGGCCAGTCCTCGCCTTCGGCTCGGACGCCAACTCCGCGCGAGTAAAGAACCCCATGGCATTCGTCCTGAAATATACTATTTTCGATTGGAAATTTTCGATCATTGTCGAAATGTCGTTATTGTTAATGTTGAGGGAAGTCAACTTTCTCAACTGGCCTTCCTAATTGGCAGAAACTGGCACATGGCAGAGGTTTTCTATTCTCCCGATATCAATTTGCTTGATCATTCATTTCGGAAAATATCAATGCCAAATGAGAAAAAAAATTATGAACTATCTATTTGATCCGTTGATTTGGCAAATTATGAAAAAAAGATCAATATTTAACCCATATTCGAGCAGATCCCCGCTAAATCTGTAGGCTAAACAAGCAGCCTGGCAGAGGCTATGCGACAGAAGGCATATATTCATTTTTTTTTATTATTTTCATTTCTACCAATCACATTGGTAGTAAGCTTCCGAATTTATCTTTGTCACAATTATGAGAATATTTTATTAACTATTGAGAATATAGGACGGAAAAACAGGAAAATAGACCATAATTATCGTTGCCCATGCCTAATTAAGCCTTTACGATGCAGGAATCATCGACAAAGTTGCAATGTATAATTTAAGAAAAATTTTTTTTTTATGAATTGCCCTATGCCAAGAAGTATCGAATCATTCAGCCCCACATTTTATACGCAAGTATGGCTCAATAATACTATCAAGTAGGCAAAATTTCAGACTTTTATTCCAACATCTACGCGTCATATGCTATGTCACAATAACCTTTCATATGAAAAAAAAGAAAAACGCTCATATCTCGAAAACTTTGTGAGGGAGGCTATTAATATTTTTTCGTAAGAAGACCCGGTAAACCGCGATTCTAACCTCGCTTCGCTCGGTTTGATCGCGGTTTACGGGCCTTCTGACGAAAAATTGCATTCATTACACGGTCCAAAAGTATTTTCTGACGAATGTGATTATAGGCCTCGCCTTCGGCTCGGCGCTTCGCGCAGCCTGCTCAAAACTCGACTTCTGCACGACTTAACATAAAATATTATAGAGCACTCGGTAATAAATTTCGTTTTCAACGAATGTGTGTACCTCGCCTTCGGCTCGGCCTGTAAACTACACATTCGTTGAAAACGAAATTTGTGCCCTTGTACTCTAATGTACTATGATTGATTTTGATAGAGGACATCGGGACGAGTATTTAAAAAAAAAAGTTGAAATCCGACCAGCCATTGAAGAGATATTGCGGAAAATAGTTTTTCAAAAAAAATTTGAAAAAATTAAATATCTCCCAAACTACTCATCTGATTCGGCCCAGCCAAAATACCATCCTTTAGTATGATGGAACCTACAATCGTACAAAATTTCAGCTTCCTATTTCAATTTTTTCTCGAGTTATCGCGACTACAAGGATTTTATAAAAAATATACAAAAAATTGGAAAATGCCAATTACTACCTAGTTGCCCGTAGTTAAGTTGAGATATTATAAGTTGATATAAATAATCACAAAGAATATTTTGGCGTCAACTAAATTCAATTTAGTCCCGTAGTATTTTAGACATGGAGGAAAAAAGATTTTTTAAAAATCTGCTATATCTCAAAAACTACTCGACCGATCGAGCTGAAATTTCGTCTGGATTTGCTCCTAAACAATGCCAATTATCCCACAAAATTTCAAATTTTTAGCTTCAACTTTACTCCTTTTTGCTTCCGAATGGAAGCATTGTATTTGACCGATTTTTATATATTCTAATTTTGCCTGGAAATGATGTAGAATGTTATAAAACATAAAGGAATGATGTTTAGAAAAAATGTCTGTACGTCTGTGTGTGACAGATTGAGTTTTCGTCGATTATTTTTTAGAAAAAATAACATTAATACCGTGAAATTCATCGATAAAAATCTGCAATTTTGCATCAAAATAGGTACTATCAATGCGCAATTTTTTAGCACAATTTGACGTCAATCGGTCCAGTAGTTTCTGAGATATAGTCATTTATCGAAAATTCGTTTTTCCTTAATATCTCGAGAACTATTCACCCGATCGAATTTTTTTTTTTTCAAAATATTTGTCTCGATTTTTTCTATCTCGATCACTCAAAATATGTATACCCGTTCATACTAAGTTTTCGAGATACTGCGGTTTTTCTGTTTTTTGCGTAAAAACCTTGTACGCACGCTAGCTCGAGAAAAAATCGAGATAGGAAGTTGAAATTTGGTAGGATAGCTAGCTATTGTAATCCTACAGCTTGGTATTGTGTTTGAGCTAAATCGGATAAGTAGTTCCTGAGATATAGTAATTTATCTGAATTTCATTTTTCCTTAATATCTCATCAACCATTGACCCGATTCAATTTTTTTTTCCAAAATATTCGTCTCGATTTTTTCTATCTCGATCGTATGTATGCCTGTCTTAGGAACAGGGAAATGGTACGGATTCATTCGGAAGCTTACTACCAATGGAATTGGTAGAATCTATGTTATAAAACGTAAAGAAATGATGTTTAGAAAAAATGTCTGTACATCTGTGTGTGACAGATTGAGTTTTCGTCGATTATTTTTTAGAAAAAATAACATTAATACCGTGAAATTCATCCATAAAAATCTGCAGTTTTGCATTAAAATAGGTACTATCAGTGCGCAATTTTTGAGTGCAATTTGAAGTCAATCGGTCCAGTAGTTTCTGAGATATAGTCATTTATCGAAATTTCGTTTTTCCTTAATATCTCGAGAACTATTCACCCGATCGAATTTTTTTTTTTTCAAAATATTTGTCTCGATTTTTTCTATCTCGATCACTCAAAATATGTATACCCGTTCATACTAAGTTTTCGAGATACTGCGGTTTTTCTGTTTTTTGCGTAAAAACCTTGTACGCACGCTAGCTCGAGAAAAAATCGAGATAGGAAGTTGAAATTTGGTAGGATAGCTAGCTATTGTAATCCTACAGCTTGGTATTGTGTTTGAGCTAAATCGGATAAGTAGTTCCTGAGATATAGTAATTTATCTGAATTTCGTTTATCCTTAATATCTCATCAACCATTGACCCGATTCAATTTTTTTTTCCAAAATATTCGTCTCGATTTTTTCTATCTCGATCGTATGTATGCCTGTCTTAGGAACAGGGAAGTGGTACGGATTCATTCGGAAGCTTACTACCAATGGAATTGGTAGAAATAAAAGAAAGAAAAAGACTTATAAGACAAAAAGTAACGGTCGCATCCCTTCTGTCGAATAGGCTTGAACCCCTGCTTGTTTTGTTGAAATTGAAAACAAAAAATCCGAAAAATCCGCACATACATACGGACATACACACACACACACATTTCTTAAAAACATCATATTTTCGCGTTGCATAACATTATACATCATTTCCAGGCAAAATTACAAGATCGTAAGAATGATCGATTACAAAGCTTCCATTCGGAAGCAAAAAGTAGCTGCTGGGGATTTTCGCCTCAATTTTTTCTGAAAAGATAGCGTTTAGACAAAAATTTTAAAAAAATTGAAAAATATTAATAATTGAGGGAGTTATGATTTTTTGAAACTTTCGAGTTTTTGTCAATGATTTTTTTTCAAATTGGCCCCATTATCTCAACGGGGTTTCAAGCCATCGAATCGCCGTTTGGCACACTCACAGAACATGAAAAACCCCTCAAAATGAGCCATCATACATAGCATTATCTTCAATTTGACGGGGGTTATACGCCCGTGACGGATAGGCCAGTCAAATTACGGTTTGGAAATCAAGGATGATAGAAGAAGGATAAAAACCATGGGATATCACGCGGAAGAATGATGTGAAACACATATTAAGTTTTTGGGATTGTAGCAAACCGGAAAATTGTTTAAAAAAATTAAAAACTGCAAAATTAAGCGTCCACGCGACTTTTTTTGCTTTACGCCGACGAAACCGTGATAGATAGGATAAAAATGCATAACACTCAATTTGTAGAGCATGAAATTTGCTACAAAAAAGTCACTGGCGGCATTTTCGTAAGTTCAACCGTCAAGTCGCCAAGCGCGCTCAAAGTTGAACTACGAAAAAGCCGAAAACACCGAAAAGTCCATTTTAGTTGCAAAAGGCAAATAATTTATAAAAAAGTTGATTAAGAAATGTTGACCCTTCACAGAATGTCTCCAGGAGAGGAAATTTGTTTAAAAACATTTTTCGATTTTTCAGGAGTCCCCATTTTTCTCTTTTTTTTCATTTTTCAACCAAAATTTACCATAACATAAATTTTGATCCAGTTATCTTATTGGAATAAGAACAAAAGGTGATTTTTTCTCATTTTCTCCTCTCCATTTTCACTCTTTTGACCTTTTCACTCAACTTTCATATTTAACTTATTATTTCTTGATAAACTAAAAAAATAGTTGTTTTTTTAATACATAATCTGACTGGAAAAATTTTTCATCAAGCTCGTTAGCTTTATCCCAAACTTGAGTCATTGGGATCAATTTTGAATTTTTTCATATTTTTCTTGGCATTTGTTAATGTAGATTTTTAATAATAAAAGAACAAATTTTCGATTTTTGTAATTTTTTCAATGTCTAAAAATTCTTGGAAAATTTTGATATTTTGGTATTTTTTCATATTTTCAATACTTAGTGAGCTATGAATTATTTTAGATTTACGGAAATGTTGTCGTCGGGCGCGCCCCACTCCACGCGCTTGATCTCCCCACTCTCCCCATTCTCCGCGTAGCGGAACTTCTGCAAACGTTTCCTTTGCTAATTTCCTCCAAAAATATGAAAAAACTACAAAAAAATTTTCGTTAACCCTAGTCTGGTCACCTAACGTGTCCCTGCGACTTGGTCACCTCCGCGGGGATTCGCCGCCGTGTTATTTAGGCTTTAGCGTTGCGGAATTCACTCTACACTGCCCGGGCGCGTTTAGCGAGGTTCCGGCAACGTCGCGTCATGGGCAATTTCATTTAACATGAGAAAAAATGATTCATCTGTTCGAAATAATTTGTTTTCTTTGGGAATTTTGGGAAATATCTTGTTTTAAAAATTACTATAATTTTTTAGACACTTAAATTGACAAAGTCAAATTTTTTTTCAATTTTTCCGTTTAGCCAGTCCATTGTAATTCAAGAAAAACGACGCGCGGCAGGGTTTCCTCATAGGGTGACCAATCTAAGGTTAACAATCAATAGTGCACAAACTCAATGGGAGCTTCTGTTTTACACCTCTGTACTTATAGTACTAATTTGATGAGAAATTAGATTGATGAAAATTTTTATCTTTCAATTTGAATTTAAACAAGAGTCAAAATTTGTAGGCGCCAGGGCTAGATAAAGTTTCCTTGGAATTATTATACAAGAAAGAACTCTCTACGGATGCATCATCAGAAATTATTTGAACCCACTCGGGATGTGATTGTTAACAAAAATTTTTTTGGTAATTTTTTCATATTTTTGGAGGAAATTAGCAAAGGAAACGTTTGCAGAAGTTCCGCTATGCGGAGAATGTGGAGAATGGGGAGATCAAGCGTGTGGAGTGGGGCGCGCCCGACATTTCCCTAAATCTAAAATAATTCATAGCTCACTAAGTATTGAAAATATGAAAAAATACCAAGATATCAAAAAATTAAAAAAAAATCAAAGAATTTTTAGACATTGAAAAAATGACAAAAATCGAAAAATTTTCCTTTTATTATTAAAAATCTACGTTAAAAAATGCCAAGAAAAATATGAAAAAATTCAAGATTGATCACAATGACTCAAGTTTGGGATAAAGCTACCGAGCTTGATCAAAAATTTTTCCAGTCAGATTATATATTGAAAAAACAGCAATTTTTTTAGTTTATCAACAAATAATAAGTTAAATATGAAAGTTGAGTGAAAAGGTCAAAAAAGTGAAAATGAAGAGGAGAGAACGAGAAAAAATTACCGTTTGTTCTTATTCTAATAAGATAACTGGATCAAAAGTTATGTTATGGCAAATTTTGGTTAAAAAATGAAAAAAAAAGAGAAAAATGGGGACTCCTGAAAAATCGAAAAAGGTTTTTAAACAAATTTCCTCTCCTGGAGGCATTCTGGGAAGGGTCAACATTTCTTAATCAACTTTTTCATAAATTATTTGCATTTTGCAACTAAAATGGACTTTTCGGCGTTGGCGGCGAATCAACTTTTTCGTAGTTCAACTTTGAACGCGCTTGGCGGCTGGATGGTTGAAATTACGAAAATGCCGCTACTGCCTTTTTTGTAGGAAATTTCATGCTCTACAAATTGAGTCCTATGCATTTTTATCCTATCTATCACGGTTTCGTCGGCGTAAAGCAAAAAAGGTCGCGTGGACGCTTAATTTTGCAGTTTTGAATTTTTTAAAACAATTTCTCGGTTTGCTACAATCCCAAAAACTTAGTATGTGTTTCATATCATTCTTCTGCATGATATCTCATGGTTTTTATCATTTTTCTATCATCCTTAATTTCGGCCGAAGAAGTCGTTATTTGACTGGCCTAGGAGGAGCGAGAGGTCGTTCAAAATATTAAAAAAAAGCGTGACGTAATTGTCGAATGCTCCCTGGTGTATTCTTTTCTTGTACCCATCTGAAGGTCAGGGGTATGAATGGAAGTAAAATTTCATTGAAAAAATCATTCTCCGTTACATAAAAATTATACGCAATATTGAGCAATCATTCGCGTTTACTGGGGTAATTTTTAATGGAATGCAGGGAATTTTAAAGTTTCGGCATAAATTACCCTCACGTTCGGTAAATTTTTCCGGGTCAACGGAGAGTTCACTATTCGTCTCGCACTTTTTCCCCGATATAGGGTGAATCACTACTGAAAATCAAACTCGCTCCGCGATTCTTTGACTTGTTCGGTAATTTTTCTCTAATTGTTTTTTCATATACGCCAAAAACCTAATTATATAGTTGATGCAATAAACAAATAATGAATAAAATAATTTGACCGATTGCAATGGTTCCATTCGAAAACAGAAACTCAAAAAAATTTCACTGACAATTTTTCATTTTCCAGATTGACGCCATCATATGTTGCGATAATAGCATTTATCGCCCTAATTCTACCACACTTGAGCACTGGTCCCTACTGGTCCCACAAGATTGGTTTAGAAAGTGAAGGTTGTGCGGCAAATTGGTGGACCAATATTCTCTACATCAATAACTACGTTAACACGGAGAAAATGGTGAGTTTTGCACAAGAGTGAATAAAATGTCAGTCAAACGCAATGAACAGCAATAAAATGCTAATGTGGAATGGAAAATTCTCTTATTACTTAATCCCTTGCATTTTCTTTCCTTTATTTTTCTTTTATAGTGCATGTTCCAATCGTGGTACGTGGCTGTCGACTATCACCTGTACATAATTGCGCTCTTTGCTGTTTATTTTTTTTGGAAATTACCAAGGAGACTGGGATATCCTTTCCTCGTTGCAATGATCGTTGCCGGCTGTGTTATATCGTTCTGCGTAACGTATATTTACAGTATTCAGCCCATGTGGTTGGGATTGCCTTTGTGAGTAAATGAATCAAATGTGGATAAGGAATTTTTCCATTTTTTTTTAAAGTCCTGAAACAATAAGGGGAGAATGGATTCGTGGATTATCTTGAAAATATCTTTGATACTCATGAGTTTCGGAAAAATTCACGCACGAAAAAAACTAATCGAAAAACCTCGCGAATTTACTAGACAATTCTATTCGATTTCTATTGATTTTTCTGTTAGCTTTTGGCCGATTCTACTGAAATGTTCAATGGAAAATATTCTATAGAAAAAGTCAATAGATTTCGATTTTTCTGTACGACTGATTCTACTGAATTTTCCATACACTTTCCTCGGCTCGAATTTTTTACGTTTTTTTGTTTAATTTTGTAGATAAAACGGAATGATAAATGGAATGAAAAGAACTTGGAAAATTTCAGCCAACGAGATTCTATCGACAATATCTCAACAGAATGAGCCAAAAGCTAATATAAAAATCAATAGAAATCCATACACTTGTCTAGCAAATTTGCTAGGTTTTTCGATTAAATTTTTTCGCGCATGAAATTACGTTTGCAAGGTTAAGACGAAGATTAAAATCTTGAATAAATCTTGAAAAAACAGAAAAAATGAACGAAACTTCCACGTTCAATGTGAAATTTACCGACAGTATCAAATTTGTCTCATAAATAATTTGTTTCTGAATGCTCCGAAATGGCGTATCACGTAAATATGGCAACGTTGCACTGGTTGAGCGCTCGTCACGCCATGGAGAGAGAAATACCCTAGTCAAACCGGAGACTATTGTTAAAAAATTAACATCATCGATCAATTTTTTTATACTCACCACAGTTAGAATTCATAAAAAAAATTATGAATGAAAACTAAGTTTCTATAGTATAATTTTTTTCTTCGTATTTTAAATCCATTGTTCCTCGTTACACTCACCAATTCAACAGGAGTATGTTCACACTACTTAAAACTTTCGAAGTGATTCCGCAAAATTATGAATGGATCTTGAGTGTTAGGATCATTGAATCATCTTTCGCATAATAGATGAGGGATTTATGACATAATAATATTTAGAATAACTAGAGCATAACATTTCTAGATTAGAGTGAAATTGCAATTTTTCATTTTTACAACAGTTGACATGCAACTGCTCTTTCTCCTTCATTATTTATTCAAATATATTTCCTTATTATTGCTCTCTCACTCTCCGTCTCGTATTCGGAGGAGCATATTTCTGTTTATCAAATCAACAAATTTGTTTTTCGAAATTGAAAAATGCAATTCAACAAATTGAGAATTCCATATTTCACCCTGAAATTGGTGATTGTAATTTTTTCCCAGCATGCACGAGGTGAGAGAAGATCCGTACTTCACTGACCATTACGTAAAAACGCATGAGCGTATTGCAGCGTATTTCGTCGGTGTTCTCGCTGGCGCTATTATCTATGATCACGGCCGATCTCCCTGGAGACTTTCTCAAGTAAATAATCGAAAACCTGAAATTTAACGGCTACTGATTTAAATTCACAAGCTTACACGATCTATTCTTCTCCACAGTCCTGGTCGAGTACGTTGTTCATGCTGTTGGTACTAGTGCTGGGTGTCACATCACAAAATTTGGGTCATAAATACTATGATCCGAATGTAAATGTGTCTGCGATTGAGAGTGCACTTTATGCGAGTCTGCATAGGCCTGCATTCGCCGTTTCTATTGTTGCGATTGTCGTGTTGCTAACAGTCGGCGAAGGATTAGGTAAATTCTTGTGTCAATCTGTTTATTGAATGAAAGAAAGATGGAATGAATGTTAGACGCATCACATCGGTTCCCGGATTTTTTTCCCCCCGAAAAAATTCCCCGGAGAAAATTCCCTGGAAAAAATTTTTCCGGAAAAAAATCCTCTCGAAAGTAAATTCCCGGAATTAATTCCCCTTATGGATTCAAATGACGATTACACATACACACATTACCAATATCAACTCAATTTATTATATCTCTCAATCGGCAAAAACATATGACAAAAAAAATAAAATTTTTCAATTCAGTTTTCCTTCAAAATCGATGAACCACAACTCAATCACATAAAATCCAAAAATCATCCTCATTTAACCAAATCCCAATTTATTAATGAAATAATATTGACAAACAATCATTCTTTAAAAAATTGTCTGACACAGAGAACAATCTGCATTCAATACAACTTTTTCAATCATAAATAAAATACGTTACGACAAAAAATAAATAGTCAAGGGTACGAAACAATTTCCTCACATAATTCGAATTAATTTGTCATTTCTAAAGTGCGTCCATCACTATTATTCGGGGAAAAAATTCAGGGAAATTTTTCCGGAGAAAATATTCCGGGGAAATATTTAGGCTAAGGATTTTTTTCCAAGGGAAAAATTTTCCGGGGGAATTTTGACGGGAAAATTTTTTCCGAGGGAAAAAAATCCGGTCACCCATCACATCCATATTTTCTCATTTTTGTAAATACACTGAGAAAAAAATTCCAAATATCTGAATCATATTTATTTGAGAAATGTTATTTTTCATCAATCGCTTGAGAAATTTTTCTCTCAGTATACTCCATTGCAATTTTGGCCCGGGTTCTCCATTATTGGTTACCGTCATTCATATTTACGCACAAAACAATTTTAGTAGAAAAATCTAGCGAATTCGCTAGACAATTCTATTGGATTTTTATTCAACTTTCTATGATTTTTTGGCCGATTCTATTGATATGTTTAATAGAAGACATTTTAGCGAAAAAGTCAATCACGTACAAAAATGTTTATGGCCACGGCCATGACGGCGCCATGGCCGTGGCCATGCTCTTTTGGCCGCCTGCCATGGCACTGCTGTTGCTATGACGTTGCCATGGCGCTGCTGAGGGACGTTGCCATGGCCTTTGCCATGGAGTTGCTGAGGGACGTTGCCATGGCATAGCCATGAAAAACAAAAAACTTATAATCAAATAATCAAGTAAGGGAGTTTGACCCTCTCGACCCTCGTAATCTTGTTGTACCTTGTGACCCTTATGGCCCTTATGACCTTAAAGGTCCCAGGAGGTCGCAGGGGCACAAAGGTCAAAGGCCATGGGAAGCGGCCAAAAGACCATGCCGTGGCCATGAACATTTTTGTACGTGATAGAATTTGATTTTTTTATACAACTTACTCTATTGACATATTTTCTATAAAATTTTCTCCGCTCAAGTTTTTTTCGTTTTTGTTTCCCAATGGAAGCTTTGTTTTTGACCGATTTTTAGATTTTCTACTTTTGACTGCAAATGATTTAGAAAGCTATGAGACGTGAAGAAATGATGTTTTCGGAGCCATGTCTGTATGTATTGTAACAGAATCGAATGTTTAATTTATTGATCCTCTTCCGTCTTCCTGATATATTCATGTATGTGTTTTGTTTCGTTATTCGAATGATAAAATGTTATTCTAAAGCCTGAACGGAAATATTAATCACCACGTGTATTTAAAAATAAATAAATCCGTCCCTTTTTCATTTTTTATAGCCTAATCATTACAGTATGTATCTGACCAATGGGTTTTTGATGATTAATTTTTAGAAAATTCAACATAAATACGGTGAAATTTGTAGATAAAAATCTGAAATTTTGGCTCTTTGCACCTATTAATGGGTTCAACTTTGGCGCGTTGTTTCAACTCGATCGGCCTAGTAGTTCCTGAGATATAACAACTTGTTTACATTTCGTTTTTACTATCCCTGGGCTACTACCTATTTAAAAAACTACTGCATCGATTTCATTTATTTTTCAAAATATTCGTCTCGGCAGCCACTGTCTGGATCGATAAAATAGTATATTTCAGGGCGAATGCCATGGGGGTTTTACTCGCGTGGACTTGGCGTCTGAGCCGAAGACGAGGACTGGCCAACCACGCGAGTAAAAAAACCCCATGACACTAGTCGTGAATGATATTTTTCCGTAGTAATTGTCCCTTTTACGAGTTTGGAGAAGGACCAATACCAATCACCGGACGAGGAAAAGTGAAGGTCAGTCCGGAAAATATATGGATAGATCCGTTCAGATAAAGTTTTCGCGATATTCCCGTTTTTTCGTTTTTAAAATTTTTTCATTCTTGTACGCACAATGATATGAGAAAAAACGAGGATAGCAAGTTTAAGTTTGGTATGATTATAGCTCTTACAAAATTGAAGGTTGGCATTTTGGATAGGCGCAACCGGCCGAGCAGTTTGAGACTAATAACGTTAATCCGATTGACAGGATCTTTATTCAATTTTTTGTTTGAACAGAATTTTACCACAGTTTCTTCAAAGGCCATTGGGTCCAGCCCGTAGCGAGATTAACATACGGTGCTTATCTAATCCACAACATCAATCAGTCTTACGATGTGGGTGTCATTAGACAGGCGAGAACATTCTCATTCCACAATGTGGTAAGCTTTTTTTTAAATATATTATTGATGATGTCTGTGGATGAATAAATGATTAATCATTTTAGTAGTGATTAAATGATAAATTACTTGGTAAAATGTTAACAAATATCACACAGCCGTATTATGAAACAACTGTTTCATCACACTGTCCGCCAACTGACGCAAAAAATAAGTTTTACCAAGATACACGCATGGAAAAATTCAATAGAAAACCTTAACGAGTTTGCTAAAAAATAGTATTGGAATTCTCTAAAAATTCTATGGAGATTCTATTAAAATTCTGGGGAATTCTCATCAAAATTGTAATTGTTTTTTGCGCAGATTTTATTAGATATTCAATAGGAAAAAGTCAATAGATTTCAATTTTTCTATATAAATATGAGCGACTCCACGCCAAATAAGTCAAGCACTGACCCTCACCCTTTTGGAATTTGATGGCGCTTTTTTCTACAATTGGGGGGGGGGGNGGGGGGGGGGGGGATTGATAAACTATTTCTCAAATTATTTTCACATTTTTTCGACAGCCCAGTTCGCAGATATGATTTTTTTCGCTTTTTCGTTTTCATTCAATAACTCGAGTTGTACCCATTCGATTTTGATTTATTAAGTGTTAAAATTCTTCATTTTTTACTGTCTATAAAAATATTTTTAGGGAAATTTTTTTTTCCATCTCTAGATGCTCATAATAACGAATTTTCGAAAAAAAAAGTTGGAAAACTTGATTTTTGCAAATTACGTCACGATACGTCGAATTTTTTTTCACTCGGATCCTGTAATGCAAAACAAAACAAAATATAGCACAAAAAACTTGGAAAATCCGCACCCAACAATTTCAATAGAAAAATCTCAAGAGAAAAATTCTCTTTCCTATCAAATATCTAATAGAATCTGCGCAAAAAACAAATATAGAATTTTAACGAGAATTCCCTTGAATTTTAATAGAATCCTCATAGAATTTCCAGAGAATTTCAATAGAATTTTCTAGCGAATTCGCTAAGGTTTTCAATTTAGTTTTCTCATACGTGAAATACCACTTGAATTTCAAAGTTAATCAGGTAGTTCCTTCAAGGTTCCCAGCATTCAAACGAATTCATCAAGTTTTCCAGAAGAATTACTCGCGCTACGTGAGAATGAGAATTAGTTTCGTCATTCGATGAAATACACTATTCTGACTCGTGTGATTGCAGTATTCAGTTCGCTTCGATCTGCAGCTCTCACACTCGTCCAAAATAGTATATTTCAGCACGTGTGGGGCAATTTCGTCTTTAACGTGTGTGGGGTTTACAGCATGAGCCGAAGGCGAGTGATGTAACCACACACGTTAAGGACGAAATTTCCCAACAAGTACTGAACAAAATTTTATGTCACGAAGCCTGAAACCGGCTGAATTAGACACGAGACGCGAAGCGTCGAGTGTGTAATCCAGCCGGTTTCAGGCATGAGTGGCATAAAAATTTTTTCCGTACTGATTTTCACTTTTCCTCGTCTGGGGATTGGTATTGATCCTTCCCCAAACTCGTCAACTGAAAATCACAACGGAAAAATATCGTTCACGCCTAGTGCCGTGGGATTTTTTTACTCGCGTGGTTGACCAGTCCGAGCCAACTCCGAGTTAGCTCGGACTGGCCAACCACCCGAGTAAAAAACCCCATGGCACTCGCCCTGCAATATACTATTCCAGGCTTGTGACGAAATAGTACATTATGTCATCAGATATCTTGGTAGGAGATGGGGAATGGGCCGAGATTGGCCAAGGCTGGCCCAATATTGGCCAGCACCGCGCCATCCTCGGCCTACCCTGGGCCTTTTCTCATCTCCTACCAGCGTATAGTATATTTCAGGCGTATAGTATATTCAGGCCGCCTGCCATGGCATGGGGTTTTTTACTCGTGTGGTTGGCCAGTCCTCGCCTTCGGCTTGGACGCCAACTCCATGCGAGTAAAAAACCCCATGGCAATAGTCGTGAACAATATTTTTCCGTAGTGATTTTCACTTTTACGAGTTTGGGGAAGAGCTAATACCAATCCCCGGCCGAAAATACTTTCATCACCGTATGACGTACAATATTTTAAGCTACTGGGTTCGAAAATCGCGCGCTATAACTGAGCTAAGCGAGGTTAGAATCGCGATTTATCGAGCCTAGTGTCGTAAATATACATTCTACTACCGGCTGTAAATTTTTATTCGAATTCCTTCTTAGATTCCAAAATTCATACTAAGGGTTTGTCTTGGTGGTTATGGTCCCATTCCTTAATCTCAAAAAGGTCAAATGAATTAATGAAAATATATATCAGCGGTGCAACATTTCTTAACCCTAAATTGGTCACCATATTTAAGAACCGCCGCAGCGCGTCATTTTTCTTCAATTGCCACTGACTATCTAAACGCAAGAATTAGAAAAAAAAATTATTTATTCAATTGAAGTGGCCAAAAAATTTTTGCAGTTTTTAGAACAACATAATTCCGGAAATTTCTCAAGAGAACAAATTATTTTCAACAGATGAATTTTTTTTTATGTTAAATGAAATTGCCCGTTACGCGACGTTACCGAGAACTCGCTAAACGCGCCTGAACAGTGTAGAGTGAATTCGGCAACGCTGGAGTCTGAATAACACGCGGCAAATGCCCGCGGAGACCGTGTGACCATAGTCGCAGGGTTGCGTATGGTGACCATACCAGGGTTAAATTCCGAATAAAAAATTATTCGCAAAATTGCGATAGACGTAAATTTGTCCTCTCTCGTATGGTTGAAATATCTCAAACCACATCATTTTTCGTTTTTCTTCACCTACAGTTTTGGGACTTCGTGCCTGACGTAGTTTTGACCTTCTCGTTATCCTTGATAGTAGCATTGGTCATCGAGGGACCGTTCAGGAAAATCGAAAAAGTATTCATCAACAAGAGAGGGTCAAAAGAACATTGTACTTCCAAGTAAGTGAAGCATTATTTATTATTGTGATGGACTTCTCCGGTATTTTTGCGTCGTTAGAATTTTTTGAAAATCTTGGTTGATTACATTCTAATTCTCAATGGTGTTCTGTTCTACACGATATCCCAGAACTCCTGTTCTTCCTTTTAGGAGGTGAAGCAGTTGAATTTTCTTTTTTTATCGTTATTTTACATCGCTTTGACCCGGTTACGGTATACTGCGATGATAATCATCAAGACTTTAAATGGTTAGATCGCACCATTCTACCCGGCCGGGATTTGAACTAGGAACCTTTCGCATATGAGGCAACGAACTTACCCACTGCGCCAAGCCACCGGGCTGCAGTTGAATTTCTAAGTCGAAAGTTCCTCTTATATTTTGAACGTCGAACCTTAGTTAACGAGTTATTAAAGTACCTCTTCCCTTAGGAAGTCATTCATCACAAGATTATTATAAACTACAAACAATTATCCAAAAACCCGATGAGATTCTGAATCGTATTTTTTTACTATTTACACGTCGTTTTCGTTTTTATAAATTAAAATGTTCAAAAACCATTATTTACCTCTCACGGTCTTATGTGAAAATCGTGAAATCCCTGGGCTACTATAATTTCAGAACAGTTAGAACAGTTTTTATTTGATTCAAACAGTTATTGTTGACTTCATCCACAACATGTGAGGATATAAAAATTCAATAACTTATGAGAATGCAATAAATTAAGTCATTTAGAATTCTTTCCGGAAATCCATAGGAACTAACGTTTGAGAGGTATTGTCGTCGGATAAACCCCTCACGTACACTGAGAAAAAAATCGTTATGCTAAGTATATTTACTTGTCACAAGTAAATGTATATAAATATGTGCATAAGATATGTAAATTTTCTTGTAGTTAGTAAATATACTTGGCAAAAGTAAGTTTTTTTCTCAATATACAGGGTCCCTGCCAGACAGCGACCCTAGTCTAAATAGACAGCTCTTCTCGAAATTGCATATTTCCGAAACTGGATAATAATTTAACCAAACAAACAACATTGGCAAAAGGGATACTGTAGGTTCAATTACATATCGGTTTTACCATTATCCATTCCTCAAAAGCGATCAGATTTGAGTGATGTTAAGGGGACTACTATGAGTTTTAAAAGTCGCGGACGATGGGGGTGAGATTTCTCATACATTGAAGATCAAGTATATATGTCTAAAAATGAATAATTAGTGCGAAAAAATTGATTGTTTATCGTTCATTTGCCCCGCGCACGCTTAAAATGTTGAAAATAGTCCAGGACCTCCAATTTTTGCACTACAGAGGTTACTTTTTTTTCAAGATTTTTCAAAAAAATGTATGCAATAATAATTACGAATAATTTTTTTGAAATTCGACTCCTGCACAGCTAATTTTGTTTTGTTTAAAATAAAAATTTGCACCATTCATGTAAAATATTTAAAATATATTCTCGTTTCATCCAGAAACATTTTTCGGGCGATTTTACACGAATAGTGTTATTTTTTATTTTTAAAATGAAATTAGCTGTGTAGGAGTTGAATTTTGTAAAACTAGTTCGTAATTATTATTGCACATATTTTTTCAAAAATTTTGAAGAAAAAGAAACCTCTGTAGCTCAAAAATTGGAGGCCCGGACTATTTTTAATATTTTACGCGTCTGTGGTGCAAACGAACAATAAACAATTCACTTTTTTGCACTAATTATTCATTTTTAGACATATATAATCGATCTTCATTGCATCAGAAATCGCATTCCAATAGCCCGCAATTTTTAAAACCCACAGTAGTCTCCCCTTACGCGTCCGACGCGCTTGATACCAAAGCGAACGCCGAAAATTGGGAAGGAATTTTCGATTCAGCATTTCAGCCTCTTTCAGCCACTGAAAGGGTGAACGAGAATTGTGGAACATCCATTACATTCTATTTGATTGCATAGAAGAGGCAATTTCTTTTCGCATAAAAAAATTCCGTTTCTCGTCTGGAGAACAAAACATTATTCCAATAACGTTGACATTTTTCCATATTCATTTCTAATATTTTGTAAAATAGAAAACTATTTGAAGTTTAACAAATATTTGTACATTATGAGAATCTACATAAATTGAATATTCGCTTGTGAATGTAAGTCTTTTATAAATATTTATTTTCCAGGGTTTCCGCGAGTATTATCGCGGCAGAGAAGAAAATCACCTAGTCGAAGCTTCGAAGAACCAAGTTTATTGTAAATATTTCACATTCCCTGCTAAATAATAACTTTCTTCTGAACCACATCGTTTATTGAGTATGTTTTAGTACTTAAAGTAGCCTCTGTTTTGAAGGAATCATAAACGTCAGGGAGAATAAATCCGTTTCTGTTGCGGAAATTATCTTTTACCTCATAATTAAGATTTTCACCTTCCAAATTTTCCATATATTTAAGGTGTTAAGTTAGCGATGAGTAAAATTGATATGAAAAACCTGTGCACCTCGAAGGAATGAATTTCAGTTGAAGATGATTTAAAAGTAAATAATTAGTGATAAACCAATAGATGTATTGTAGGAATATTATGGGATATCCAATGACATTGGATGTAATTGAATGTCCCATGTCATAATTTTTCAGAGTTGAATGAAAAAACCCTCTCAAACGGACGAGTCGAGCGTAGTGATTCCAAGGTCGTAATGATGTAAGGGTCAAAGGAGATAAACGTGGGAAAACTTGGAGTCAACGCTTCCTGTCGACACGCGAGAAAAGATTTAATGGAAAACCCTAGTTTTTGGCCGATTCTATTGAAATGTTCAATAAAAAATATTCTATAAAAAAAGTCACTAGAATTGGATTTTTCTGTACAACTAATTCTATTGAAATATTTTCTACAAAATTTCCTCGGCTCAAATTGTTTACGCTTTTTTCGTTATATTTTTCTTCTCATTTCATCGAGAATATCAAACGCAAAAAACTTGAGCTGAGGAAATTCTACAGAAAATATCTCAATAGAATACGTTGTATAAAAAATCGAATTCTATTGAATTTTTCTACAGAATATTTTCCATTGAATATTTCAATAGATTCAGTCAAAAATAAATGGAAAGTTGTATAGAAATCCAATAGAATTGTTCAACTAATTCGCAAGGTTTTTCTATTATTTTTTTCCATACGTGGAAGCCGCCGTCTTCCCAATGCACTAATATAAAATTTCAATTGTGTCATAAACTCCATTTCTCAACTAGTGTTAGTATTGGGGTTTTTCCCTTCCGAATTGAAAGATTATATATGCAGATGTCCACATAAAAAGACCGCTTTTGTCGATTTTAGTTTCCGAGATATTCGCGTTTCACCAACTCCCATTTACACCAATGTTAAATTGGTTTTTTCATCTCCTTTAGGAACGTTATTTTTTACTCTAAGAGGATCATTTTGGGCTTAAAATGTGAGGAATGTTATCAATAATATCAGAACATACATAACTTCCTATCGACAAAGTGGTTCCTTTTCATGCGGACGTCCACATATTTTCAATTTAAGTTTATTTCTTTTCTGTCAGATTAACTAGATATAGTCTAAAAAGTTCGATGATGCAGTTTTTGAGTTGCGTCCAGGTATGTATACACATGGTGAGTAATTCTGCCGGCTTTCTTTTCGTAGGTAGGTTCTGACGGAGAACCCCTGGTGCGAGAGAACATAATGAGTATATGTCAGCGCCGCTCGCACGCACACCAGCCTCTCTCTGACTCAATGCGCTTGCGTGTGACGTCACCGTATAGTCAGAGTGTCAGGAATGAGCGTGTGACAAATTTTTGTATGTTCCCGAAAATTTGTGCCAAAAGGTCATATATTGACCTCTCCAAGGGAGAGTGAATCTCCACGTTTCAGATGATTCTGAATCATCTGAGCATAACTTTTGGGGACATTTTTTTTCATTTTTTCAAGGGGGATTTTTGAATTTTTTCCAAAGGGCCAAACGGTCTGATAATGACCTCTCCAGGGGAGAGTGAATCTCCACGTTTCAGATGATTTTGAATCATCTGAGCATAACTTTTGAGGAAATTTTTTTTTTCATTTTTTCAAGGGAGATTTTCAAATTTTTTTCGAATTTGAGCCAAAAGGTCGCATAATGATCTCTCCAGGGGAGAGTGAATCTCTACGTTTCAGATGATTTTGAATCATCTGAGCATAACTTTTGGGGACATTTTTTTTTCATTATTTCAACGGAGATTTTCAAATTTTTTCCGAATTTGAGCCAAAAGGTCGCATAATGACTTCTCCAGGGGAGGACTCCTTCTCCCTGGAGGATGAGCACCCTGATTGGTCTCATATGTTAATTACAATAAAAAAACTGATTTATAGAAACTAGATTTCTGGATTGTGTTCTCACATTGAGCATCGGATGGCAAGAGAAGTCCTCAGATCGTGGGCAATCAGAACACACGAATTAATTTCGCTCGTGCCAACTGAATATAAGGGGAACTAAAAACTGCTGGGTGGTTTTCTCACATTAATCATCATTATATCAATTATATCAATTGATGTGCATCAATTCGTCTGACATTTCATAAGTAAACTTGGAAATTACACAGTCCTACAAAATCTGAACTTGTTCTGGCACATGGATGAGACTGCCACCATTTGAAAGATTTTTTCACGCAGATTGGAAATCCGGTGGCCAAATCTCTCGCAATGCCCTAGTTTCTGAGAAAAAAAATGTTAAAATCCTGAAAATGCCCCAAAATTGTCTTTTTCAAAATTTAATTAAAAAACAATGTTTGTCTCGATTGAGCTGAAAAAATATCAACATAAAGACCGGAAATTATACTTCCAGATGACGTGGAGTTGTTTTCATTAGGAGCAGGGGATTATTAATAATAAATTCCGTCGTTCTTCACTAAAATTGCAGTTATTTTTCAAACGAATGTAATGGCGGCAAATGTCTGAAGTTGCATCCCCACGTGGAATTTCAACCACCAGATTCTCTCGTCGAGAATGAACCAAGCTTTTGGTAAAACGGTTTATGGAGGTACTGCAATGAAAATAAATTGATCTAGTGTGCGATTGGAGAGCAGCTAAATCCTCCACTCGGAAGTATTACTTTTTCTTCAATGATATAAATGAAAAAAATACGAAATCTGGCAATTTATACCATTTTTGCTTCCGAATGGAAGCATTGTAATTGTTCAAAAAAAAGTTTTCGATATTTTGTGTTATATCGACTTATTATAATCCAGAAAGTCCGAAAATGCAATTTTTAAACGTCGCCCGTACGTATGTGTGTATGTATGTAACAAATTTTTTCAAACTTTTTCTTCAATTTCTCGCTAATGAATCGATGGAATTGAATCTTTTTTTTTTTTAATGTAGGTATTGTTGAGCCCTATCCATCGCCGTTAATCAAAATTAGATTAATTCATTCATTTTTTTAATTTTTGTTTTTCAAAAATCGGCTGTAACACGATAACTAAAAAAAAAATGTTTTAAATTCATTGAATGATGGCTCAAAAAATTTGTTTGTGTGTCCTTGTGACCGGGTTCGAAGATGAACGTGATAGCCATAATGGTTTTTTTGATTTATCTGAAAGTTTGAAAAAAAAATTTATTTTTTGAAAATCAGAATTCCGGGGATATCTTCAGATATTATGCTCCAAATGAATTCAATCATAGTTAAAAATGTTCGTTTTAATCCTATTACGTCGCAGTGAAAAGATGATGACAATAGCTATCTCGGTTGATCTAATTTTTATGATGATTTTTGAAAATTTCTAATTTTTCATAAATTTCGCTAAAAGTGAGCTGATGGGTTTCTGATGGGTTTTCTCACATGTGGTGTTTAAAATTCATTCAATTATGTACAAATGAAATTGTTCTGATAACATTTAATTGAAATTTAAAGATCAAATAGATTGCATCATTTTTTCATTTGATTAATAATCAAATTTTAGAAATTATTCTAAGAGCATTCGAAAGTTTTCGGAAAAAATTTCCCGGGAAATTTCCCGGGAAAGAAGGAATTGTGAGGGTCGCAAGAGTAACGGGGATTGTATCGTGCCAAACTGTCAAGAACTTTTTTACTTTATTTTTTTACTTTTTTAACAGATTGGACTCCTCTCCTCTTGTTAGCTCTTGAAATGTTCTTCTCACTTTTCCCACACTATCACTATTATTGAACGATCCCTTTGCTTAGGAGTACATGGCGATACTTTTTACACCGATAGCACGCAACTCCGTATAATAGTTACTATGTACTGTATCAATTGGTGAACAATCTCGAACGTGATTCAGTGGAGTGACAATAAAATCATTGGACTCCCTCTCTCTCCCCCCCTCCCCCTCTTCCGCTATCATAAAATCCTTTATTAACTTCCCGGGCGGGAGTTATTGTAATCACCCCGAAAATCGAATTTCCATTAATCTCCACGCTCCACGGTCTCCAAAACATTCCCCGATCATTCCCTTCAGTCTTGTGTTCTGCCAACTCCAGGCCAACTGTATCCATCCACTGGGTGATCTTCCTAAAAGTAGTGTCGAAAGCGAAGTTTATTTCTTCGGGATGCTTTGCGAAAATCACTATGGCCACGTCATCCGCATATGGCACGAGTTTGACTTCCGTTAGTAATACTAGTTTCAGCAACCCATTGTACATGATTTTCCACAAAAGACTGCCGAGAACCGAACCCTGGGGTACCCCTCCAGTGACTCTGTACTCTCTTGGACCAGTCTCCGTAACGTATCTTAGGATCCCATCAGTAAAGTAGCTCCCTACCATTCTGCACAGGTATCCTGGTACGTTCATTTCAACAAGAGCTCTCATGATGCAGTCCCACTTGGTGGAATTGAAGGCATTCTTGATGTCAAGTGTTGCCACCAGGCAGTACTTCTTAGAACCTCCTTTCCATCTGTTGTCTCGGAGCATTGTTTCTCCTTTTGAGTCTGTGATTCAATCCCACTTTTAGCATTTGTGGCCAAGTGGTCCACCTTTCCATTCTCATTGCAGTTGTTGGATGACGACGTCACGGGGCCTGCTTTCACCCCCATGACTACGCCTGAACTGAGGTTCCGAATCCCTGCACCGTAATCTTTGTTTGTTCTGTTGTACTACTCATAATTTCTCATTTCCTCCTCTCCTGTCCTTCACTTTGAACTGTTTTGTGTGTTTCGTCCGATGGGTTATTTTATTTCACCCATCCCCTCTGCAAGCAGTGTTCATTCCACCTCAGTACACCTCTGCCTGAAGCCTAGGCCCTAGACCCTCATGAAGTAGAGATGTTCCTTCATTAGGGGATTCATGGATGTGTGCGTGGGTGTGTGTGTGTGTGTGGGGGGAGGAGGGGTTGTATCACTGTGACCAAAAATTTTGTCGAACGATATCTCGCAACTGGATAATGCGATCGAACTCTTCTATGGCACAATCAAAGCGTCTTCATTCAACTTAGAGCTGGAATGATGTTGGAAAGAATGGGTCTAGTCGTTCTCCACTTTTCCCAGGAACACTTCAGATGAGAAATTGGTTTTTTATTTTTTATTTTATTTTTTCAATTGGAAGATGAAAACCGGGCAGTTTTTGTTGTGAATTTCAAAGGTTCGCTCTCACTTCAACCCATTGAGCAGCTTAACGATTCCACACTTTTCGTAATTTTGTAGTAGTATGCGTGCGCCACCGTGCTTTGACGTGCCTTGACAGACTCCTCACTATCCTCACATCGAGACGATTCGCGACTTACGGAACTCAATGGGTTAACGCACTCACATTCGGGACCGAGCTTGCGAGCAATCAGCAATATTGCGTAGACCAGCCGCACGTCTGATTATAAAGTTAATTGACAATGGATGATTCATTTCCTTGTTTACTTTTAATTCGTTTTCCGATTGGTCGATGGATCAATCAATGATGTCCATGACTACGAGATGGTATTTTTTCATCTGTCTTTAACTACGTGCACTTAATGCTATCATACACGTAAAAAAAAAGTTCAGAATCAATTAGATTCCCCTACCCACCGTTGGCAGAAAATCGGACTGATGCAGGTAGAAAGACGTAATTCCATTTTCCGACTGGAATCAAACCGGAAAATACCAGACTCAACTGGGCACCCTAACTCTACCGGATTCCAATCGAAATCTACCTGATTTGAGCCACTGAATCGATCCAAAAAAAATTTTACTCTCCCGAGTTACAGAAATAATTGTAATCACCTCGAAAATCGAAAATCAATAAAAAATTAAATCACTGATCTGAAAAAAAGGACCCGAGTGATCGCAGTTGATGCGTTTCAATGTCGATAAATATTCAAATTAAACAATAATAACAACACTCGGGTGCATCTATAGATTTATTCTTCATTTCTCTTAAAGATGCATCCGAGTGTTGTTATTATTATTTAATTAACTTCCCCCGGGGGGGGGAGTTATTGTAATCGCCCCGAAAATCGAGTTTTCATCATATCTCCACGTTTCAAGGTCTCCACAACACTCCCCGATCATTTTCAAGGTGATGTATGTGTGTGTGTGTTTGTGTGTGTGGCCGTAGGTATGTCCATGACCAAAAATTTTGGTCAACAATATCTCCCAAACGAATGATGTGATCGAGGTCATCGATGACGCAATCGAAGCATTTTCATGTAACTTAGAGCTGATTAGATTTTGGAAAGAATTGCTCCAGTAGTTTTCCAGTTTTTTCAGGAAAACGTAAGATGAAAAATCGATTTTTGCTTTTTTCTGCAATTTTTTAAAAATTTTCTTTGTATATCATATATTGGGTGAAGAAAACCGGGAAGTTGTTGTTGTGAACCTCAATGGTTCGCTCCCACTTGAACGCACCCTAATTCGGGAGCGAGCTTGCAAGCGACCAACAATATTACGTAGACCAGCCACACCCCTAGTTTGAATACTTAGCGACATTGAAATGCATCAACTGCGATCACTCGGCTCCTTTTTTTCAGATCTGTGATTTGATTTTTTATTTACTTCGTTACTTTTTTAGAGTATAAACTAGATACGCGAAAAAACTAGATATTACTCGGGCCCGGTCGATATTGGCTCCATCGATTAAAATGATGATCACAGGGGCTAAGGGGCAAGTGTTATCGGTGAATAAGTCTAGACAAGAGACTGGAAGATCGAATCGAGGGCCTGACGGTCTACAGAATAAACTGAAAGGTCGAATCAAGGGGCCAAATGATCTAGAGAGGAGGCTGGGAGGTCGAATCAAGGGGAAGTGAACGGTATACCCCAAAGGCTGAAACCTGTTATATACATAAAGTTTTAAAAAGAACCATTTTACCTTTTTGATTTGACCTCCCAGCCTCTCTGCAGACTGTTTGACTCCTTGATTCGACCTTCCAGCCTTTTATTCAGACCGATTTTAATTTTTTTCAGCCTTGAAATGGGAGGAAGACATTACAATTTTTTGATATCATAACGGTTAAAAGGACAATCAATGATCACCTCATATTATTATTATTTTCGATTTGAATAATTTTAGGAGTGACAATTTTCATTTCATAGTTGAATAATTAGGCTCAATTTGTTATTATTCCTCATTAGCAATTGGAATATAATTAATCACGGGAATTTGAATCTGGAAAAAAAAAGTTTGATTTAAAAAACGCCAAGTAACTATTTTGACGCGTTATTTTATCCTTTCGGTATTTGATAAAAGTACCGAAATGAAGAACGAAGCGCCGAGTCGGAAATGCTTATGAGAAAGGAATGAGTAGAGGCAGGACCAAGGTACTTGGCGTGCCTGGTTCTTCATTGAGTTCGGTTTTGTTTGAGTCGAGTGGGAGATTTGAAATGGTCACTTGCCTACCCCGTATCTCGATCAGTAGCCGGGTAAATAGATTGAGTGGCATGCGCATATGCTCAACGACTGACGCGACGTCTAATGGCATCTTAAGACCTTGAATTTCTTCTGTTTCTTGATCCATTTTTTTTACCGAGAGTTGATTGAGCTTTGATTATACCGAATTTTAAAAAAAGTGTAAACATTACAAAACGTGAAAAAATAATTGTTTTCGGTTTCGATATTTGTGCAAAAAATCGAGTATCGATATATCGATTCTCGAGAATATTGGGGAAAAAAAATCGACAGATCGATACCAAAAATCGTACCTTTCGATATAACGTTGCGTATCGCGCAATGACAGGTTAATGAAATGTCGAATACCGATGCGTGATTTTTTTTACGATTATCACATTTCTGTTAGTATTTTCTATGTATATTTTTCAATAGGAATTCCGTGTCAATTTTATCTGCAAATTCTCCTCAAATGTTATCCGCAAATTTGCTACTGATTTTATCTGCAAATTTTCCACATATTTTATCCGCAAATTTGCTGCTAATTTTATGGGTAAATTTAGTGATTATATCAACGGACCAATCATCGACAATTTTTTCTGTAAAATTGATATTAATGGATTTTTTATTTTTTTTCTATAAAGGGTAACAATTTATGTTATCTTGCTCCAAATTGACTGTAATTTTTAACCGCACTTTTGCTCATGTTAATATGTGCATATTAACTCCAAATTTATGCTGCAAATTTGAAGCAAATTTAGGTGATAACTTGATGGGTTATCACCTGCATGTGTCGTTCTTATGACGCCAAACTGACGACAAATTATTTACAATCTTGCGGCAGAAAAAAAATTAAACTTGCTGGTAAATATCAGTGGATCGGAAAGTTTTGCTATCTGGGCCGTTCTCAGATTTCCATGATTTCTCTCCTCATCGCCCCCAGCTCCCGTATCGATTTTGCAGGAAAAATCTTGCGAGACTCTCCATAGTAAAACGATCGAGTGTCGACTCCCTCAACAGTAAAACCGTGAGATTCAGAGTGTCGCAAATTTTGGCCCACCCAACCGGGAATTGAACCTGGGTCCCCGATATGCCAACCCACTGATCTATACTAACTGGATAGACTATCCTGTAAGACGCAGAGTCTCCCAGTTGGACTGGTACCCAGCGCCTCCCGGTCAGGGACCCGGAACTAAAGGCGCCATTAGTGGGCTTGCGCGACCGTAATCACGTAGTGGAGAGGTAATGTTACCCAGGTAAAGTTGGAAAATTTTATGGTCATTTTTCTGTTTTTGTGTCATACAGAATCACGATACTTAAAGGGAGAATTTCCATTGTCATCAATTGAAAAAATTAGTGGGACCGTTGCGGGAGAAATGGACACAAAAAGTTAAAGAATTATTTACTTTAATAATTTCAACTTCTCAATTTCTCTCGTGACCTGTAGAGGTTCATTTATCAAGTAATGAAGAACAAAAATCTACTGAGCATGTCCGTCTTTAAATAAAAATTCTCAACAGAAAAGGAGTGGCCATAGTCCTTTCCATGTAGGAAGATACAGGTAATCTGAAAATTATGTATATTGATGAAATCTAACAGATTCTCAGGTGCATATATATATATATTCGTCCTTTCATACATATGTTTTCATATTTACAAATAATTGCTGTGCATTTTCGAATGCAATCCATATTTACAAATTCCCTCACCATTATTACTGGAGTTAATACTTAATGTACATTACCTCCTGCAATATCTATTAACAGTTGCATTACCGATTTCACCCTCAATTCAGCGGGATATTTATCTTTTGTCAGGCTTCCCTGTTTCATGCTCCTGTTCATGCGCTTGAAGAGTGCTGTAGGGATATTCTCGAAACCATCCAAATGATACGAACTGTCTTGAAGAATCTGATGAGTCCTGCGTAAGTCCGCTAAGGCATCTTTCACTTTTTTCAACTTCTTCACAGCACGCGTCTCCTTTTGGCTAGATAGTTTATTCTTTCTAGCTAATTCGTCAATTTTAGACAGAGCAGCGGACAGTTTCCGTTCCAAAACTTCCAGAGAGTGTGCGTAAGTGTGGTCATGAGTCAATGCCTCAAGGGGCGTCCTGCCGCCTGTAAGAAAAATATTATTCTTCCATTCTCCTTTTGAAAAGTACAGAAAATCTGAGTTCGAAATAAATATCAACAAAAATAGTCTTCACAAAATAATGTCATTTTCTATGGTAGAAGACCGAAAGAGCTGTTTCTGAAAATTTCAAATTCTATTTTTACCTATAAGGTTAAGTGATTTTTAACTAGCTAAAAAATGACCGTTTTCTTTTTTAATTGAGTATTTTTTACGCGAAAAATGTATCACTCAATTTTTTTCCCCGGTAGTAATCATACAAGTAATATCTAGTTGAACAAAACTGAAAGAAGAAATCGATTGTTAATATCTCTCTTCCAAATTGAATTTAAGGTTTGGAAATTTAGGTCAAAGTTCCTTCCTATACCACTAATGAGTGGGGAAATTTTGGACACGATTGAAATTTCGGAGCTGAGTAACTCGTTGGTGGATTGGTGGAGTATACCATACATATAATTCAATTCAATAAATTTACCATTCCTCTCCTGTCCATTGGTTGAACAGCCTGTTGACGGAGATCTGGGAATACTGCCTTCGGTTTTGTGTCGTTTACGGTTCTCCTCTGTTAGAAACCAAAGGTCATAGAATAATATTGAACCAATAAGAGATATAGACATTTTCGAGCAAAAGACAATTTAGTAAACAATTATTGGAAAGAGTGTTACCGTTATTATCACTAATGTCCTTCGATGAACCTTCTTCATTCTCAATTTTTCTCACTGAAATTGGTTTCTGAATTATTCTCCATTCTATGAATTTATTGAGATGCGAAACGATCGTATGTAATCAGAGCTGGGTGAAATACCACGAGAATAACGGATTATAATGATTACTGTTTGATTGTGAGCAAACAACGTTCAATTCGATATACTCTGAAGAAATGAATATTCGAAATAATCAATTGAATATAATCTATCATGCCGTCTTGAGTGGCTGTAGTCAATAATAATGTTGTGAGATGATAATATGTTGTTCCATACGTTTTTTTGGATTGTCGATACTCTGCGAGGAATGTTCTGACACCGACTGGTTGTCCTTGTCGTGTTCAAAAATTGTTGGGATACTACCTTTCCGCAGTTTCGCCACTTTGTCCCGAAAGTCGATGCAATTCGTGGCAAAATGTTCGGAGCATAAGGCACACCACTCCTTTGGCCTCCAGTTTGTCCGGCCCAGTCGGTTGATCCACTCCGTCTTGAGCATTTCATCCTTTGGAAATCTTAACAATTGACAAGCCAAATCAAAGGAAATCTTAACAATTGACAGTTGACAAAAAAAATTTCAACACATATGAATACTTACCTGTGGAAGGACAATTGTTTCCATTTTGTTGATTTTTTCTTGCAGTATTCGCACCGGACCATTTTTGTGAAAATCTGGAGATAAACAACAAGTCACCCAAAATGACAGCTATTCGGGGGTTATGAGAGCGGAAAAATAACACAGTCAGATAACCATCCCCACTACCCGGCGCTTTGCCCGCGCCAGCGCATTGAGGCATCGTGTAGTTCCGGGACCGTGAGGGAGAGGCGCTGGAGAACTATGCAAAAGGCCCGCAGTTTTCAACATACCCGGCCCAAAAGGATAGTCTATCCAGTTAGTATAGAGATCAGTGTGCCAACCCCACATTCTAACCACACAGCCACTGCCGTCGCTCGAAAGTTCGTCATTTTCTATAATTGTTGAAAATGCACTGCCATTGATGATTTGAATGAAAGAAAAGCGGTTGAATTGATTCAATTATTATTGAAGAGAATTACTTCGACCTCACATAAATTGAATAAATTGGTGGTATAAATACATATTTAATTATCTGCAGAAAATTGAGCTTTATAGGAGAGGATACAATATGCAAATCTGTTATGAGCAACTGAAATATCAGTTTTGAGAAACAGATTTTAGTTATCTGGGGCTCACAACATGATCTCGATGAACGTAGATTTTCCATCATTGACGCCAGTCGAATTTAGAAAATCAACCCTCTGACGAGGAAGTCCTACCAATCCCTGACGGTATGAGCGAAAGTGGGGGTACCAGTTACCGTGCTTTAGCTTTGTGTGTGGCAGTGAACCTTTCCCGTCAGAGAGTTGAATTATGTTATACTGAAGGAGTTGATCTGAAATGTTCTTTATGAAAGTCATTACCAATTTTTACTTCTTTCATTTCAATCATTCTAACCCTTTTAGGATTGAAGATTAAATATTAATTTTTTCAAGAGAGACTTTTTTGCTCTTCTAAATAGACAGGGTATTCCAATTCAGTCAGTTCGTTGTCATAGAACCCAACATCTGTATATTTCATAATGCATTTCTTCAGAAGTATTACCTCTATTATGTATATAAGCTATAAAAAAATTCGGCTGTGCCGTGACTCTTCATTTTACGTATATGCATAAATGGGGATTTATTTGATGGGATGACGATACTTCGACAATTCTCTGAGATAAATCATCTGCAATGATCCATTTCTCTCCTTTCACAATGCATGCTGTATAATGTCCAAAGCTATTTTCGTTAATGATTTCTGGGTCATGAAAATTTACAATTGCGGCTAGAATATATAGATCATTGTTCACGTTCAATGTTTTCATGAAGTCACGTATTGGAATTCGAAACTTATGATCCGATGGGCAATTGATAAAAAGATGGTTATGAAAGTGTACACTTTTCGTGATATATTGTATACATCCAATATCAACTCTATTGAAAATTTCATGTATGGTCGTGTCTAATATTTCTTGAAAATGTTGACCATAAAGAAGGCCATAATGACATATTTTTCGAAACTGGGTTCTATTATAATCTCATCAATTCCTCTATCACCATATAATGAATACTCCACTGTCATTGAATAACTTGGATTTTGATTAAAAATTATGGGACATAATTCTGCTACTGTCATTAATGCATTCAAAATTACCAGATCAGACTAGAATCTCAATTCTTTTTGGAAAAATTGCTTAGTTCGAAAAATATTCAATCTCAACTGTTGAACGTATTGTTTATCAACTTCATCATTTACGACAATGTATTTAATCAAATTGAATTCCTGGGTATTTGAACGAAGGATATTATTGGAGAAACCTTCTGTACTGCACGCTGTAATTAATATTTGAATGATACTGTCAAATGCACATGTATTCTGCAGACAAAATAATTGAAAATCGGTCACAATTAGTCAAAAAGGAACTCATTCAATTTGAGAAAGTAAAATAAACCATTAATTATATATAATAGAGGAGGAGAATGTGCAAAATAACAATTCGGAAGCATATTGCTAATTTATTAGCAAAAAAACTATACTATATGCAATAAAAAAGCAATTTCCCACTTGTTTTAGAATCAAATACGTTTCAATCCCACCTATTATATTCTCCAAATCTGTTGAATAGAAATATTTCATGCATTTCGTACATACCTCATGCAAAACATGTAATGAATTGCGGTACATATTCTCGGACAGTACGCAAAGTCGCGTGGTACATTTTAACCCTCGAATCTGGCGGTGAAAATCCCACGTGGGGATGCAACTTCAGACTATGACTGCTATGACATTCTTTTGAAAAATAACTGCAATTTTATTGAAGAAATACGGAATTTATTATGAATAATTCCCTGCTCCTAATGAAAATAACTCCACCTTCTCTGGAAGTATAAATTCCGTTCTTTTTGTTGGTATTTTTTTCAGCTCAATCGCGACAAACATTGTTTTATAATTAAATTTTGAAAAAGACGACTTTGGGGTATTTTCAGGATTTTAACATTTTTATTCTCAGAAATTAGGGCATTTCGAGAGATTTGGCCAACGGATTTGAAATCTGCGTGAAAAAATCTTTCAAATGGTGGCAGTCTCATCCCTGTGCCAGAACAAATTCAAATTTTTTTAGGACTGTGTTATCAGCCATTTTAGGCTTGATATTCGCCAGCTCTCAAGATCCTTCGAAAGGATCATATGCTTTGTCATCGACGAATTAGGCTTTACATATTCGAATGATATTTATGCTTCATCAACAAATTTTGATGTTGATCATGTTGTAAAAAATGAGTATGAAACTTTGGAATTAATTGATGAGTCAAGTTTGACGCCAATTATCCAAGTTTCAGTTTTAGTTGGAGCTAAATTAAATTTCAGAATTATTAATAATTTAGAACTTGGTGAATTATAGTCGTATCGAATGTATAATACGTTTGATAACAAAAGGGCGCCGTTTCTGAGAGTTTAAGGATTTTTTTAGAGAACCAATTTCATTTTTTGCTTCCAACTCAACAAAATTTAATGGAAGTCCACGAAACACGTGGAGTACACTGCGATAAGACTCGTCGAAGCTATAAACTTCACTGAGGGCATTGTACGATAATAAATATGCGGTGTTTATATAGAATTATCGCCTCCAATAATATTTTCTAAAAATCGTTGATTGAAACGATCACTTACAAAAGATCGACATGTAGCATTTTTTCTTGGCCTTTATGATCGATCCGACTATTAATCCAAAACAAAAGATAATTCAATTCTTTCACCGTAGGCCGCCTCTCTTATTAATGAATCTCTACTCTTATTACCTCTGAAAAAGCTTATTATTTTTTTTACCGATGCTCTTAGGATGACTTTAGAACTGTGTCGATATGCACAAACAATACAAATCACAAGAAATTTAATAATAACCGGCAAAAAACAACTCTTGTATACATAAACCCATTCAATGGCTCCAAGTTACCTGCTCGTACTAGTACGCGCTACGGCCGGTAGAGCCCGTCACTCAGTGCTAGTTCCCAATAGTAAGCATTACCATATGACATAGGAAGGATTACTATGTAGGGACAGTTGAAAACTCTTTTACTATATGTTACTACAGTAATTTCTTCTATGACCATTGGGGCCATTGTAATGTTTACTATTTAATTCTCTCCGTGTACAATTTTCGAAAGCAATCGACAAAAAATTAATGGAGCTCCACTAGAATTTCCTAGCAAATGCGTAAAATTTTGTATTGAATCTATTCATGCCGATCTTGACAATTTTTGAAACTTATAAAACTGTTTTATCCACCGTCTTGCTCATTTTTGATCCCACAAAAGCGCAGCTCCGCCCAACCGCCCCAAGGTGGCACCTAAAATCCATTCCCGCAAATATACCTCAAGGTTCACCTTCCCACAATCATATGATTTTCAGTTTCTCTATGAACATGTATGTAAACCTGTTTTATTGTTCTAATAAAATCTAATTTTACTTTCGCAGATTTCATCGAATGGAATTCAGTTGCGAATGACAGAAGTGCGAGACGTATTATTTACTCATGAGTGAAAAAATCTTGGGAATGTGTTAATAACCATCTTGGGGTAAGTTCAATAACCTTTTCTACTGAAAACGTCAAAGTGAATTCACAACAATTAATGCTGATTAAGAAATGTTTACATACAAGTCATGTATTCAAAAATTTGTTGACTTTTTTTCCACTGATTGAGAGATTTTTCCACTTCCGAGACAGTTTTTTGTGGTCAACACCACGTAAGTGTTGCGAAAATCATCATTAAAATGCGTTAAAGTAGTATAAATGCAGCTCAAATTTTGAAGATTAAAATCTGAAATAAATTCTAAACGGAAGTGAATATAAACAGAAACATTCTAGTTGAGCTTGTGTTTAATCGACAATTTGGTATCATTGGTGATAATTGATTTAGAAGTGTCACAATAACTCAGTCTTATGAAAAAATTAACGTTTCAAGGTTATGAAAAAGATTAAAATCTGGAAAAAATCTTGAAAAATCAGAAGAAAATATAAAAGTGCTGTATCTACTATGAAAATGGTCGTCAGTGTCACAATTTTGTAATAAATAATTTATAATTCTGGGTGCCCTGAAATTACGGATCATGTGACGACAGCAGTGCTTCGGTTCAAGTAGTATAAATATAACTCAAATTGAGAATATTACAATCCGAAATAAATTCTAAACGGAAGTTAATATAAATAGAAACGTTCTGGTTCAGCTTCCGCTAAATCGGCAGTCTAGTATCGTTGCTAATAATTGATTTAGAAGTGCTAAATTAACCGAGTTTTATGAGAAAATTAACGTTTCAAGGGCAGAAAAAAGACTAAAAGCTAGAGAAAATCTTGAAAAATGACAAAAATAAATGAAAATAAATATAACTAAAATTTCGAAGGTTAAAATCTAAAATAAGTTCTGATCGGAAATTGATATGGATAGAAACATTCTGGTTGAGTGTGTACTTAATCGGTAGTCTAGTATCATTGATAATAATTAATTTAGAAGTGCCAAAATAAGACAGACTCTCATGAGAAATTGGAGATTTCAAGGCTAGAGAAAAGATTACAATTTAAAAAAAAAAATGAAAAATTCGGAAAAAATATAAAAATGCAGTGCCCATTATGAACACGATCCAACAGTGTCCTACTATTGCAATAACTAATTATTTCTGGGTGCCCCGCAATCACGGATTAAGTGAAAGTGGCAGCATTCTATTTGTTAAAGATATCCAAGTAGTTTGGCTATTTTTTCTCCACTGAAAGGCTTTTCTACTTTTGTAGTCGAACATCAGAGTTTTCATTTAAGCCCCATTCAACCCATTTTACGATGATTTTCTTATTTAAACTTTGCAGATCTGAATTTGAATCTCGATATCGAACCGTTAGATAACATTTAAAAAATCTGTAATAAAATTAGAAAGTTTACTTTTGGAGGAAGATTAATGAAATAATTTAAAAAGTGCTATTTTTGAAAATTACGAGCATTTTTTGTGAATAATTTATAAACAATTAATTTTCCACCATGAAAATCATTTATTCGGAATCGTAACAAATTTGTTCATATTCAGAATTTTACCAGAAATCGATTTCATGTCTGAAAACATATGGTTTCCGAAAGTTTAAACAATTTAAATTATTTATTGATAAACAGTGAATGTTTAAAAAATGATAATTCTGTGCAAAATGTAATTTTAATGACGCTGAATATTTATTATTTTTTCATATTTTTCTCACGCCATTTAATTAACAAATTTGATGATTGGAAATGATTGAATCTGCAGTGGGGTCTGTAGCAAACTGTAAAAGATACTTAGGTATCCTTAATCGTTGACCATACCATAGGAACAGAAGATTTTCGAACGTACAGGGTTGTCACTGACGAGACTACACTAACAGAAAAGCGAACAGGTTCTCAAACAAGTCTTGTTTGGGCCAACAAAATCGTTAGTTGAAAATTACCAAAAAAATCATTGTTTGGTTCGAATTTGAAAGTTTCAAACATGAATAATTGCTCTGCTTTCAACAGAAACGAAATATTTGGCTCAAGAGGCGAATCATTCATACAAGACTGTGTTTTTTAAAGATAAAAATATTTTGTATTGGGGAAAGTTTATTAAGAAATATTTTGTTCTCAAGTTAAAAGATTGGCGTCATTGTTATTTCATTTAAGAATTTATTTTTTATCTGTGATTATTAAATACACTGTTAGAATATTACCCTTGAAATTTCAAGTGAAAAAGCTTGAAATTTTTAACAACAACAAAGTTACATGAAATTTCTGTATATTTCTTCATTGACGAATCAGTTAATTTCTTGAATATTCAAGTAATTCTCGATTTTCAGGTTCATACCGCAATGGAAAACCTTGAAAATTTTGAAAATTCAGACAACTTTTCTGAATTCTCAATTCATTGAAAATTGAACTGTATGTGATGTTCAATTTTCACAATGAGATTGGAAATTCAATCTTTCATTGAAAAATCAATGATTGTTTAACATGAAAAATCCAATTTTCTATAATTTTCAACATGAATGAGAAATTTAGTGAACGCTTTCAATTGGAATTGAATTCAACGTCACCATATCGAAAATTCAGATGATGCCGTGTTAAAAATTTCAAGAAATTTCTAACCGTGCAACCGAAACGACAAACTACTATCCCTCGTTTCATATGAACCGAACATTTACCGGGAGCAAAATAGGTATAGAAGCATTGAATACCGAAGAAGTAATGCTAGAAATTACATTTCTTGCTTGCACAAAGAATAAAATTTTTTGAAAAGACTAAATCTACTTTTGCAACAAAATTTTTCAATCTCGGCGCAGGCTTCGCATATTTGACACAAAAAAATCCTTTTTTGATCATTTTTAACAAACGATTTTTTGGGCACAAGACTTGTTTGAGAACTCTGCTGTTTTTCTCTCCGTGTATTATTTAAAAAAATGATTGATTTTCCCCCAGAGTTATCACAAAGACGACTGGACCTAAGAAAACATCGCATTTATCAATTGCAGATGAATCTCAACATCGACTCACCTCCACTGAACCACCCCAAAGTTCCCACCCTCCGCCGAAAGAAATCCTCCCGAAATTCCGTAGCCACCATGTAGTACCACCCGTCCCAGCCCCTCCAAAAATGATCGCTCACTTCATAACCGTGACCTCAATCCGTCGAAAATGTCTGATAATCCTGCTGTTGATACTCATCCCATGCACCGTCCTGAACCTCCTCTCCTTCCCAGACATGGGAGAGGAGACAGCCCTGCAGAACGGCATAGCTGAGCTGCAGGCAAAGCTCGAGCATCTCCAATCGAAATACGTAAACACCCGGGAGGAGATAAACCTCCTTTCCCACCAGCTCCTCCTGATGACTGAAAACTCCCACGTGCTTCCTGATCTCCAATTCATGATGCTGAATGGCACCTCAAACCTGACAACCATCAAACTCCCCACGATCTACAACTTCCTGCCACATTTCTTGAACGATCCCAACAGTCTGAGACCAGCTTTTCTGCAAAGCAAGGGTCGAACTGGTGTGAGTATGGTACTGGGAGTTCCCACGGTTAAGAGAGAGGTCCAGAGTTACCTTCTAGCTACTCTCAAGAACCTGGTGGACAGAATGACCCCGGAGGAGGCCATGGACACTGTCATAATCGTGATGGTGGCTGAAACTGACCTCGAATACGTGAGCTACGTAGCCAAACAGATCGAGGTGCAGTTCCCGATAGAGTCCGAGAGTGGACTCATAGAAGTGATATCTCCGTCGCCCTCTTACTACCCAGATTTATCAAAATTGAGGGACACTCTGGGAGACGATCACCAGAGAGTTGTCTGGAGATCCAAGCAAAACCTGGACTTTGCATTCTTAATGTCTTATGCTCAGACTAAGGGGACCTTTTACATTCAGCTGGAGGACGACATCCTGGCCAAGCAGAACTTCATCACCACTATGAAGTCTTATGCACTGCAGAAGATCAGTCAGAAGGAGAACTGGTTTGTCCTAGATTTTTGCCAGCTAGGATTCATCGGCAAGCTGTTCAAGTGTGTGGAGCTGCCCTGGTTGATCCAGTTTTTTCTCATGTTTCATAATGACAAGCCTGTCGACTGGTTGCTAGATCATTTGATTACGAATAAGGTCTGCAGTCTTGATATGGATCCCAAGCACTGTAAGATGGCTAAGGCGGAACTCTGGCTGCATTACAAACCCTCGTTGTTTCAACACATTGGGACACACTCGTCTTTGAAGGGGAAGGTGCAGAAGCTGAAGGACAAACAATTTGGGAAGATTACCATGTTTTATGCGCATGACAATCCTGATGCTACGGTGGAGACCAGGATCAAACCGTATAAACAGTATACGCTTAATAAAGCGTATAGGGGTGAGAACTTCTTCTGGGGACTACTGCCACAACCTGGGGATCATCTCAAGTTTAAATTCAAACATCCTATTTTTGTGAAGAAGTGAGTATTAGAGGACTGGAGAATCAACCACGAATAAATTTATGGGGATACTACTATCAGTTTTAAAAGTCACGGGCTATTGGAGTGAGATTTTTGACATTGAAGATCGTTTATGTTTCTTTAAAAACGAATAATTGGTCCAAAAGAATTAATTGCTTATTGTTCATTTACCCCGCAGATGCTGAAAATTTTTAAAATAGTTCAGGGCGTCCAATTTTTGAGCTAGAGAAGGTTTTTTTCGAAATTTTTGTAAAAATGTGTGCAATAACAATTACGAATTAGTTTTTTGAAATTCGACTCCTACACAGCTAATTTCGTTATTATTTTAATAAAAAATTGTACCATTTATGTAAAATAATCCGAAAAATATTTCTAAAAGAATCGAGAAAATATTTTTAATACTTTAAGGATAATTTTTCTGCCTATTTTACATGAATGACGCAAATTTTTATATTAAACAAAATGAAATTAGCTGCGTAGGCGTTGAAATTCAAAAAACTAATTCGTAATTCTTATTGTACATATTGTTTCAAAAATTTTGAAAAAAAACTCTGCAGCTCAAAAATTGGTGGCCCGAAACTATTTTAAACATTTTAAGCGTCTGCGGAGCAAACGAACAATAAACAAATCATTTTTTAGCACTAATTATTCGTTTTTAGACGTATATAATCGATCTTCAATACATGACAAATCTCACTCCAATAGCTCGCGACTATTAAAACTCATAGTAGTCTCCCCTTGAACCACTTAACTACTGCGCTACTCAATATTTTCCTAAATATCTGTATTTTATAATTGAATATGAGTGATGACAAATTTTTCACATCTTAATGCGAAAATTGAAAACAATAATGTTTATTCATTTCATTTTACATTGCTTTCAGATATTTATTTAGGAGTGGTAATCCAGAGCATCCCCTCGACAAATTTTATAATACAACAGTTGAAGTACTTCCCGAGGCTTCAAAGTTCGTCAATAGAAATAGCAATGATGTCACTGAGGATGGTTACATCATCATAGGTAGAAAAAAATCATGTTCTTACTTAATTTTGCATACAAATTATAAATAACTTCCTTGAAATGAAAACTACAATTTCCTCTTTTTATTCAAGGTAAATTTGATAGTCTTGGACTGGCCCAAGGAACAGTTGACAGGAAGTACGGAAAAATATCCGTTCTGAGATTGACAGTACACAGTGAAAGTGAAAATTGGGCAATTCTGTCTGAGGTCAGTACAATCTATTTATTGCTGTTTTTCTGATTTCACACGATTTCGCCATAGTTTTTTCTCAATATTTTTAAGAGTTGGATAGTGACCTGCATGAACAAGTTCAATAGGAAATCTAGCACATCAGAATGAATTGATTTTTTTTTCTAAAAAAATTTTGATTGAATATTTTTTAATAAAAAAAACACGCACTAAAGTTGTGGAATTCTTCAGCTGAGCCCCTAAAAAAGAAATGCAATTTTCAGTAAAATCCTAAACAACATCCGATAGAATTCCCTAGACAATTCGCGAGAAATTTCTGTTAAATTTCTATAGAATTTTCGTTGAAAATCCTATTAGTATTTTGCCGATTTCTATTGAAAAATTGGTCAGTTTTTCTGGGAGTTTTTTTCAACTGAAATGATCAATAGAAAATATTTCATAGAAAACATCAATAGAACCTATTCTATTGAACTGTTTTCTGTAGAAATTCCTCGGCTCATACTTCCTTCCGTTTATATTTAGAAAATTTATATTTGGAAAATTCTATCGAAAATATCTCAATAAAGTTCTATCGAGAGATTAAATTTTGCTGATTTTTTGATATTGAATACTAAAAACTAATGTAATTTTAATAGAAGTTCAATGGAAAGCCAATAGAATTTTCCTGCGAATTTTCTTTACTACTACAAAATAAAATAAAATCTCATGGAGAGTTTAGTAGTAATTTTCGAGATATCAAAATTATATTCGATTCAGGGAAAAAAATCATGAAATTTCTAATTTCAATGATAATTCAATAAAATTTCTGTTTTTGAGCAGCAGGAATATTCAGTATTAATTTACCCTGAATTTTCAATCAATGGAAGACTCACGAATAAATCGATCTGAAGTTTTCAAATGCCCATCAATTTTCGTGGAATTATTGAGTTGAAATTCACAATTTTCATTGATTTTGTCATCAAATTGTGAAGTTTCAATGACAAAATTCCTTGAAATTTCAGTGGAACTGTAAATGGACAGTTCAATTCAACTCCAAGATATCTCCGAAATCAATCTTGAAGTCAAATAAAAAAAATTTATTCAACTTTTCTTCGTCTTCTTGTTATCTTCAGATTCAAATAGTTGAGGATCAAACGAGTTGACGGTCACCAGGGAGTGGAGGAAAATATTATCGCTTTCAAGTGCATTAACAACTGATGGAATTAAAGAATTTAAAGTACCTGCCAAACTGAAAAAAGTGAAAATCACTGCGGAAAAATATCGTTCACAACTAGTGACATGGGTTTTTTTTTACTGACGAGGCGAGGAAATGGGAAAGGCGAGTGCGATAGGAAAAAGCCCATGACACTCACCTTGAAATATACTATTTCAATTTTTTTTTCAAGCATTTTTTGACGCGTTCCACACGATTGCAACTGTTTTAGACGAGATAAAAAAAAGTATGCGAATCTCTGTTGATGAAACGCGTAACCATATTTTGTCATATGCAAATAATTTTTAGTCCACAGAAAATCATCTATAACTTTGAATCCGAATTCGTGGGCAAGATTTCGTGGAATATCCCCTATAATTCTTTTTTTAAATGTAGTCTATGTGGATGAACTCTATCGAAAAATACCTGCCAAACTGAGCAATGAGGAGGAGAAATTCTGACCTGTTTATTTATACATTGAACAGAATATTATATAAATTTTTATCACATCGACAGAACATCATTTGTGCTTCTCCTTAAGGTATTTACCAACTGTTATTGTTATATTTATAGTTTAAATATGATATATTTTTTGACTCCCACAAGATTTGCTAAACATGAGACCTGAATACCAGCAGAAAATACTGCATCATTCGTGCAGCATTATTTATCCTTTCAAAGTATTTTTTTCTGCTTATTTAAATGAATATTAATATATAATGATGTGATTAGTGTGGCAAAGAGTTTTTAATTTGTCTGTTTTGTTTTTTCTTTTTTGTCTATAAATCGAGGGAATTTATGCAGATTAATTATTCAACATACGCAATATTCTCATGAACATTGATTGATATCAATCTTCGTTTATTTATTTAAATTTGATTAAATGTGATGTTGATGTGGAGTGATGTGATTATGTGTGGAAATATTTGATGATGTTTACTACAGTAGCGGCTTCGTATAAGATACCTCGCGCTCCGAGCGCTCGAGGCCTACCCCCACTCTCGGCACTTTTATTGCCTCCCGAATGTTTATGCCCCGTGAGCTTCTTATAAGATACCTACGGCCCCGGTCATTTTTCAACGGGAAGAGAGTAGCTGTAAGGATCAAACGGTGTTAAGGGACGAACGAAGTGATCACGAGGGTCTAATGACCTTAAGGGAAGACGGAACCCCTTTGTCTACATCAAATCTTAGAATTGAGTTTTCTCCTGCAATTATTAATTTCTATCTATGAAATTACTTTATTGACTCGATTATCGCATTGTTGGGTTAATGAAGTAGTTGAATAAACAAGTGGAGAATTGCTCTGGTATCGGATATAGTATAGCTTTCTTTGCTAATAAATTAGCAATATGCTTCCGAATGGTCACTTCATATATTATTTTCTCTATCGTATGTAATTCATACTTTTTTCATTTCATTGAATTGCATAATTTTCTTCTCAATTCATTATGTTGAATTTTCTACATGAGTAAATTCGACCATGATTATTTTTTCCTATTTTTTATAATTTTTATTTTTCATTTTTATTATGAGCGGAAATTAGTTTTGGTTCTGAAATTCTTATTTCGGATCGTAATGGGTTACACTCACTTTAATCCACTCTTACTGGTCGCATTTCAACCCAGAGCCAGCGCAGCGGACTGACACTGATTTCTCATATTTTTCAACAGGTTCATTTTTTCTACAAGCTAGGTTTAGGAATGAAACCTTCAAAATTTCCAAATATCATCATAAAAATCAAATTAATGAAGGCAGTTATCATAATCACCTTTCAACTTAGACTTGCTGGCATCCAAAGGAACATTTTAATCTATTATTGAATCCATTTGAAGCCTAGTCTACAAAGACATCGATGAAATTTGAAAAAAAAAAACGGATTTTCAAAAAAATTGGAATAACGATTATTGCTATCACCTTCATGTTCGAACTCGGTCAAGGGGACATGGAAACAAATTTTTTCAGCCGTCATTTAATTCATTCCGAACGTTTTTTTTTTCGTTATCGTAAAAAAAACAATTTTTGAAAAAATTCAAAAATAAAAAAAATCAATCAATGAATTGAATTTTAATCAATTGTTATGGATAGGGCCCAATAATACCTACATTTTAAAAAAATATATTCAATTCCATTTATTCATTAGCCAGCAATCGAAGAAAATCGAAGAAAAAATTTGATACATACACACACATAGGTACATACGTTCGGACACGATCTAAAAATTGCATTTTCGGACGCGGATCACATTGGATTGATATAACATGAAAAATCAAAAACTTAAATTTGACCGATTACAATGCTTCCATTCGGAAGCAAAAATAATAATTGCAGGAAAAAACACAATTCTAAAGATTCATATAAACACAGGAGTTCCGTTTTCCCTTAAGAGGGGGTCACACCGCTTTTTTCAAGTAATGGAAATATACATCGATTTTTTTTTCACTTTTCCCATCGAAAAATCGTAATTTTTCATCTGTGATTATTCTCGAGTCCACCAACAATCCCCCAACATCAGCTGCCATTCTATCACACGGGGTTATGTTTAGAGAGAAAAGGGAACGCGGACGATACAAATTCAAAACATTAAACACATAAATTGATTAGTTATCGATATTCATTCAGTAAAAATGAAAATTTCATTGAATTCGGGCGCAACGAGCGAGGAATCTTATTTGAAACCCGCTGATCCCTATTTTTCTCTTCTTTATGGTCGGGCTTGGTGAGGGGATAGGGGTTCCCTGAATTCCACTCTCCTACTGTCCCTAAGGTATCTTATACGAAGCCTATACTGTATTTTGTTGTGAAAATTGTTCAGATCATTCAGGGATTTTTTCAATGTCATTTGGAAAACTCAGATCTGAATTAGGGTGATTAGGGTGTAATGCATAATTTTTCATATTTTTGGCAATTTAGCAGTGGAGGTGAAAAATAGATTGAGAGTATGACAACTCAACTTTACGATGAGCTTTCGATAGAAATATTTTCGAATCTCGAGGAGATGATGAAATTTTCACACCTGAATCCGTTCTTGTAAATTTGATTTTGATCTTTTTCACTCCACTGCTGAATTATTTGTTCATCTTGGAGATCAGCTATTTTATGAGAACATGTGAAAATCCGTTTGGAGGAAGAAATTTCTAACAACAATTGCTCTTCACATTTCCTCTGGAAATTAGTAATTATGATAATTCTTAGGTTACTTTTTATCAACTGTCTGTCCATTTTGAAATAACGAAAGAATTTAACCCATTGATTATAAAATAATCAATAATTGATGGAAAACTCAGTGAAATTGAAGAAAGTTATATTTCTAAAATTAAAGGTACTTAGCTCAAACCATTGCTGCGTAATTTATAATATTGGGTGGAGTTGTAAAGTAAAAGAGAAACGATGAAAAATGAAGTGCAAGTTCGCAGCTACTATTCATAGGACATCCGAGTGGATAATTCTCTTTAATAAAATGAATGCTCTTTTTTCACTCGAACTTACACCAAAAAAATATAATAATCAATTTTAAGGGAGAGATTAACTTTTTTTCTTTCAATCCTGAAGAGGAAAAATCTTGAGTTGTCGATTAGAAAATTATATTTTGTTATTCTCATGAATTACTGACTTATTGAGAGCTTGACTGACAAAAATGATTCTCAGCACTAACGGAAATCAATGTACCCGCCTCTTGCAATCGGACCATCACCATTGTCACTTATGAAATAAGGTTGTTACTCATTAAATTGTAAAAATATTCATGACCAAAAAATAAGTCATAATAATTCAATGAAGTGATGAGAGGAGATGAGTGTCCATGAATTTTCGTACAGTTTATTTAACGAATATTTCTGAAACGAGTAGGTTTGGATGGAATTTTTTTTAGATATTGAAATTTCCTACGAAAACTTGTCGATAGTTCCCTTTAAATTTATAAGTCAATTCAACTAAACTTCTTTTTCGTTCTTCAATTTTTGTAAAATTGAGAATTGTCTCGAAAATGACCAGTTTTTTCGAGGAAAAAAATAGTTTGAAATTTTTTTTCAATCTTCTCATGCCCCACAATAGTCCTCTATTTCACATTTTTTTATCTTGAGTTTCGTCAGATAGTGAATTATTTACAAATAAGTTAAGGTATATCCCTAAAAAACTGTTTTCTTTAATGATTGTCCCAAACAATTAATTAACAAATAATTTCTTATTTGATTAAAACAGTTGTTGTTGCTTCTTTTCTTCATCAAAAACTTATGAGGATAGAACAACTCAATAACATGAGAAGTTAAGTCATTTATAATTTTTTCCGGAAATTTATATGGACTAACTTTTGAGTGGTATTGTCATGGGATATACCGCAAAGTAGTATGAATAAACTCCAGTTGAGTCGTTGAATGGAACGAGGAAAAATCAATTCGAAAACCCAAAGGAAAAAATTATTCAACATTAATCATTTTTCCCATGAATTCTAACTTTGATGTGAAAGAAATTGATCCATCCAATTCTTTCTTCAATTATTTTTTTAATCACTAGTTTCTCGTTTGACTAGGGTGTTTCGACATAACACGCCATTTCGGGATACCCAGAAACATAAATTATTTATTGCAAGAGTTTGCTGAGAGTATACTGACGATAATTTTCATATTGGGTGTAAAATTTCTATTTATTTTTTGTGATTCTTCGAGATTTTTTCTAGATTTTGAGTTGCATTTGAGTTGCATTTATCCTACCATTTATGAAAAAAATGTCACAGAAAAACCTAGCTAGACAATTCCATTGCATTTCTATTGAACTTCTTATTAGTTTTTGGTCAATTCTATTGAAATGTTCAATACAATCTATTGTATTGAAAAGGTTGATCGAATTCGATTGTTATTCGATTGTTGCACCTTACTCTGTAGAGATATTCTTTATCAAATTTCCCCGCCTCAAATTTTTCAAGTTTTTTGTTTCATCTTCTTGATGAAAAGAAATGAAAACCGAATGAAAAAACTGGGAAGATTTGAGCCCAAGAAATTCTATAAAATATCTCAATAGAATAAATTGTATAGAAAAATCGAATTTTATTGACTTTTTCTGTAGAAAATTGTCTATTGAACATTTCAAGGGAATCAGCCAAAAACTACTCGAAAGTTTAATAGAAATCCAATAGAATTGTCTAGCGAATTCGCGAGGTTTTTCTATTAATTTTTTTTCGTGCGTGATAAAAGCAGTTGTTGACGAGTGTGAGGGTTACAGGTAGAGCCGAAGGCGAGGTCTATAATCCCACTCGTTAGGGAGTACATTTTTTAAATATGTATCATATGATATTTATATAATACTAGCGAGAAAAAGACGGTTCTTTGCGCGCGGAGAATTCAAAAAGTGCCCTTTTTTCTCTTGTATTCTGAAAGATGGTTCCTGTAGGTCGTAAAATTCACGACAAAAATGGTCTCTTCCGAACTGAATTCCTCCAGACCTACTATTTTTTCTATATTTACAAGATAATGTAAACTCAACATAAAATCTCTTAAAATTCTATTTTTAGTCTGCAGTTATTTCCTGATTTCCTGATTCCATAAATTCCAAAAGTTCCACAGTCAACTGCTTAGAGTAATGATTCATCAATACACTGTGGCATTCATGACCAAATAGCCTTCGAATGCAGCCAGTCTCATGAAAAATATAACGCAAGACAATTTTCTCATTCGACTGGGATGATGAGCTTTATTTACAAAAATCCTTGACTCTGCAAAATTTTCTGTGAAAAATCATTCAAATGTAGTATTATTTATTACCAGTATAAATGTCTCAATGGTCAGTTTTAATTAAGGTAAAACAATTATTGCTAATATAACATTGTGATGGTAACGAAAATCGTTCTGTAAACTAATTATAACTAAAATTAACTGAAAAATATTTTAATGCGAGTGTAAATTTTTCTATCTGTTGATGTATGTACATATTCTGATTGGAGAAAAAACAAATCGATAATATATATGTACTTTGATCGAGTGGAATTGTATAATAAAGTATGAGGAGGAATTGAGAGAAATGCAGTCACACTGTCAATTATCCCATTGATCATTCGATAAAACTTGAAAATTTTTGTTGTCATGAAATTATAATTTTTCGTCGAGCAAATGTCAGAATGGCCTTTGTGACTAGACATCGGGTGCCATACGACCTGTCCCCGTAAAAATTCTGGCACAAAAATTCATAATGAAATAAATAGGGGAGGGTGGGCCAACATGGACACCTGGGGTAAAATGGACACTCAAAAAATTTGGGTCTAAATAGACTCTAAGGGTCTATTTAGACCCTTAATCTGACCCACATAACTCTTAATCTGACCCTTGTGACTCTTATTCTGACCCTTGTGACCCTTAATCTGACCCTCGTGACCCTTATTTTGACTCTCAAGACCCTTATTCTGACCCTTTTGACCCTTATTTTGAACCTCATGACTCTTGTTCTGACCCTTGTGACCCTTATTTTGAACCTCATGACTCTTGTTCTGACCCTTGTGACCCTTATTTTGAACCTCATGACTCTTGTTCTGACCCTTGTGACCCTTATTTTGAACCTCATGACTCTTGTTCTGACCCTTGTGACCCTTATTTTGAACCTCATGACTCTTGTTCTGACCCTTGTGACCCTTATTTTGAACCTCATGACTCTTGTTCTGACACTTGAGACCCTTAATCTGACCCTTCTTTTTACTCTCAAGACCCTTATTCTGACCCTCATGACCGTTGTCACCCTTGATTTCGGAGTCTTAATTTCGAGTACCAAATTTTTATTTATATTATTAAGAAATGGAAGCGTCCATTTTACCTCGTTTGTGCTTTGCCTTACAACTCCTACGACGCAGTCTTATAACAATGTGTTTGTTTTTATAATCTTCAAATGAATTCGGAACAGTCGATTTGATCCAATTCAACTCATTATTTAAATCTGGTGTCCATATTGCTCCACTCTCCCCTAATAACTTTCTCGTTTCATTCTTAAAATTGCTTCAATATCTCCTAGTGATTAAAACTCTGAAGGGCAATGGACTGGCAGTTACACCATCAGTAAAACCAGTTGTTGGTTTTTCCTCACCGGGAACAACTGAGAAGGTGAAAGTCTGCAGTAATGCTGCTGTGAAGACGAAAATGTTACTTTTAGCTAGGACTTCACCCATGCAATGATGTTTACCTTAAAAAATGGATGAATGTTTTAATTGTTTCGTCTGATGGAAAAGTCAAGGTTGATTTTGAAGGAACAAAAAATAATAATTACCGATACTAAATGGCATATATTGCTCAGGAATGGAAATATTTCCTTTTGAATCGATGAACCTTTCAGGTCGAAATACTTCAGGATCTTCGTAGAACTCATCACTCATTAATATTCTGCTGAAATTTGCTGCTAGCATTGTGTCCTAAAATTAATTATGAACAATTCAGAATTAAAAGTAATTATTTAGTATGATAGGCAGAAATAAAAGGTAATATTGAAGTTCAAGTTGGATCTAAGAGATTCTGTCACTGCAAAATAATTTCAATTTCTTGAGAATTCCAAAATGATGGGATTTTCAACTTGAAATTTACCCTAGATTGGTCACCCCACGAGGAAAACCCCGTCGCGCGTCGTTTTTCTTTAATTACAATTGACTGGCTAACCGGAAAAATTAAAAAAAAATTGACTTCGTCAATTAACGTGTCTAAAAAATTATAGCAGTTTTTAAAACAAAATATTTCCCAAGATTCGTAAAAAAAACAAATTATGTCGGACAGATGCATCATTTTTTACCGCGTTAATAGTATATTATATCATCAGGCGATAAAAGTATTATCTGGCGAATGTGGGTTTATAATCCGAGCCGAAGGCGAGGATTATAATCACATTCACCAGATAATGCTTTTATCGCCGTGTGACATATGATATTTTATGTCGTTTTTATGAAATTGTCCATGACACCATGTTGCCAGAAACTCGCTAATCGCACCCGGGCAGTGGAGAATGAATTTGGCAACGCTAAAGCCTAAATAACACGACGGGGAATCCCAGCGGAGGTGATCAAGTTGCAGGGTCGCGTTTGTCGACCAGACTAGGGTTAAGAGGCTATGAAACTTACCATCGGAGTAGAAACTGGATTCCAAGTTTTTTCGTCGTCAGACGACTATTCATCAAAACCCAACTTCTTACATTATCAATAACCTTGGTATCTATAATGTACCAATTTGGGTTTTGCTAAACAGTCCTCTGACACCGAAAAAACTTGGAATCGAATTTCTACTCCGATGGTAAGTTCTATTGCCTCTTAATTAAATAGGATTTTGAAGTTCAAGTTGAATTTAAGGCACATTAGCCCTGCAAAATAATTTCAATTTCTTAAAAATTCCATAATAATGGGAATTTCAACTTGAAATTTAAATTGACTTGAAATAGAAATAGGATTTTAAATAAAAGAACATGGATTGCTTAGGAATTGAAATATTTTCGTTTTAATCGATGAATTTTTCAGGTCGAAATACTTCCGGATTATCGTAGAACTTATCACTCATTAATATTCTGCTGAAATTTGTTACTAGCATTGTGTCCTAAAATTAATTATGAAAAAATTCATAATTAAAGGTAGTTATTTACCATGATACACCGAAATAAAACGAAACATTGAAGTTCGAGTTTAATCTAAGAAATTTTTTCCCTGCAAAATACTTTCAATTTCGTAGAAATTCTATAATAATGGGAATTTCAACTTGAAATAGAGATTGGATTCTACATAAAAGAACAACCTTTGGTATTCGATACCCCATAATATAAGTGTCCTTCAACGCCCGGTGTGGAATATTCATGGTCCTTCCCATGAACATTCGGATGGATTCCAGAGTAATTGCATTCACGTACGTCATTCTGAACAAAAATCAATTCCAAAATTATTTTCTACCTTTGCGATGGATATAATATGAGGTATTCTAGCCAAATGAGTCAACGGCCAACCCTCACCCTCTTGAAAATTGATGACAATTTTTTCTACGATTGGGGGGGCTTGAAAAACTATCTCAAATTTTTTCAGATTTTTTTGACAGCCCAGTTCGAAGATTTTTTTTTTCAAATTGTTCGTTTTTTTACAATAACTCGAGTTCTACTCATCCGACTTCGATTTATTAGGAATCAAAATTTTCCATTTTTCACCACCTATAAGAATGTTTTTTGTCCAAATTTTTTCCAATCTCTAGATGCTCGAAATAATGAATTTTCGAAAAAAAAATTAAAAAACTTGAATTTGGCTAATTACGTCACAGTTGATTATTTTAAATTCTTTTCAGTAATTCCTATAATCAAAACAAAAATTTTGAGCCGTCATGCATATTGGGTTTCGTCTTAGATCTATTTTATTTTTAATTTTTTATTCTCAAAATTCCGCGAATTCGGTCAAAATACCCCAAAATGTCATTGGTTGACTTTGATTATAAACAGTATGAAGTAAATTTAAATATATACCTATATATTACATATTTTTTCGATACATAATTGAAGTCGTTTTAAGGTGTTTTCACCAAATTTTCACAACTTTAAAAAGAAAAAATTGAAAAAAAATAGATCCTGGATGGAACCCAACATGCACGACGGCTCAAAATTTTCGTTTTCATTATAAGAATTACTGAAAAATAAATTAAAATAATCGACTGTGACCCAATTGGCAAAATTCAACTTTTGTTTTTCAACTTTTTTTTTCTCGAAAATTCGTTATTTCGAGCATCTAAAAATTGGAAAAAAAATTTAAAAAACATTCTTATAGGTGGTGAAAAATGGAAATTTTTGCCGCCTAATAAATCGAAATCGGATGAGTAGAACTCGAGTTATTGTAAAAAAACGGAACAATTTGAAAAAAATCATATTTCCGAACTGGGCTATCAAAAAAATCTGAAAAAATTTGAGAGATAATTTTTCAAGCCCCCTAATCGTAGAAAAAATCGTCATCAATTTTCAAGAGTGTGACGGTTAGCGGTTGACTCATTTGGCATGGAATACCTCATACTATTTCTCTAATCATCCTGTAAGTGGAAAATACCTGGGTCGATCAGACAGGCATGGAAACCTGTCCCTTCCAATTTCTCTGTCGATTTCCTCCTGAGCTTTTCTTTGCACCTCAGGATATAGCACAAGGTAGAGAAAGCAGAAGTTCAGGGCTTTTGTTGTTGTCTCTGATCCTGCCATGAATAAATCCACCCAAATTGCGAGTAATTGTAATTCTAGAAATGAAATAAATTCCTTGACTTTTGATTGGAAAATGATTTTAACAGTTTCGAGGTTCCAAAACTTGGAATATTGAATATCATGGAGTCGCTAATTATACAATCATCGCTGCAAAGAGTCATATTAACAGAAAATGTCATTTAGCATAATATTTTATTTTTAAATCATTCAGTTTTACGATAAGATAAACCGACGAGCGTCCGAACCCGTCCAGTAATCGAACAGATTTATGTATTTATTCTAGAACAAATGCTCAATCTAGTGGAATGAAGCTTTTATCCTTTTGAAACAATACACAGTATCTCATCCAGAGGGTGCGAAAGGATAGACACGTGCACTGATCAAAGGATTTATTTGCTGTTTTATCATTTTACTCTAGAAATTTGAGTGAATTCTTCCTCCACAAACCTGAAAATGTTTCATTATGAGACTCAGACTGCAGAATCTTCAAGTACGCATCCATGAGACATTTAGGTACATCTGGATTAAACTTCTTCTTATGATTCACCAATTCTTCCTGCAAATTCAACAAAAAAACAAAATATTGATAAAAAAAACAAATTCTTGTCGACAATAATGTTAGCACCACAATGTAGCAAGAGAGAATGATGGAAATCACATTTAAAAAACTCCACAACTGCTGATGAATCTCCATGAATTGTTTATACCCCGAGGCAACAGGTGCGATGTATCTCAGAATAGGAAAATGTCCAAACAAACATCCGGTCATATCGCATGCTTTGAAAAGAGTCGTGAGGATTCTCTGGAGGTGGTTGAGTCGTCTATCATCCACATTGTACCTATCAATAATTATTAATAATAATCAAAATAAAATCGACACAAATACATGGTGAAGTAATAAAATGACATAAGATAGGGCATATTTCTAAAATGCATCTATTTAGAGAGCAACGCCTAAAGATTTTTTCGTGGGCAACAAGAATATCTTTCGATATTTCCTCTGCATCTGTTAGTTGGAGATATTTGCGAATTTCAACCGCACAGAGGCGAAAATATTATTAAACAGCCATTCGTTTCTAATCCTTAATTTTGGAGTCTTAATTTCGAGCACCAAATTTCCATTGCCAAACTCGATTTGGATTTTTACTGTATAGAGGGATATAGAGAGGGATATAGAGCCATATTGAGACCCTCATTTTGACCCTTGTGATCCTTAGTTTCTGACTCCCATGACCTTTATTTGGACCCTTATATGACCTTTGTGATCCTTAATCTGACCCTTGTGACCCTTATTTGGATCTTTAATCTAACTCTCATTATAACGCTCGTGACCCTTGTTTTTTGACCCTCATGTTCCTTATTTGGACCCTTACTCTGACCCTTGTAACCCTTAATTTGATTCTTGTGATACTTATTTAGATCCTTAATTTGACTCTAGTTACCCTTATTTGAGCCCTTAATCCGACCCTTGGTACCCTTAATCTGACCCGCGTGACTCTTATTTTCACCTTCATGACCTTATTCTGACCTTTGTGACCCTTATTCGGGCTCTTATTGTAACTTTTGCGACCTTTCATCTGACCCTTGTGGCCCTTATTTTGACCCTCGTGACCCTTATTCTAACCCTCGTGACCTTTGACACTCTTGACTTCGGAGTCTTAATTTCGAGTACCAAATTTTTATCACTAGAAGTCGATTTGGATTTTTTATAACATAGAGAGGTGGGCTCAATCGTATCAGTAGTTTCGGAGATATTTGACTGTTTCTAAAAATATTGTATACGTAATATCTTCAAGACTACTCAACCGATTTCACTTTATTTTCAAAATATTCGTTCCGATGCCCTCTGTCGAAATCAATCAAAATATATGTACCCGTTCATACAAAGTTTTCCAGATATTCCCTTTTTCTGTTTTTTCATAGAAAAAAACTTTGTAATCACTCTCGGTTGTACAAAAATCGAGAAATCAACTTGAAATTTGGACAAAAAATATGTATATACCCATCCATACGAAGTATTCGAAACCTTAGGACTTGAAGAAAATGGACTGCTTCTATCTAATCGCATTTTACTATTTTGGATTGAACTTTTTACCTTTTTCCTGCCATCATCCTCCACAACGTATTCAGGATAGGAACTCCAAAGACTTCGTCCATCTGAGTAACCATTTCCGAAGTCTGAGAAACTCGCCTGACATCTGCGTAGTCCTCCGCCTTCATGTACATGTCCTCAATCTTGATAGTTTTCTTCGAACATTGCTCTTGAGAATTTTTAATACTCCCTTTGTCCTCCGATTTTTTCTTCAAATCTTGACCGCATAACTGATAGATTCTCCCATCGTTTTTGATGTTGTTGGCGGATTTCACAGGTTTTCGGTTCATTGATGTAATTTCTAATTGATGCAATAAGCTGTTCACTAGGTGTTTGGCTTCTTCGCCAATTAATGTCGCCATGTTATTCTTTCCGAAGCCGAAATCACGGAGGTGACGCAGGACGAATCGTCTCTGCTCGGTCCAGAGGACTCCATCAGTTACCAGAACTCCTGGGGAAAGATTTTCAATTTATTTGCTGAAAACATGATTCATTCCCCGGCGGGCGCAAAGTACACATTTCAAAATAAAATTTCTCATCGCACCGATTTGGTGATTGCAAGTGATTTCAAGCGATTTCAAATGATTTCATATTGATTTGAAGTGATTTTATCACATGATTTCATTCGATTCTAACTGATTTCATTGTAGAGTGACACTGTGATTTCACCAGTAATGGGCCACACTGAATTTCACTAATCCCTAGACTGTTAAGAATTTTCGTCTGAATTTTCCGTACCAAAGTCCGGAAATTTTTATCGTGTTCAAATTCCGCTGAAATTTTAAGAAATCTTGTCATTGAAAAATCAAATATTCTATTGACTTTCTGTTTAAATGATCTGGAAATCAATAAAATACTTAATTTTTCAATTATTCTGTGAAAATTGAGAAAAATCAGGAAAATTCAGGAAAAATTGAAAATTCATGTCATTTTGTTTCTGAATATTCAAGTTCTACTGAAAATTCAATCAAGTTGTGAAATTTCCATCTCACTCCCACCAAAAATTCATGGATTTCCGTGAATTCTACAGAAAATTTGAAATTTCATAACCATTTTTTCCCTAAATCCGATTCAATGTCACTCTCATGAGATTGACTGTAATATCTTTTTTTTTTTTTTTTTTTTTTNAGTCTGATGAGACTATATGGCGATTGATCAAGACTTTAAAAATGGTTAGATCTCACCATTCTACCCGGCCAGGAATCGAACCTGGAACCTATCCGTTGTGAGGCAACGGCCTTAACCACTACGCCAGGCCACCGGCCTGTAACATCTTTCATGAAATTTCAAGAAGTTTTTAAAAGTGTAGTACACTGAGAAGAAAATAGAATTCTGTCAATCAATTTTGTTTCAGAAAAACAAATTCAGAAAAATCATGAAAATTCAGGGAAAAATTGAAAACTAATAGATTTCCGTGAATTTTACTTGAAGCTTGAAATTTCATAGCCATTGTTTCCCTAAATCCAATTCAATGTCGCTCTCATAAAATTTACTATAATATCTTCCATGAAATTCGAAAGCGAACGAAGCGAGCGACCGGCACTGATTTTTTAATTTTCTCGTGAACCTCTTCGTTATTGAAATATTTCAGAGAAAGATTTCGTACGAAATTTTCCTATCTGTTCCACTCGCTTATTCCAGTACAAAATTCCTCATAAGAATAAAATTATGAAATGAAGAAAAAATAAATTATTCAGTTAATCAATTAATTAATTATTCGTTAATTATTTATGATTAATTCATGATCCATTTTTGCCTTGACATTTACCTCGCCTCTTCCCCCAAGTTCGTGACTCATATACCGGCCCAATGGGTCGTCCATCACAATCCTCATTCATCAACATTGATTTCATACTCTCGTAAGTATTGAGTACAACAATTCTATCGGTTCCAATTTTCAATCCCACGATCGGGCCATATTTTTTTCCCAACAGTGTACAAGTCTCGTGGAGATATCCAGTTTTCTTGCGGAGCCTTGCGACTTCCAAGGCGCATCCTAGAAAGGGCCACCATTTCGGTCCTTCGAAATCGGGAAAGAAGAAGTAATTGGAGAATTAATTCTTAAAATCGAAATAAAAAAAAATAAGTGAACACTGTTCAAAAATCTGCCCTGAAATTTCGGGTAGGTCTTGGAAATTTATAATAAGTAACATTTTCACTGAAATTTCAAGGAATTTCGTCAATGACAATTATTAATTTCATGGAAAAATCGGTGGGAAGTGTAAATTTCTAATTAATTATTTCGAGAAAATTAATGAAAAATCCGGAAAATTCAGAGAAATCTCTCCTTAAATTCCAGATTCCTCTAAATTTGGTAGTGAATATTCATTTTCACTTGAAAATTCATGTAACTTGTGGAATTTCCGTCTTATTGCCGCTAGAAAATTGGGCTTTTACTTAAATTTTCAAAAAAATTTGAACTTCTATTGACTTTCCCCTTAACTCAAATTCAAGGTTTTTTCCCGGAAAATTCAGCCAAATTTTTCAACAGCGAAGATCTTTAATAAGATCAGTCTTTTATGCATTTACCTGGAGGATAATCTTTTGGTTTCATTGACCCCCAGTATAACAGAAGCATCACTAAAATTACGAATAATAATGATGGTGGGATCATCCTGAAACAAAATAAAATAAAATCATACAAATATTTAAAAACTATCTTTTCTTAACAAATTTAATTTTTTTTCATCATATTCCTTTTTACCTGTAGTTAAAAGATGAGGGTTAAAGTAAACAAGATGTAATCCAAGATATGAAAATAATCAATGTTTTTGCGGGAGAAAATAAATTAGTAGTGACTTTATCAAAGGGGTGATGAATTCGAATTTTGATTATTCGAAATGATGATTATTCGAATGAAGCTATTTCATAAAAAATTGTAGGAAAACTTTTCCCATTTTGAACGTTTCCTTTGTGAACGTGGAGAAAGAAAATTGTAGAGTAATGGGAGAGCGAAATTGTATTACGGGAATTTTTATTTGAAATTCAGAAAAAAAAAGGTGTGGCGAATTGTGTCATGAGAACATTTTTGAAGATTCCATTGTTCCAAAGTGACTTTCTGGTCAATGAAAAAATTAAAATCTATTTTTTTCTTGTTTTTGTTTTCGAATGGAAGTTTTGTAATCGTCCAATTTTACGATCTTCTAATTTTGCTTGGAGATGATGTTGAATGTCAAAACTTGCTTTGATTCGCTTTATTTTTCCCGATTTCCGGTTGAACTAAAATCTAAAAATTATCTAATTAAAATTTTTGTCCGTAGCTTTGTTTATTTCAGTGTTCTGAACATTGAGTATCAATTTCAAGATGATCCCATCATTTTCACTCACTGTACTTTCAGAGGGCAAAATCGTTTATTTTTCCATTTTTTTAAACTCCCCGCCGTATGGAATGGGCGTAGGTAGGTTAAAACATTTTCTTTAGTGACTACACATGTGAGAAAAATCTCACAGAGGCCATTTTTTTATTACACGACTTTAAAATTTCAGTAGGTCCCCCCTTAATGAAACGTAAAGAACGCCTTTTTTGGGCGTAATTTACGTTTTCATTTTGACTGCACGGAGAGAAATATTCAATAAAAATTACCAGAAAAAAGACGTAAAAATTACGTTTCGAAACTTAATCTGGGAGCGAAGTAAAATTCAATAAAAAGTGTCAATCGTCACGTAAATTCTACGATCTGTTTCGTAAAAATTACTCATCCGTCCGACGCCTCACGGCTAGCCATGAGTCACCGTGAAGGGGAGATTTTAACAACACGTTCCGTAATTTTTCCGGAATTTTTCGTAAAAATTCTTAAACATCCAAGAATATTCATGTTCTGAGGCATAATAAGTTTTGAAGTTTCTGTTAGATTTTACAACTTCCAGAAAAATTACGTGACTTTTTCGAATTTTTTCGGTGACAGACCCAAAAATTTACTGAACGTTTCAGATTTATTTTCTTATATTCCTATAGAAATTCACTGAAAACGATTCTCGCTTGCGGATTACGTGAAATGTTCCGTAATTTTTCTTGAATATTTCTGTCCGTGTGTAAAATACGCCTTTTCGAAGCTTAAATTTCTATTTTCGCAACAAAAAAAACACCACCAGACATCATATTGGCGTTAAGCATGAATTACGATTAGCAAACTGTAAATTACGCTTAGCTAAACGTAATTTATGTTTAGATTTTTCTGTGTGTGAGGTCTCCCCTTAATCATGTATGATTGAGAAAAATGATAATGCGTGAATGATTATTTCACACATCTCATGTGTTTTTTGACTCGCTACACCTACTCCATCCACCAAAATACAATGCATACAATAACATTTGCAAAATTCTCCGGCATATCTTCGCTGCATATCCAGATAGCGATTTGCTCCAGCGTATGAAAGAAAGTGAAACGGGGTCCCCGTATCTTATGAGAGAAAGTTGTCCGCGGAAGAAGCAAACACACTTGTTACTCGTAAGAGTACCTTGCCCTCCGTAATACACTCCTTATAACCTCCATTATGTAATACAAGATGATGAAAAATTTTGTTGGAGAAAAGAGGAATGATATTTCGTTTATGCATTGTATTTTTCTACCGAAAGGTGGGAAAAATTCCTTTTTGTGAGTTTCTCATATGCAAAAGAATGATTTGTCAGAATGAAAGGATTTTTAAAAATTATTGGTCAATTAATTGATTTTTTTCGACAATTAGAGTTAATAATCTTAAGAATTTTTATAGTATTTTGACGGTTTTCTGTCATTCACAAGAAGAGGAGCTGACAAATGGAATTTTTTAAATTTGTTTATTTAATCCCTCAAGCACGGCGCCCTTTTGACACTGATCTTGCCGTGCGCTAAATAGCAACGCAATTTACCAACTGTCAATAGCCCAAAAAAGATATAAAATAGCAGTAATCAACAACAAGCGATTACTCTTCACAACAGAGTTTGCACAAATTTGTAAAATTCTATATTTTCGTTCATGCAGCGCACTTTTCTACCGAAAGGTGGAGAAAATTCCTTTTTATAAGTTTCTTAACTGCTTTCTTCATGCAAACTCAGGATTTCATCATCTTCCGATTATTGGCGAATAATCATTAGCAAATAAAGGATTCTAAATTATTGATATTTTACAAAAATTCTTGGAAAATATGCAAAAGAATGATTTGTTAGAATGAAATGATTTTTTAAAATTATTGGTCAATTAATTAATTTATTTCGACGATGGGAGTTAATAATCTTAAGGATTTTTATAGTGTTTTGACGATGTCATTCCCAAGAAGAGGAGTTGACAAATGGAATTTTCATCACGCTGTGGGAAAAAGTAACTTTTTCACACATTGTGATGAAAAATATCGTTCGATACTCATGGGAAAAGTGTTTTTTGGCTCGTGGGATTATATCACTCGCCTTCGGCTCGTGCCATAAACCTACCACGAGTCAAAAAAAACTTTTCCGCACTCGTATCGAAATACACTATTTTCAAATTTGTTTATTTAACCCTTCAAGCACGGCGCCCTTTTGCCACTGATCTCGCCGTGCGCTAAATAGCAACGCAATCCACTAACTTCCAATAGCCCAAGAAAGATATAAAGTAGTAGTAATCAAAGACAAGCGATTAGTCTTCACAACAGAGTTTGCACAAATTTGTAAAATTCTATATTTTCGGTAATATTCAACTTTGATTCAACTTTTAAATGAAACCTGCATTCGCACGTGGGTCCGGGGTTAAGGGAAAATCTATTCACAATAATCAACTCACCCAGACGCCATAGAAATGATGTCGTTCATGGTGTAATGAGTACTGCATCAAGTTGTTGGTGGAAGTTGCTTTTAAATCTCCATGGGCGATGCAACTGCAGTTTGATGTGGATTGGAGGGAGAAATCGGAGTTACAACGTTTCTCACTATTGCATTCACTTTTTTCTATGTTTCATCGCCTTGATTCCCAGGATAAATTCGATTCTCCCTTGAAAATGATTGTTCATTACTCTCAATTACGGTTTCCAAAATCTTCAACAGTATCTTTATTTTCAGGGACAAGACCTTCTTTATTGCGTCGACATTCATTAACATTTCATAATTCAGAATATGTGAAGGTATTGCCAAGTTTGAGGGTAAAATGTAATTCAATGAATGAGTGCCAATAGTATATTGTGTTACTAGTGCGAAAAGTTGCACTTTTTCACACGCACGAGTAACACATCCTATTTTTTGTGGTACCTGCCGAGTTCACTGTTCGGTACAGTAGTGGGGGTAATGTGGTTGTTTTTCTGTACACCATGCAGAAAATAACCGCTTTACGGACACTAAACCGTTTCGAAAAGTGCACTTTTGCGGCAGGTATCACAAAAATTCTTTTTGAAAAATGAAAAAATTTGTACTAAGTCGGTTTTTTTTCATTTTGGTGAAAATGAAAATATCTCGATAATGAGCGATTTCACGAGAAAATGTCAAAAGATATTTTCGTGTCACGGGACCTGAAAAACGCCAATTTCGTGACTGGCAGCGCCACGAAAATGGGGTTTTTCAGGTCCCTCGATACGAAAATTAATATACACACCTCGCCAGGGAAAACATATCCTGGGAAGATGATATGTGGGGGAGGGTGATATGTTTTCCATGGCTCGGGCATGTAATGTACTATTTTCATCACCTGTGCGTAAAGTGAATTTTTAAGCACGCTTCACGTGTAACACCATGTGTAGAAAGTGAGATTTTTACACATGGTGAAGAAAAATAGGGTTCTTTAACCCTTGGGAGGGTTGCACTCACCTTCGGCGAGCGCTACACGCCTCTCACGGGTAAAAAAATACTTATGCATTCCTATCGCAAGTCTATGATTCTACGATAGTTGCCCAAAAAATTCTAAACCGTTTAGTGTGCGTAAAGTGGTTGTTTTCCGCACGGCGTGCATAATAGTATATTTCGATAGGAGTGCGTAATAGTATATTTCAGGGCGAGTGCCATGGAGTTTTTTACTCGCGTGGTTTGTCAGTCCTCGCCTTCGGCGTGGACTCCAACTCCACGTGAGTAAAAAACCCCATAGCACTAGTCGTGAACGATATTCGTCCACAGTAATTTTCACTTTTACGAGTTTGGGGAGGGACCAATGCCAATCCCCGGACGAGGAAAAGTGAAGGTCAGTACGGAAAAAGTGATTTTTGATCCGTGAGAGGTGTGTAGCGGTCGCCGAAGACGAGTGCTACTTTCCTAAGGTTCAAAGAACACTTTTTCCACGAGTGTCGAACCCTTTGTTTCATCATTGTGTGGAAAAGGAAATTTAGCGCACGCAGAGCTTGCGTAAAATTTCATTTTATGCACAAGTGAGGAAATATACTATTTGCAATACCTATATGAAAAGTTCACTTTTCAGGGCGGTTTGACAAGCGTAAAGTTCAGAGGTCGTGCGTAAAATAGATTCCCGTAAGCTTCGCTTTATGTACTCAAAATTCAGTAGCGAAGCGGTAAAACGGTTCAAGTCGACATAGCCCTCACCTGAGTTTTTGAGGAATATCTCTGAATTTAAAAGAGATATAGTATCCGTGTATTGTACACCAAAGTCATGTTTTCCTCGCTCGAGGTACACTTGCTATTTTTTAACACGCCTGTAAAGGAAAGTTTCTATTTCGCTTTCTGATAAGCGAGAGGAAAGTACAAACTTTCCGTGCATGTGTGTGAAAATAGTATATTATGTCATCAGGCGATAAAAGTATTATCTGGCAAATGTGGCTTTATAATCCGAGTCGAAGGCGAGGATTATAATTACATTCGCCAGATAATGCTTTTATCGCCATGTGACATACGATATTTTATGTCGTTGGGCCCGAAAACCGCGATCTAACCGAGCTAAGCGAGGTTAGAATCGCGGTTTATCGGGCCTAATGAGATAAAAATTTTGGTACTGCTGCTAGGTTCACCTCGGGCCGAAATAGTATATTTCGTCATTAGGCCGAAAACAACTTTTCTAGCGAATATGAGTTTCCAGCCCGAGCTGAAGGCGAGGGCTCCAATCATATGAGCTAGCAAAGTTTTTTTTAGGCTGTATGACGAATAATACTCTTTATGCCACTCATGCCTGAAACCGGCTGGATTACACACTCGACGCTTCGTGTCTCGTGTCTAATTCAGCCGGCTTCAGGCTTCGTGACATAAAATTTTGTTCAGTACTTGTTGGGAAATTTCGTCCTTAACGTGTGTGGTTACATCACTCGCCTTCGGCTCATGCTGTAAACCCCACCACACGTGCCCCACACGTGCTGAAATATACTATTGTCATAACGGTTGTAAGCAGCGATTCACGGACATGTAGCATCTGTGAAACGCTGCCTTACGGCCGGAATGACAAGAAGTACATTTTACCAATATTTCTGGTCTGCGGATAAAATGACAGAATTAAGGTCAAACTTTACTGACTACCATCTACCTCACAGCGAAATTCGGTGTTATTCAAGGGGAAAGGTAAGAATCTCGGGATGTGTTCGTAATAACAAATATTTATTTACAGTCGATAATTGACTTATCGAGTTTTATTGCATAGATTATACAATCAATGAAGAGGTAAAATTCTCCACGAAATTGTCAAGTCATTCCAGTTTTTCCTCAATGACCGAATTCGCTGCGTCATTTTGGCGTTTCACTGACTATTTCGATGGGCAGCCTATCACCCCATTCGCTCGACCGGGCGCAGTAGTATACAGGCCTGATGAAAAAAATGAATGAATTAGATAAGTGTTTATTTGAAAAATGTCAATCGCTCACATAAAGTCATTGAAAATTTTGATAGGGGAGAGTGGGGTAATATGGAACAGTCGAAAAATGTCTGACGCAATTCAAGCAAAACAAAAGTTTATTAATTATTTTTTTAACAAGTTTTGTTTATTGAGGTAAATGCACCTATGCTCGTCTCTGTCCCTATGCTGGTTCAGATGCTGCCAGCTATTACATTTTAATTATTTTGACAGTGCCAAGAATTTGCACTGAGAGAAATTTCAATGGTAATTTCAACTACAAGGGAATTGTCACGAAGTTACGGTAACAACATTGTAGATTCAATTATTACCTTAAAGTGAAAATTACATCATAATGTGGATGACACTATTTGACATAGTAAATCGAACGATGAATCCTAGTTTAATCTACAAAATTTATTGTTACCGTAAATATAATTTGTTTGACAATTCCCTTGTAGTTAAAATTACCATTGAAATTTCTCTCAGTGTATTACGATTAAAATTCGATTGGAGTTATTATTTTAGTTAATAAGAAAAGTTATAAACACCAATGAACAGTGATTTATTGAATAATAAGACAAAAAATCCCATTCACATCAACTCGCGCTACGACAGAGTGCATTCTTAAGCCGCAAGTTGAGAAACTCACAATTTTTAAATGTTGATATCTCCGTTATAATAGTAAAATTAAAGGGGGGGGGGATTAAAATTCCCTTGACTGATTATGAGCTTTCGAATCGAATAGTTAAAAATTCAATAAAAATGAATAATTTATAGTAATATCCTGGTATTTCACTGAAATATCGGCAATTAAATGAATAGGTACAATGAAAATGGCACTGATCCTATGCTCGTTTTGCAACCCACTGTCAACTGGTAAGATACTAAACGGATGAAAAAATCTAAAAAATTTAAAAGGTTGGACTGTCCAATGGAAATAAAATTTTGTGCCTCGAGATATTTTTTACTGTTGTTTTATCACAAAATAGGATAGTCACGATGTAATTAGTTCGGATATAACCTTTCCATATCACTCTAATCACGAGACGAAGATGGGGACCTGTGTCAAACGTGCATCGGGACAAATGAACGAGCGTAGGGACATGGGACTTTTCACATTTACGGACGATTATGTATTAAAAAATAGTAATCATCATGATTAATATAAGTAACTTTCAATTCTGAAGGTTTTGCCCTCTGATATCTAATTTAAATCATCGCATCTTCACGCCCATTTCGATAGAAATATTGGACTAATGATGTGTTCACCTTAGCTAGACGAGCGTAGGATGATTTATCCCTATTTTTTTTAATTATTAGGCGTACTAATTGAGAATAATAATTTTCCATCCATTAGAATGGAAAATTATTGAGAAGTTTTGACGAGAGAAAATTTTGTCAATGGATCAATTGAAAAGAAAATGAAACGGCAAAATAAAAAAATCCACAGAAGGGCCCAGGGGGTGACCCAGAGGGGAAAAAAGCAAAATGTGATGCTAAATTTCAATCGAATGAAAAAAGAAAAGTGTAATCGCCCTAATCAAATCAATTGAGGCCCGGTTGCACCAACCCCTGTTAGCTGTTTTTACCCCCGGGATAAATTTATCCATGTGTAATCCTTATGGACTAACAGACCGTTATCTGGCGGTTTAGTTAACAGACGATGGTGCACCCGGGCCTGAATTATAGATAAAAAGCTTCATATTACTTGAAAAGGGAACTGTGGATAAAATTAGTGAACATTATTAATATTGTCGTCTCGATATGCCACACCTCCATGTAGCATTGTCTAATCACTTAATCATCATAATCTTCTCTTTAAAAAATTCGAGGAAACGGTGGCCTTTCTGGTACCCCTTTCATATCCTTTTTGTAGGATCGAAGCCATGAATATCAATCATTTGTAGGATGAAATTTGATTCAGTTTGTATTTCGATTTATACCTTTCGTGTTTTCCCACGGAGAAGAATACTTCCATCAATTTTCCATTCGGTATGCACATGCGACAAATCGAATGTCTTGAACGTACCAACGTGGGTCGAACTAATCTGGGCCATTTTTTCTCGTTTTCATCCCGTCCACCTCCTGAAATTATTCATCATGGTTTAATGAAAGGAATTCTCTGGTCAATTGTCCAATTATCATCTATGCAGCTAAAGGAATCACTGATGATAATTGTCTCGCGACATTTCCTTTGACGAATACTCATTATCAAGATAATTCAATGGTCAATGAGGTGGGAAAAGACTTGAATTTCATTAGGAAATACGTCTGGAACTAGTAGATTCACAGAAACATTTTGAGAAATCTTTTTTTTAGAGATTTTAGAGTTTACTATAAATTGTTTTTTTTTTACATATTCTTTTAGCATACTCGCTTCTAAGGTGATTCAAAAATAGACTGGAGAGATTAGACATCTAACTAGAAATTTATCTCTGCCCCAGGGATCCCCATCAATATTAAATTTCTGTAATATTACAAGGATTTGACCCTTACATTATTGAAGGTTTAAAATATATTGATTCAATTTTTCAAATAATATAATATTAATAATCTGATTTTTTACGAATAATGATATATTTAAAATTTGTTAATATGAAACTGTAAATTTACCACTAAAGGAATAATTCAAATTTCTTGAAAGGGGATTTTCGATTACACAAGGGGCATTCCATGTCAATTCGACCGATTTAAACCCTGACCATCTCAGATTCAATAATCAAGTCGAAATAAGCCCTAAAATGTAGATTTCAGCGAATCTCCATGGAATTTTTTCTCCATCTTCTGCGATTTTAATGATTAAGAACTGAAGTTCAAATCTGTCCTTCAAGAAAGTAAGATTGATAAATCTATGAAAATAAATTTGCGGTATTCACTGTGCTCAATGATAAAAAATTTTTATATATGGAAAAATATATGAATTTTATTCTGCGGAATTCAATTCTTCTCTATCTCGATCGAGTTTGCCAATAAACACATCGGAGCGCCCCAACATCCGCGCAGGTGTTAACGTGCTGCCCACTTCCCTCCCATCCATAATAACTCTTTATCTATCGTAGTTAGGAGAAAAAAATATATGATTATGTTTGAAACGCAACTAAAATTCCAGAACATTCTGGTCGACCATCGGCCTACTTCGAAAATCTCCGGGACCCTTCGGGTCATAAGTCACCGAAACACGCGCGAATCAGTTTAGGCTTAGCCTCTCACCGTACAAGTCTATCTCGGGAAAATCACCTGTACAAGTTGTATATCGCACCTCACCGAGTACAGTAGCTTCTCGAACCTCACCTAGCTCACTAGTAATCAAGTACATCACCGGTCTTTGTAAGATCACCGTTTTGTTCAGTACATCACCTCTGTTGATTAAATTCAGCCTAAATTCAGTGACTCAACGAATTTACAGTGAAAGACAATCATCAATTTAATTAGACATTCAACTATTGAAAACCAAAGAGTGTAAAGACTTTTGACAAAGTGGTTCGATCCCACAAAATAAAGTGTGAATTTTTAAATCCGGCTCATCAATAATTTTCCCAACATCTCCCTCCACATTTTCATCGCACATCCACCCTAAATCTAGTCATTCACCAAACAGATTAAAAATGTGTATTTTTACATAACAAACATCTGTTGTTTGAAATTTTTTTCTCTATCTGCAACTGTTTCCATGATATGATCGATTAAACAATAAAAATGTTATAAATAAATAGACCTGACCACAACATGTAAAAATCAACGTCGGATTCGGATTCAACACTTCCGTTAACGTACATCCCATAGATAAAATGTCATTCTTTTCCTAGCACCTACAGAAATAGCGCCTACACTTTAAAAAGTAGCTTGAAACAACTTTTTGGTAGCATAAAATTTTTGTGAATTTTTTCAGATTTTTAAAATGGGGTTTTCGTTAATCTACTTCAAAAATTGAAGAATTGATAAAAAAATCTAAAAAAAATCAGGGTGGATTTTTCATCGAGTAGAATCATGAAAAAAAAAAAGAAACGAATCTGAGATGGTCAGGGTTTAAACCGGTCGAATTGACATGGAATGCCCTACAAGTAATGATCTTCCTACCTCGATTATTGATTCATAAAATAGTTGAAAATTTGAATATTTGAATTGATGATATTTAAGTACACAAAAAATGTCAAGAGTGATGTTATCTAATTGATGGCTACAATATTTAACCGTAATAAAATATTACAAATTTGGCTATCCCTGCTCTGCACAGGAAAAGAAAGGTTTTTTTACAGTTTTCATGATTTTATCGACCGTGGTATTTATATATTTGATGAATTTATTCGGCTTTGCGGTCATTCATGATTCCTCAGATGTTCGAGGTATATTGTTCCTTCGTACTGCTATTTGAATCCCATCAAATGCGAACTTTAAACTAAGAGAGGGACGCAATTCGCTATCCATTCACTCCCAGTAGTTCAGAGGATGAGACTCACAGCCCGACAATGTGTCAATTAGTCAATGCACAAACTAAAAAAAAATTGAGGGCTCATCGGATCGATCAAGTGGGATTCGAACCCACGACAGTTTAAAAGTTCGCATTTGATGGGATTCAAATAGCAGCACGAAGGAACAACGTACATCGAACATCTGAGGAAACACGAATGACCGCAAAGTGGAATAAATTCATCAAATAGAAAGGTTCTATTTTCCAGGATGAAGTAACTAATTTTTAGAACCTCATGGTTCTAAAAGGCATTATACTAGCAATGCTAAGAATATTAAACTGTGAACATTCGAGAAGGATGAAATTCCGAAAAATTATGACTTAATTTGATAGATATTATCATAAGGAATATTTGGACGTCAAAAAAATTCAATTCAGTTGCGCATTTTTTGAGATATTGAGAAAAAATGACATTTTTGAGTAATTGCTGTATCTCAAAAACTACTTGATCGATTGAGTTGAGATTTCGCCCAGATGTGCTCCCCAATAATTCCAATTATTTCACAAAATTTCAGATTTTTACCTTCGACTTTACTCCTGTTTTCGCGAAGATTTATAAAAAAAATCGAAAAGTCCGCACACACATACTGACATACACACATTTTCTAAAAATATCATATCTTGATGTTTCATGTCATTCTACACCATTTCCAAGTAAAATTAGAAGATCGTGCAAATGGACGATTACAATGCTTCTGTGTCTCGATTTGAGAATCCAGATGTTCATGATTTAGAGCATAACAAAAGACCACCATTTCTTCGAAATTTTCAACTTAATTTCCTGTTCAAAGTTATTAATACTTTTCGAAATCAAAGTACATAGATCTTCATCATCACCCCTTGGAGATGTTTCAATTTTGAAAAATATCGATAACTTTCGACAAGAAATTTGTTCAAAAACTTGAAAAATAAGTGCACTTCTGTTACCCCTTAAGAACAGAATAATTGCAAATTTTACTAGAAACTAGAACAATTTTTTTAGTGCAGGTTCAATGTAAAATGTCATAAGATTTTTCTTGTAGTTGAAAAATCTCCCTCGCTGGACTTCTGTGAACACTTTAATTTCAAAGACATTTGCAAAATAATGTGCAGACCTATTTTAAAGTTATTTTTTGAACTCTGATATTAATTACCTTTTTTGAATACTACGTAGGAATAACGCTCTTTCTTCGAAAATTTTGCATTCATCAAAGTGAAAGCAATGTAAGATGCTTGGAAATTGCATGGAGTACCATCGTCAACCGCTATCTTTGGGCACTTTGATTCGTGAGGGCACTGAGAAAATTGTTAATAGAATTAATTCTCCATAAATTAATTTTGAAACTAAGATGTACATTACTTTGAGGGGACCCCAGCGCCACTTGGAATAGTGAAGATGAACATCATCACGCAAAAAATATAATATACATGCAACAATAATAATTGACGATTTAAAAATCAATGTTGAAGGAGTGAAACGTGGTCTAGTGAATTCGATAGAAACTTTTATAGCATATTTATTTACCTTTTCCGTACCTTTACTGCGCATTTTTCAATAGATAATGGCCAATAAAAACTGATTTATAGAAAAAATCAGTATAATTTCGTACTTCTATACAACTTTTTCGATTGAGAAATTTCCTATAAGAAATCCTCAACATAATTTTCTTAAATTTTTCCAGATCTATTTTTCTTTTAACCCACTAAATGAAGACAAAATTTGAGCCAATGAATTCTCAAAGAAAATATCATATGCGATAACTTCTATACTGATGATCAGAAAATTATGAACTAAAATTTAATCATAATCTTGAGGTTTCACTAAAAAGTTGTTCAATTACGTTATTTCTTTATACAGTTTTTTTGGGAATTTTCAAGACCAATTTCAGTTCGACAGTACAAACGTTTGCCAAGATCGGCGATTGTCGGAAATTTGTTAATAACAAATTCAGTAATTCATTGAATCAAAATTTCGCTTGCGCCATTCGGCAAAGTAATGTATAAAGTATGTTCGGTAAATATTTCAGAATTTTTGATAAAAGTTATCTCGATAAACGAGAGGTTTGAATATGCATCCGACATCGAATTCAGTTCTGTAAGGTTTGTGTGTTGAAGAAAAATATTAAAATAGTTTGAAAAAAAATCGAGTCGTACTATGTTGATGATAGAATATTCTCTGTTGAAACTTCCTGTGGAAAAAAATCCGTAGATACACTGCAGAATTTTTCAATAGAAATCCAATAGAATTTCGTAACAAATTCAAAAGATTTTTCTATGAAATTTTGTCGTCCATAAGAACCTGCAAAGGTCTATCCATAATTTTTCCTAAGTTGCTGAATATTCACAAAATAATGTACACATCGTTTCTCATTTCTCTCCACCACTCGTCACTAAATTTTCTTATTCTCAATAGAAGAAACTCACTGGAGAGAAAATGTAGCCTTGCGGAGTACCTTCTCGTTTATTGGAAGATTCTATTATATGTAAGATGAAATCTCTAGCCTCGTTGATGATCTGTCAACCAAAAAATAATCTATTTATTCATCTGTTCACTTTAGGGGATTGAAGTGAGAAAATAATATTGGTAATTAGCTAATATAACTACTCCAACTCATCAGGGATACCGATAGGTAAATATAACAGTTCTTGTGTTAATATCTTGAAGTATTTCGAGGTAATTTGGGTCGCAAACTGATTGCTATAGATGAATTTAACCTCTATAAGTTATCACATTTTGTTACATGGATGCTCACGTAGATGTACGGGACCTCCCATTGTACGTTTTTTTCTTCTAAAAGCAGTTTTTAATTTTCATTTATGAGGTGTTCATATAAATTGAACGAGTAGTGAAACACTTATTCTTAAAGTATCGGGCTCCACCAGCACTTAGCATTACCGAGGGTTCGCGACGGGGACGCAGCTGGTGTGAACCCCACAAAGGCCATAATTTGACCCAGTTTGACCTCCTTAAAGAGATTTACTTAATTGAGTTCGACTCAATCTTCTTGTTGATTTCAATTTCTTTTGTTGTTAAGGCCCGGGTGTACTATCGTTCGAACGTTATCTCGATGTTTTTTTTTCATCTTTCGTCATCTGAAATAGTCAATTAAGTTTTGGAAAATTATAAATGAATAATCAAAAAAAAGTAGAAAAAATTCTCAATTTTTTCAGAGAGCATTTTAAATTTATGTTCAGAATAAGTTGAATAACAAGAAATTATTCCAAAATGTATCTAAATTACAAAAATGTATCTGATTTACGGTGACAAATGGCGGCCTGTCACCCAATATCATGCAGGGGGAAGACTGATTTCGTTAATCTTTTCCCACACTGCACAGATTGATTTATTACGGAAAAGGCTCTTTGAAAAAAATTGTAATATATTGGAGAATTTTTTAATCGCACTTTCATCACATAAAAATGGCAGATGACTACATACCACTGTTTTGAAAATTGAGATACCTAGCTGTCACCTCCCATGAGGAGTTAGTGTTTTGTTATCCACATAGAAAATGACAGCTAATAGATAATTTGCCACAGCGAATCAGATATTTGTAATTTACACTTTTTTCAACTCATTCTGAATCTCAATTAACCCTAGACTGGTCACCATGCGAGGGAATTGCCGCAACACGTCGTTTTATTCACCTTGCCATCGACTGGTTGACCGGAAAAATTTGAGAAAAACTGAATTCGTCAATTGAAGTATCTAGAAAATCCTAGTATTTTTTTTCAATATTGTATCCTTAAATCTACGAGAAAAAAAATTATTTCCAAAAGGTGAACAATTTTTTTCCGTGTTAAATGAAATTGCCTGTTCCGCGACGTTGCTGGGAACTCGCTAAACGTTCCCGGGAAGTGTAGAGTGGATTCGGCAACGCTGGAGCCTAAATAACACGGCGGCACTCTCCCGCGAAGGTGACTAAAGTCGCATTTCCCGGCAGGTAACCAGAGTAGGGTTAAAAAAGCTCTTTGAAAAAGTTCAGAATTTTTTCTATTGTTTTTTATCATTCTATCATAATTTTTGGGAATTTCTACATGATGTACCACTCAATTGACAATTTTCGATTACGAAAGATAAAAAAAATCCAGATAACATTCAAAAGATAGTACACCCGGACCTTAAATGACAAAATAATTCGGTTTCCTTGAAACATTCTTTGGAGCAGTTATATGTACCAATTATGATATTTACCTGGAATCCAGCATTGGTGCCTTGCTCGACAAGGACTAAATATCTTTCTGTTTTCCTCCATAAAGATAAAATAACTTCTAGGCGACTTTTTCGATCTGGTAAATCGAATAATGTGAAAGCACTCACCACAACGTCAAATTTTGGCTGTAACAAGTAGAAATAAAAATGATATAATTTTGTGAATGACTGATTTTTAAGGAGAATTTCAAAAAACCTTTCTGTAGAGGAGTTTCTCAGGAAAATATTTATTAAAATGAAAAATTTCATAAACGTCTTTTTAAATTTTTTTAAAATTTCAATATTGATTGAGAATTTCAAGAGAACTTCTGTAGAAGGACTTCTCAGCTAAGAAAAGGTTTATTGAGATTTTTTGGAAGAACTACTTGTTTCAAAGAGAATTACTCATTGTAGGATTGACAAAAATGTCATAGATAGAAATGCTTTATTGAGTCCTAGGATAAAATGATCCCCTAAGGATAAATCAATCGAATGTAATAATCGAATGATGTACACATCATTTATACTGTCCATATTAAATACAATGCGACTGGCTAGCAATTTTCGTAGGGGAGAGTGGGGCAAAATGAGACAGTCGAAAAACGACTCTTTGACGCAATTCAAGCCAAAAAATTTTTTTCAACCTTTTTTTTTTTATCAACTTTTTTTTATTATTGGAAATACTGATGAGAATAATAATTTCCATTCAGTATAATGGAAAATTATTGAGAAGTTTTGACGGGAGAAGATTTTGTCAACGAATAAATTGAAAAGAAAATGAAATAGCAAAATCCAAAGTCCAGAGCAAGGCCCAGGGGAAGACCCAGAGGGGGAAAAAAGAAAATGTGATGTTGAATGAAAAGGGTAATCGCCCTAATCTAATAAATTAAATTAGAGATGAAATATTTCAATTACTTGGAAAGAGAACTGTGGATACAATTAGGGAAAATTATTAATATTGTTGTATCGATATAAGAAATATATGAAAAACCTTCGGGAGTTTCGAATGGAGAGAGACCATAGACTAAGTGATGACGAGGTCTTAGTTTGGCTACTGGAGAGCCAGGAAACAAGTTGACTAATGAACGCTGAGATCGAGTTCTAACAGGGGAGTGGGATTCATCTGTGGAGGTAGTCGACACGCTATATAGGGGTTTCGAATATCAGCGATTTGTTCGCCCCACATGTTGTTTTCTACCGAATAGAAAATTATTATTCTCATCAGTACTCCCAATAATAATAAAAAGTTAATAAACAAAAGTTGATGAAAATTTTTTCTTGCTTCAATTGTCTCAAATTGTTATTTTTCGGCTGTTTCATTGTGCCCCAGTGTCTCATTTTGCTCCACTTTCCCCTAGTCAACTTGATATATTTTACAGGTTCTACTTTGGTAAAGGAACAATAATCGAACAAGAATCGCCTTACATTGAATAATCCTTTAGTCCTTTGAAAGTGGCGATTCAATATCAGTTGATTTGCAATAATTCAGAAGAATATTGCAAACACAAAAAAATATTCGGGTTTTTAACCAAGTTATTTGTACAGAAGTTGTTTTTCAAAGAGTTTTTTATGACAAACGTTGTAATCACAAAAGTTCAAAAAACCGAGTTTTTATGACGAAGTTGTTTGACGGAAAATATTTAGACGTGCTCCCCTCCGGGACCCTCCGGGTCATCAGTCATAGGTGACCGAAACACGCGCGAATCAGTTTAGGCTTAGCGTCTCACCGTATAAGTCTATCTCGAGCAAATCACCTGTAGACGTCGTATAGTATCAGTACAGTTCCGATTAGTACATCAACTCAGTTCATTTATTCAGTTTTATAAATTCAGTCTAGAGTCAATCGACGCAGTTAAATAATTATCGGTATAAATTCAGTAAATCAATTAACAACTTTCTAGAGACATTCAACCATGTATAAAGTGTACATATTTTCAGACTTTGGTGGCTGTTGGCCACCAATAAATTGTGACTTTAGAAAACTCAGTATTTTTTCTTTCACGGCTCATCCTACTTTAACTATCCTCTAACACCTCCCACAATCCACCCAATTTACAGGTCCTCTCCTCAAACAAACTTTTTTTGTAGTTCTGATGGAGAACTACAACAAATGTAATTACGAAAATTTCACTATCTCCCTTAGATTCAGAAATATTCCTCAAAAATTCAACTGGGAGATAAGTCGACTTAAACCGTTTTACCACTTCGCTACTGAATTGCAGTATTGATAATAATAAAATTGTTTTATAATGATTTTAACACAATTAATTTAATTTTAACAGAAGAATTTCTAAGAAATATATTTACCACTGCAGTTACTGGAAGGTACTGTCGATGGAAGATTCCTTTGATTTTTGGATCGGCATGCTTAGCTAATTCTTCGGCTAGACTAATTATTTCTGTGGAGGCATCGATACACACGTATTCCTTCAACGTTGGCCACAATTGTGCTGCAGCCCTGTATAAATAATCCAATGAACTTTAGACACGGAGAGGAAAAAGTTTTTTATTTTTAGAGCCAAGCTACTGATTTCAAGAAATTTATACTTGTAAAAAAGATTGCGCTGAGACTAAGAAATTGACTAAGAATTAACTTAATTTTAGAAGGCAATTTCCTAAAATTGAATACTAAAAATCTATTTATTTCGAGCGAGAAAATTTTGTTAAGGGAGACTATGAGACTATGAGTTTTAAAAGCCGCAGGCTATCGTAGTGAGATTTCTCATGCATTGAAGATTGATTATATATGTCTGAAAATGAATAATTAGCGCAAAAAAATCAATTGTTTATTGTTCGTTTGCCTCGCAAACGCTTAAAATGTTGAAATCAGTCCAGGGCCTCCAATTTTTGAGCTACAGAAGTTATTTTTGAAAATTTTTGAAAAAATGTGTACAATAGCAATAACGAATTTTTTTTTTAATTTGACTCCAATACATCTAATTTTCTTTTATTTAATATAAAAATGTGCGCCATTTATGTAAAATAGGCCGAAAAATTATTCTTAAAATATTAAAAATATATTCTCAATTCTTTCAGAAATATTTTTCGGGCTATTTCACATGAATGGTGCAATTTTTTTACTAAAAAAGAAACGAAATTAGCTTACAGGAGATGAATATTTCTAATTTTCAAGTACAATTATACTAGATTTGAGTGCAAATTGTTGAGAATTGACATTTTTTTCTCTGATATGCAGGAAAATATTTGTTAAAATACGAGAAAAATTCACTAATTTCCAGGATTTACTGCTCTCTAGATTTCATTATAACAGAGATGTTAAATTCAGAGATTTTTACTGGATGCTAGAAAATTTTCATTATTAAATGCCTCTGGAATATGAGGAGATCGATTAATTTTAGAACAAGGAAAATCGTCAATTTACGAACGGGAATATTCTTAATTCTCTTTTAGATTTTTTTCTAAGAATATTATATGCAACTCAGATTAATTTTTTTCTCTGATATGCAGGAAAAAAATTGTTAAAATACGAGAAAATTTCAATTATTTCTAACATTTTTTGCTCCCTAGATTTTACTATGACAGAGTTCTTAAATTTCGAGATTTTTATCAAATCAAACATGGCATCTTTATTTATTATGGAATTATCTCAGAAACGAAAGGTTCTAACATAACAAGTTCAAGAATCTTTTCTGATATAAAATAATAATAAAATTCTCAACAAAATATATCTTTTGATTATCAATTGAAAATTCACCATCAATGGTTGAATAAATGTAAAAAATTCATAATTACCAAGAAACAGTCCCAATTCCTGATCCAAAATCCAACAAATTCTTTGCCTCGAAATCCCCATCTCTCGCTTTAATCTCGTGAAATATTTTATACAAAATTGCATAATCAGGTGCACTCCGTGTCATCATGTACAAGATGCTGGTGTAAGAGTCGTATTTAACAGCAGACGAGCTGTACTGAACATTTGTCTTCAAGACTTGAAGAGCTTTAGAAGATACTTGCTTGTCCAGCTTCTCCTCGACCTCAGGCGTCACATTTTCATAACGTTTTTCCTGTCGAAGTTCTTTTTTTATGTCATCGAATTTCGCTTCGAATTCCTCCTTCTCAATTGGGGGGTGGCGACCTTTAAAATGTCTGTAGAACTTTGCTGAATCCTCCCTTAATTGCTGTTTTGGATATTCTTGGAGGAGCATAAATTAAAAGATGAGAAATTCTAGTAGAGAATTTACTGGGAATTAATGAATAATTTATTCTACGAAACACTTTCATTGAAGGGAATACACGAATTTATTCATGTCGAACAGAAATATTATTGAGATTAATAGAAAAATTTCAAATAGAGAGTTTCCGGCGATAAAATTCTTCAAAACCTCTTCTTAAATCTTGTGAACTAATGTCTTTCTACTGAGCAATTTTTTTCATGCAATCCCTTCCCATCATTTCTAGCTGAACTTGATCTTCCATGTGAACTTCTTAATTATTATATAATCTGGATTCTTCCACGACTTAAAAAAAATGAAGATCAATTTTTTCCACTCCCAAACAATATTTTATTTTTTATTTACCAGATGGAGAGAAACAGCATAAATTAAACGAAGAGAAATAGAATTTTGCGATAAAGTAGTAAAAATGAGAGAAAATGGAAGAATTCGATAAACTTTTATGCAAATATGTCTTATTAGTAGTTTTAGGAGAAAATTTCAGAGTTTTTTTGCTGAGGAAATTTTTCACAAACGCGATGTTTGATATTTTTTTCTAATACTTTCCATTACCAAGATAATACAACATTTAACAACGAACAGATTTTCCTTCGATTGAAATGTGTCATTTCTCTGGGAGTAGATGATAAAATTCTTCTAAACCTCATTTTAAATCTTGTAGATTAATATATTTCTACTGAGGATTTTTTTTTCATGCTATTTCCTGTCAGCATTTCTAGCAGAACTTGATCTTCCATGTGAACTTTTTAATTATTATATTATCTGGATTTGAGAATAGATATTAAATAAGAATATTTTATTTCTTATCTACCAGATGGAGGAACAGCATTAATTTTAAAAAAAGAAAATAGAATTCTGCGATAAAGTGGTTAAAATTCGAGAAAATTGAAGAATTTGAGAAACTTTTATACAAATATCTCTTACTAGTAGTTTTAGGAGAAAATTTCAAAATTGTTTTGCTAAGAAAATTTTTCCCAAATGCGACGTTTGATATTTTTTTCTAATACTTTCCATTACCAAGATTCAACATTTAACAACGAACATGTATAGAAATCGAGGTACAGATTTTTCTTTATATTGATTGTTTATAAATTATTTATAGAAATAGCTCGTAATTTTCAAAAATTGCAATTTTTAAATTATTTCATCAATCTTCCTCGAAACTTAGGGTTCAAATGGGGCTCAAATGAAAGCTCTCAAGAAATACACAAAGTACTTGGATATCCTTAAGAGAACTCTTATTTGAGAATGGAAAAATTTTTGAAAAAGAAAATAAGAAGTTGATGTTTAATAAAATGAAAATGGCGAGGATTATTATTCTTGCCTTCAATTAGCGATGTTATCCCCTTCGTAACCCACTCCGGAAGTTCAGTTGTTCTCCTATACACAACCCCAGCATGTTTTCGTGGTTTAATCTCATTTTTCTCTAGTGCATTCCTTGTACCTTCGTCCAATTCAACCACAGGTTTCGCTTTATTCAGTATCAACGATGAACACTGTTGACAATGCACACAAAATGATTAACGAATAGTCAACATCACTTCGACATTCATTCACTCACTCGTCGTGTTTGGCTCCGTAACGGTGTACAAACTTTATTAAACATGTTGACTTCAGTATTTGTATTAACTCGACGCTCGTGTTAATATACAACAATGTCAATTGTTCACTCAACAATTAGTTCCGGAAATAATTGATATTCTGAGATAAACCGGTGGGAACATTTGAAGTTCGTAAGACATGTGTGATGATAGGGGAACCTAACCTCCTTTTGAAAATTTCTTGTTTTGTGTTTTGGTGGGTTTGGCCATAGAGGTATAAATCTAGAGTGCTCCTACGACCCCTGAGCTGTCGGAAATGCGGAGAGAGATAATCTGCTTAGGCGGCAATCTCTCTCTGTCTGCTGATTTGCGGGGTGGGGATGCGGGAGGTAATAATGTCTCGAAAAAAAAAATTGAAAATAAATGTGAGATTTCCTAGGTAGAAACAGATAGACAGCAGCATGTTTCCACGCCTCTGACGAACACCATTTTTTCATAAAATCTGCGGGTGGTTGTAGGGTAAACACTTGCATTAAATAATCCATGAATAAAATGAAAATTGTACTGATCATTTCACCGTTCAATAATAGTACTCGTGTATAATCATGGAATCAATAATTTTTATTATTGATCGACATTTAATAAATTAAAAAAAATATGGGCCAGTCGTCCAGAAATTAGGGGTTTCGGCTGCATTCAACAATTTCTTAATTTAATTATTCTTTGTTTTGTTATTTTCACTTGAAATATTTTTTTTCAGCTAATTGAAACATTCTGGACGGTATGAAAGCCATCATATCCCCATTTAGGTGATTCTTTTATTTTAGATCTTACGACGAACCTCGAATTTCCCTTGACCGTCCAGTACAAGTTCACCCTATCTTCGATACAGCCGTAATTTTACCTGGGATACGTCTACGGTCTTCCCTTTCCTTCACTGAACATCATAGTTTTTCATTGTATATATGAGCAGATCCGCGTGAAATCCGAAATCCAAAAAAATTGATGTCTGGGATTTTCTGCTCGATTTTTTTCTAGAAAGTTGGGCATCAGACAAACATTTTGAAAAAAAAATTTGAAAAATATTGATAATTGCGAGTTATGATTTTTCCAAAATTTTCTTTTTTTTCACTAAAAATTTTATTTTCAAATTAGTACCAATATTCCAGTCCCCTTCAGAGCTATCAAAATTCTTTTCAGTAGACTCAAAGAACATGAAAAAATCTTCAAAATGAGACGTCACTCGCTGCATTCCATCCAATTTTACGCGCTTTATACGTGAAAAGGTCTAGTAATGTCCAGTATTTAATAATAATAATTAAAGATAGAAATGAGGAAGTTGTTCTGGACATTTACCTCTTTTTTTTCAGTCGTTATTTTCTCAAAAACCTATTTTTTTGAAAATCTGAAATTTTTACCAAAAATCACCAATAAAATGACAAAAATTTTGAGGGAAATGGTGGGTGGCTTACATTTTGAATAGAAATCATAATTATGAATTCTCTGCATCTTTAATGGAAAGCTGTGGCCCCTCATCGACTTATAAATATCCCACAGTACAAAAAACAGTGACTGCACCATTTGAACAAATTCTTTGTGAAGTAGATAATTCAAAAAGATCCAGGTCCAACAAGTTCACAATTCCTAAACGAGTTGAAAATGCAATTGTTCGTAAATTTCTCGATTACCAAAAAACTACTGGAAGATTGATGAAGAATATATGAAATTGTATGATTCCAGGAATAATCAAGACGTTTGTTTAAGGAATTTTGTGTTATTATTTTCAACAGTAATTAGAAATGAATTTAATCTTTCTAGGTATCTTATCTGATGATTACCAAAAAAGCATACCAAGGAGGGATCATGGGAAGAATAATGATCCTAGATCCTTCTACTTACCAATTCTCAATGAAAAATTCACTCATTTGTGAGATAAGTGAGTAATTCAACGCAACTTTTCATCATTTTCAGTGATTAGCTTCGTAAAAAAATTCATATCTGCCAAACTACTGTAAAATAGTAACTTTCTTTGGCGCCAAAATTTTCGTCATTTTATTGATGATTTTTGGTAAAAATTTCAGATTTTCAAAAAAATAGGTTTTTGAGAAAATGGCGACTGAAAAAAAAGACGTTTTGACGTATAAAGCGCGTAAAATTGGATGGAATGCAGCGAGTGATGTTTCATTTTGAAGATTTTTTCATGTTCTTTGAGTCTGCTGAACAGAATTTTGATAGCTCTGAAGGGGACTGGAATATTGGTAATAATTTGAAAATAAAATTTTTAGCGAAAAAAAATGGAAATTTTTGAAAAATCATAACTCCCGCAATTATCAATATTTTTCAAAAAAAAAATTTCAAAATGTTTGTCTGATGCCCAACTTTCTAGAAAAAAATTTGAGCAAAAAATCCCAGATATCAATTTTTTTGGGTTTCGGATTTCACGCGGATCTGCTCATATATTCTGTAGTGAAGTGGTAAAATAGGATAAGTGGAATTTTTTTGAAAAAATGTCTATTGCTAGAATCGAAAATTCTCTGAAACGTGGTCAAATTTTTTAATTCTCTTGAAAGTTTCATTGTTGCACTTATCCTAGTTTACCACTTCGCTATAGTATTTATATAAATATAATAGAAGAATTCAGGATTTCGCACCGTCTCGTCATGATAATGGGTTTTTCATCACACTTCGTGTCCGTCAAACGCCGTTTACGGACATTGTGAAGAAAAATTATGTTCGTCACTCGGCCGAAAACAGCTTTTTTAACTCGTGTGATTGCATTCCTCGACTTCGCCTCGGTCTGCAACCCTCGCACTCGTGAGAAAAGTTTTTTTCGGCCTTGTGACGAAAATAGCTATTTTATAATCACGATATGATTGAATTTGCGATCGCAATGTAGATGTGGGAGCCATCAAGTGGTCTCTAAACTAACTACTCTTGGGGGCCAACCAATGATATCATTGGGTTCTCCGTGATCTCATTGGTTGAGCCCCATCATTGGTTCCCTCCTAGAGATATCATTGGTTGGCCCTCAAGAGTAGTTAGTTTGGAGATCACATGGTGACTCTTATATATACGTTGCGATCGCGAATTATTATTTACAACCAAAATCCCTGAACAAACGTTCAGCATGTTTCACTCACAACGAAATCATCACATTCAAATTCCCTTCCGAATTTTAACACGGATCCACAAATTTTAACTATTTTGTGCATAATAAACAACTGCCGCTATATTACCGACCAGCGGCAAGGATCCCTCAATTTTCTCGATCCCTCAATTTTCTAGGCAAATCTAAAATTTTCTAGAAAAATCTGGAATTTTCTAGAAAAATCTATAATTTTTTAGAAAATTCGAGCCCTCTAGATATTATACCTCTGTGGGCTTGGCAGCGGTGAAGATGAGGCTCAGTCGCACGAAGTATGAGATGATTCCGTGAGAGGACATCATTTGACAATTCCGAGTTGGTAACTCGATGGGTAAATAAGAAATCTACTGTACGGCGAGGTGAAAGATTTGAAATTATGAACGCTTGCGGCCGGGGTATGATGCCCTTTCATTATGCCTTTTTCCCTGTAGCAGATTCGATATTCTTCTATTTTCAATTAATTGTTTATAATCATTCTTTTTGCAAAAAGCAATACGACCGATGAGAATCATATGTTCCAATTTATCAGCAATAATTTCCATATTATAATGAATGATTTGTACATGTTCTAATTTCTATGTTCGCTGAATAAGATTTTAATCATAATTACAATTCAATTTCTTTTAGAAGACACTTTAGGGTGTGAATTTCTGGAATTTAATATTTGTTGATACTCTGGTTAAAGAAGCGTGCCCACACTGTTATCAATTTTTAGTTAGTTCACACGGTAATTCAATTAGTCTTCTGTTCATCTCATCAATATAATTCCGCGTTTAGAATATCGTCATCTCATGTTTTCACCACAGAATTAAAAATTGAAACTTAATTTGGAATATTGGATCACAGGTTCTTTTCATTCACGTCAGAAATTTTGTATTTGGATGTTAATATTATTTGTTCAATGTGAAAAAATCGATCATCATTTTCACTCTATTGGATTCAGATTCTCCTATCCTTAACGTCAAAAATGTGAGTTAATCTCATAATTTTAGTTATTAATTCTAATCAACTTTGTTCGACGACAACCTTAGTAAATGCAATATTAAGAAAGTAGAATTATTCTATTTTCCTCTGACCTAAATGATTTGGACAATTATGACTCGTTAATTCATGTTTCATAGAATGGTATTCAATTCTCTTTTGTTTGTTAGGCGGGCTTCATGAAAATTCGACGCACGACGATTGTACTCATTAAAACCGCCTTACTTTCTCTATTCACTCAAGATATTCGAGTTGTCATTTTCGATTTTCGGTCGCAAGCGGCCGGGTAACTGATGTCCTTTTATTATGCTCTTGTTACTGTCAGATTCGATAATCTCTTTTAAAATTAATTGTTAGCAATCATTCTGTTAAATTTTCATAGAACTATTAAATTTCTTTTAGAACACAGTTTAGAGTGCAAATTTCTGGAATTTAATATTTGTTGATACTCTGGTAAAAGTGCATGCTCACACTGTTATCAATTTTTAGTTAGTTCACACGGTAGTTCAATTAATCTGTTGTTCATCCCATCAATATAATTCCTTTCTTAGGATATCGTCATCTCGCGTTTTCAGGACTGAATTAAAAATTAAAACTTAATTTGAAACATTGAGTCACAGCTTCTTTTCATTCATATCAAGAATTTTGTATTTGGATAGTAACATGATTTGTTTGTTAGGCGAGCTTCATAAAAATTTCACGCAAGACGATTACATTCTTGAAAACAACTTTATTTTTTCCATTCGTTCAAGATATCCGCCATGTTCCAGATTTTCGATTCGAGATATTGTCCATGCCTTTTTTAAAGAAAAGATCTCTTGCTACGAAGAGGATGATGCCTTGCACGATGCGATTGTTTTTCTAAAACTCTCAAGATTTGACCGTATATTCTGATTCCTATTGAATATTCAAATAATTAACTATATGGAGAAAGGTGTATTACCCTGTATTCCGGAAACGAAACAATGGGATTCTCCCGCCGAAGCGCTGCGCTCACGGCCATCTCGGAGGATAACCTGCGATCTGAGGCCTCTAGCAGTTTCCGTTTTCCGTCTGCCCAGATAAAATAATAAATGAATAGAGTTCAAGGATTGTTTCTCGTGCGGTATTATGCATTTTTTGGTGCTCGATAATAATTCAA